GAACAGAATTTTGATGATGGCGAAGTTCTTGAAATAACCTTTTGAAATTCTCTTTCTAGAAAAAAAACGAAAACATTGGATTTTTATAGTTTGCCTTCGCATATGTGTTTTTCCTCTCAGTGATGATTGTTTTCGCTCTGGATTTTTGAATTTTTAAAATTTCTTTCGAGAAAATCGCACAAAAACGACTCGAATGTTCTGTCAATTTTGTGTTTCAATCTCTTTCGAAATTTTTGAGTGTAACTTCAAAAACTCATTCGAAATTTTGAAAGTTTCCAACAATCTGATTTTTTTGGAGATTTTTTTGGATCTACAAATGGATGCATTAAAAAACATTATTTGCTAGTCATTATTTTGAACATAATTAGTCAGATTTTTCATTCTCAGAAAGCCTGTATTTATTTTTAACACACAAAAAATGTCATATGTGTTTATTATTTTTCGTTTTCCACAATTTTTGACGGTGTCTGAAAAAAATCAGATGGCGTATCAAAAACAAAAACACAATACATGAATAGTTGATCTGCCCACCTCAGCCGGAAAGAGATCCCACAATTGAAAAACCCACATTCAATTTCCGAATGACGATATAATTCGATTATTCAATTCAATTCTATTTTGATAACGAACATTTTTTATTTCAATTTTTTTTGTTCTTATCATTGTGTTGCACCCCGTGAACCAAAACCAAACTCAAATTTTTGTGATGTTATTTTTTTTGTGTGCAAATTGCAATTCTGTCGTGAAAAAAACCTATTGTCAAAAAAGCTGTTTTTTTTTCGAGGAGTAACTAAGTATGTGAAGAAGAGGATTATGCTTCATTTTTGTCGGTTGTTTACATCCTTTTTTTGAGCCACATCTTCGGGAAAAATTGGAGAAAGCCTAGGCTCCCCCTAAATATCCGCCGCCGCCGCAATGTTTTGTTTTTCCTCTCCTAAAATTTACAAGTTTTCTTATTCTCTGGATCTAAGTCCTCGCACCTTCGGGTTTTTTTCTCCATTGGATTTTCTTTTGAATAAACATCCGGAGCACTTAAAATTTCATTGTACTTGTTGCGAAGCTTTGACTCTTAAACTTTCTTTCTAAAGTTTTTTGTTCCCTTTTAGAAAAAAAGAGTTGAAATGTTGATCCCTTGAGATATCGCAGTCTTTTTTTCACCCAACCAGAAAAACCCCGAAAAAATCTACAAAAGAATAGAGTTCAACTTGTTCTCCATTTCCCACAAAAATCATATATTATTCATGCACATGAGAGGCGCCTTCTGCTCTTCTTCTTCTTCTTCATGATTCTGTTGCTCTTCTCGGTTTTTTGCTCCTCGTTTTTTTCCTGGTTAAATTTTAATAATTAGTTTTTTTGCTATGCAATTTGATGTGATTGATGGGGAAATGTTTATTTGACAGGGAGGGTCGTAAATTTTTGATAGTTATTTTTTTTTTAGAAATTCTCATAGGCAAGTTCATTTATTGTTTCTAGACTTTTAGTTTTGAGAATTTCACGATTCCCCTGTCAAATTCAAAATTTTCTTATTTTTTCTCGAACCCAAAAATGATCAAATTTCAAGTTCTCACGATTCTTTAAAAAATTATTTTTTCGCTGAAAATTTATTTACCTTAAATTTTTCCTTCAAAATGAAAATTTCAATCTTTTCCAAAAAATATTATTTTTTGAAGTCAAAAGGGAGGTCAAAATTTTGTTGAAAGACATTTGAAACTTTTTGGACGGTGCTTTATTTCCGGAACAAAAGATTGTTCAAAGTGATAAAAGTGAAAAAAAAACAAAAAAACGAAAGAATCCCTTGGGAAAATTCGAAATTCTCTCCTAGTTTTCCTCATTGAACTTTCAGATTTCTGAACTTTTTTCTTTCTTTTTGCGCATCTCATTTTGTAAGCATTCTGAAAAAAGAGAAAGAAATGGCAAACTAATGGAATTCCAGGCGAACAAAAAAATGGATCCATCCATTAGTCTAATTTTTCATCTTCTTTTTTTCCCTTTTTCCCCAATTTTGTACACTTTTTAGACCCGCCCGCCCTTTTTTGAAAGAGTTACACAAACTCATTCATTCACCTTGAATTATTCAACTATTCTTTGCTCTTTTTTTTGTTTTTCCTGACTAGGTGGATCTTGAAGTTTGCTCATTTTTTTGTGCTCTAGATTTTTTCAATATTCTCATTTATTTTATTTACTTATCTTCGTTTTTTTATGAGTTCCTTTTTTCCAGACCACCCCGAAGAACTTCCATTTTTTTGCCTCATTAGTTTTGCTCGCTCATTTGTTTCCCGAAAGAGTTCCCTTTTTTCTTGTTTCGTTTTTTTTGCCATCTGAAAGTCAAGTCACAAGGAAAAAACGAAGAGGATGAACAAATTCATTGATGAGTTTCATTTAATCCATTTCGTGTAATTTCGTTTCTGCCAAATTTTTGCTGCTGTTGTGCACTTTTTGGATTTTTCTGTTAGCTGGAATTTTTGGAATATTTGATTAGTTTGAAGAATTAGTGGAAAAAACTATGGGAATTTTTCAGAAACTAGGAATTATTTACACTGATCAAAAATCTGAAAATTCCTAGAAAAAAAGTTTTAACACGAAAATTTTTCACGTAACTTGCTTCATATATAAATTATATAGAATCATATTTTCCTAGTGAATTTTTTACTGACCCTAAAAATGAATAAGGCTCCCTAGATTTTTCAGACAAAACTATGGTAATATTTTGCCCTAATTTTTTTCTCAAAAAAAGTGCAACATTTTTGGTCGATTACACAATGTGATTTTTTCCTCAAAAAAACATCGAAAAACATTGCAAGTTTCCGGCTAGTGTGAACTTTTTTTTTGAGAAAAATGAGTATTCCCAGGGTTTTCGCTGAAAAACAGAAACTTTTTTTTGTTTTTAGTTTGCAGTTTTTATTTTATTTTTATTTTTGTCCATCTTTTCTCATTAGTACAACAATATTTTTTCTGACATCAACCACACAAAAAAAAACATAAAACTAGAGGAAAATAAAATTTATTATGACCCTCCTTTTCCTTTTTGTTGTATGTATCTGAAAACAAGGAGGAGAAAATATTTTTGTTATGCACTTAATTACAGACTTCCGTGTTTCGGGCACTTTTTGTATCTAACAAAACATTTTGTTAGAAAACTTTACTTTCCAAACTAGAGAAATTAACATAAGTTTATTTGATTTTGTGACGCGCTCCAAGAACATTTCCCAGTTTTCGTTTTGTGATAATTCTGAAAACTCGAGTATTTTTGAGTTTTAGTTTTCCTCTTTTTTTCTGTCTTCTTGAGAAAAAACCTACTAATTAGAGGAAAAAAAAGAATGTGGGCTTTTTTCTTATTTTTTATTATTCTTATTATTTTTATATATATAATACTTATTATCTATCAGAGAGTGAGTGAGTGACGATTCTAATTTAGGCGCAGTCCCGAAAAAAACGACATATACATACTGGAAAAAAGTTCCTATATATTTTTACCCATGTTTTTTGTGTATGCGTTTTTTATCGGGCTGAAATTTGGCTAATGATTTCCTTTACACACTTCAATAATTTCTTTTTTTTTCTTCTTCTTTTCTTCTGTGAGCCCGCATTTGTGCTGCTTCGACGCTTCTTTCAAATATATTTGTTTGTGGTTCTGCTGCTGTGTTTGGAAATTGGTTATGATTCGATTTGTGCATATGACAACAGAAAAAGAAAGTTTTCTGGTAGAATTTTCTGTTTTTATTGGTTTCCAGTGTTTTCTTCTCATTCGAGAAGTTGTTTAGAAAATTCTTTGAAACTCCCCTGGGGAGAAATTTTTGACTTGAGTTTTTACTCGAGAATGATCATTTTCGAATTCTCGAATTTTTTCATCTTTAGAAAATGATAACATTTTTTCTGAAAAATTTAAACACTTTTTCAGACCTATAATTTTCTTTTAACATATTTATTCTATTCTATTTCCAATATGAAAATTCCCAAATTCCAAAATTCGATAATTCCAAACAGCGGAAGTTTATGATCTCGTCCCGGAAATTTGATCCTGAACTCTTTTTCTATTTCAAAATCTTCATTCATCTTGTTTTCTTTTTTTTTTTCGTTTTTCCTCATTTTCTTCCTAGAAGCTTTGATCATGCACTTTAGCAGAACTGTGCCCCGAAATTAGTTCAATTTTTTCGAAAAAAGTAAAATTCTCCGAGTTTTGTTGTTTTTCATTCATTTAAAGATTTTTAATCATTCAATCCAATTTTGTCTCGAATTTATATTTTATCGTGAGAATTGGGATCGGATGATTTCACTTCCCGCTTCGGGTTTCACTCATAAATTTCGGGCGATGAAAAACATTTTTGGAATAACACTCTTGATGTGGATTATTTTTAGATCAAGAAAAAAATCTAGAAAATTTCTGGCCACAAGAAAAAAAACTTGAAAAGGGTTACCCTTTTTTGTTTTTTTTTCACTAGATGATCTAAAAAATAAGGTATCTCGAAAAGAATCATATAATATGTTTCAAATGAACAGTTTGGCCAAAAGGCAATAATTTTTGGATTTCTAGTAAATTCAAAAATAAAATCTTACCCTTTTTGGGATCCAGAATCTGTTTGTTATTCATCTTGAAATCGATATAAAAGGGTTCGTCTCCTATTTTTTCTTCTTCTTATTCTTTTTTTTCTCTTATTTTTTTTCCTTCGCCAATTTTTTTCGCGCGCCTCTCTTTCTTCCCCCGATATATTATTATACCCACATTCATTTCTTCTTTTTTTGAAATTATTTTCAAAAAATATATATTTTCTTTATTATTAAAATACGGACTTTTTTCCTCGTTTATTTTATTCCTTCCCATTTCCATTTGAAAACTTGAAATTGAAAAAAAAATTCTTTTTTTTTTCTCTCTCTCTCATTTTTCGGCGACCGCCGAAGGGTTTTTATTGAATTTGCATGTGTGTATTTTTTGTGACTTACCGAGAAAAAAGTTTTTTGTTCATTTTTTTCAGATGCTAAGAGAGGTCTGAAAAAGGCACAGAATGGATAACGTCGATTGCAACACAGTTTTGGTGCATCTACCGGCAAAGAGTATTTTTTATGACATTTTTTTGTGAGTTTTTTTTTCAAGAATAAAAAGTTGTTTTCAATTTAATGAAAACAAAGTTTACGCTGTGATGTTTGATCGGTTTGCCTCATTAGGTCCAAGCTAGGCTAACTGCAAAAAATATAAGGGAGAAGAGAGATGAAAAACAAACAACTTTTTGCAGGGAAGTTTACAATTTCTACCACCCGATTCATGCGTATTTATCAATTCTATTATGTGTTCTTGGAACAATTGCCAACTTTTGCAACATTGTTGTTTTGACACGAAGAACAATGCGAACACCAGTAAATATGATATTGACGGCAATGGCATCGTGTGATACTGTAGTGTTGTTTTCGAATTTGATCTACACAACACATTACTCATTCATAGCGTTCAAGTATTGTCAACCAAAATATTGGTCGTATTCGTGGGCGCTTTTTTTGATTGCTCATGCTCATTTATCATTGGTAGCTCATAGTTCGAGTGTTTGGCTTTCGGGTGAGTTTTGAGAAAATAATTCAAGTTGGATTTGAAAATTTGGAACAATCTGCTTTTCAAGTGTTGTGCAAAAATAGCTCACTTTAACTTTGATACATTCAGAATTTGGCTTATTATAGTTGTCGAAAAAATTAATTGCTAAAATCTAATTTTTTGGCCTATAATTTTTGCGCTCTCCGAAAAGTTCGTATTGAATTTTTTTTCTGCAAAATCAATAATCCTAATTTCAAGCCAGACATGAACTTTTCAAAAATTCTCAAAAGAATTTTTGAATTAGAATATTTCTCTAATGAATTACAAATTTTTCAGTGACGTGATGTTTTTATTTTTATGAACCACAAGGGAATCGTATTTTGGAATCACTAAAAAAGTTCTTGGAAACTTTAGGAAGGCCATTCCGGTCTGAGAATGAGAACCAAATTTAACAAACAATAAAAACAAGATAACCTCAATTCTGAATCTTTTTAAATAAATTTCCAGTCATGCTTGCTTTGATTCGATATATGACACTTCGATCACGTGGAAATATGGGTGGTATGCAAGTTACCCTAAAACACTCCTACTACGCAGTCGCAATTACTGTATCAGCTGTTGCAATTCTCAATGCGCCTAACTTCTTGAATTACAAGATCAACGAGAGTCCGCTCAATGAAACTTGCATACATCTTGATGAAAAATATCATGGTGCTTTTGCATATCTTCCTGGAATTTCAGATATTGCAAAATCAAATCATTGTGTAGTGTTCCGATTATCATATTGGATTTCTGGATTGGTTTTCAAGATGTTGCCATGCGCATTGTTATCTTTATTTGTTTGGTTGCTTTTGAAAATTCTTCGCGAAGTTCGAGAAAATCGACAAAGACTTTTGAAAAACTCAACGAATCGGCCATCGAATCAAAACACACGAAGTACAAATGGTGGACGATTGAGTATAACCGGAAATGGCAATGAAAAACTTGGAAGAAATGGAAGTTTGCGAGGTCGTGGAGAAAAAGTTGATCGAACAACTCATATGCTTCTTGCAATTGTCGCAGTTATGCTTGTTACCGAAATCCCGCAAGGAATTATGGCTGTTTTATCGGGAATGTTTTCCAACGAATTCCGAATCTATGTTTACAATAGTCTTGGAGACATTCTTGATCTTTTCTCACTTTGTGGTTCCTGTTGCTCATTCATCATCTATTGTTCAATGAGTGGACAATTTAGAAATGTTGGTTTTACTTTTGCCCCAATTTTTTTCATAAAAGAAAATTTTTTCAGGAATTTCAACGAGTATTTATCCCAACAACGATTAAATGTGCACGTATGCAAAACTCAATTCGACGACCTTCTGATGCTTATAGCACTACAAAAATGACGTTTTTGAAGCCAAATGAGCAAGTAACTGTAAATGGAAATGGAAATGGAAATGGGTATGATGAGAGATCAACTAGTGTTAAGGTAAGGTGGAAAAGCGTTAAAGAAGTTAACGTTTGGGATATGTTGATTAGTTTTAGTAAAGTTTCTTTTCTTTTCTTTTTTTGCGTCTTAACTAATAAGTTAAAGTAAGGTTTTTTTTCGTCAATTCTAATAATTAGCAGGAAGGTTTCCTTGATACCGTTTATTAAAAAAGATCAAAAGGGTTGCATGCCAGGAATTATCTTTTTATTCTCTACTTCCTCGAACACAATCACTCACTGAAGTTTGATGCAACATTTTGAAACAAAAACCACATCATCTCGAAATCTTGAATTTTGTAATTAGTGTTCTCGAATCCCAATGGTTCAATATAAATCCCCTAAACTCTATTTTTCCAGCTTCTTGGTGAGCAAGTTCGTCGTGGTAGCAACGAGACAACAAAATGCGAATCTCTAACACCGTGCTCACCATTTCCACCAATCACCGATGAACATTCCCATCTTCTAGATGATCGGCCTCGTTTTCAATCTGATCTCTAAAGATCCCTTCACCAAACAGTAATAATAATCTAATAAGTATTCATTGTCCATTTTACGAGTCCTCTTTTCCCCTTTTCCTGTCCCAAACACAACAAAATTTGCAAGCATCTTACAACTAGACGAAAAATGAGACCAATATTGTTTACGGGTTTATTTTTGAGAAGAAGGAGAACTGCTATTTCTTTTTTCTGTGTATTTTTTTTTTTTTGGAAAAAATTCATTGTCATTTTTGTGCTGTTTTAAGAAAAAAAAGGAAAGGAATAATAATAATAATAATAATAGTTAGGGGAAAAAAGAGAAGAGATCATTGAACCGGGGAATTTTTGAAATTCGGAGAGCCGAAAGAAAAAAAAAGAGAACTAATGAAAGCCGAGCAAAAAATTAGTAAATAAAATTTTGAAAGCAGGATTTGTTTGAACCCGTGACCCAAAAATAAAACAATGCCTATTTCGAAAAAACGGCGCGTTCGGGTGTCGAAATTGTTACGTGTCGTTTGAGTTGTTGACCCAAGTTACGAATCGGCGACATTGAACAATCACGTGATGGAACATTTGAGGCGAATTCGCCGGGAGCGTTGGAATTTCCGCTGGGACGATAAAAACAGACGATTGCCACGCAGTTGTTGGCTGTATTCCAATATCGAGCGGCTCCGAGTTCTGATGTGTCTTTCCAAACAACTTGAGAGAATCGTTGACATTCTGTAAAATTTGAATTTTCAATGTGAACTGAATTGGACTCTGACACCGTTAAACCTTCGGGATTAAAAAAAAAGAAAATTGAAAAAAAATCATTTTTTACAAAAGGGGTTTGAAGTTTCCCTGGTTTTTGTCTTTAACTCAATGAAAAATAATTTCCCGTACTCACTTGGATTCCACTTTGGTTTATCGAAGTCAAAAAACTGCGCTTCTTTTTCCCACTCATCAATGACTTCTTGACCCGTTGGTAAATGTGATTGCTCGTTTGCCTCTTTCAAAATCAAATTCTCTCCAATTCCCGGTAATTCTGGATACAAAACTCGTCCCCGTTCGGCCAATTTCACCGCCCAAGCATGCGCCATTTCTGCCAATTCCGTCGACCAACATAAATTATCATTACCGTATCGTTGTCTACATTCGTTGTGAGCATCTAAACAGGCACGTTGAAAATTTACTTCGCTGAGAGCAGTGTATTTCGATTTTTTAATCATATATTTAACATCGGTTATTGTTTGCATCATATGTTTGTCTAATTGAGCATCAAAGTTTTTTCTGGTTTCTTCACCTATTGAACTACAAACTGCTTCGTAATCGTCGCCATAAGAACTTGAAACATTGCTGAAAAAAAAGAGGTTTCTCTTGAATCAATCAACTGTTACAACATACTTTACAATATTTGTTGATTTTGAAATTGGAATTGGAGCTGGAGTAACTTCGGTAGTAACATCTCCATTTGGTAGATCTTTTGGTGAAACTTCGGAAGCAATTGCGGTTTTCTCGCCAGTCACATCGGATTTCGATTTTCGCAATTTTTTGCGCGAAAAAAATCGCTTCATCTATACAATTCTGAAAAAAATGAAAAAAATAAAAACGAAAAATTGAATATGTGTGCATAAAAAGGGCCACAAGTGATGTGAAGAATAAAAAGGAAAGGGGAAAAATGTTGATGGAATCCCCGAGGGAACAATATTTTAGATGGGATGGGCACACCAAAATCAGAAAAGAAAAAGGGAAAAGAAAGTGCTCGAAGAAGAAGAAGACAAGTCAAAAAATAGAAAAGAGAGCTGCCAAATTGTTGAACCGGAAAATGGGAATTAGAATTGTTCTTCTTCTTCAGCCAAACCCATGAAGAATTTTATAAAAGATTCTGTTTGATTTTTTTTTGGCTCTTGGAGGACACTTGAATAAAGAAGAAAATGAGAGAACATTTAAAAGTAATATGGTGCAAAAATAATATTTTATATATATATTTTGAAAGAGTCGACGGATCGAGTTTCGTTTTTTTCTATTCCGAACGACTGGGCAAAAACGTAATAAAACATTTTTTCGCACATAAATTTGGATCCAATTTTATTTATTTATTTTCTTTTTTTGTTGTCGTTCACCAGTTTTTTTTTATAAGGGACACATTCCCACTTTTCAAGATTAGATCAAGATTGCTTTTTTCTAAGCTGCAGCTAAAAGAAAAAAGAAAGTTCTGGAATTTCTTTGGCAGAAAAGAAAATGAGTTCCGTTTTTGTTTTGGGGTGCGAAGAGCGAGTGTGTTCTGTTTTGGGGTTTGGTTTTGGAATGGAATGAACGAATGAATAATTGCATTTTGCTGGAAATGAGGATCAGGTTTTTTTGCAGAAACAAATAATTTATGGGTGTTTCTGGGAATGCGCAGAATTTTTTTTTGATTTAGGGGTTAAAATTTTACAAAGAAGATATTGAAAAACAATCGAGAAAACAAATTGACTGTGAAAATTCGGAAAAACTTACGAAAAACTCACAACTTGTTTTTTTGGAATTTTTTTACGTTCTCAAAATCAGAAAATATTCTCGAATTTCTGAGGATAAAATTTTTCAGGTTTTCTAATTGTAAATACAAAGTGTTCAATGAAAAAACAGTGAATATTTTCAGGCTGGTAAATAAAAAACAGTTTCATCAAAAGTTATAGAGTTTTTGAAAAAAATTTAAAATTTCAACAAATTAACTTCGACGTTGAAGTTTGTATCTGGGTTTCGAATTCAAACACAACGGGAACATCTCAACCCCGAAAAAATAAAACCCAAAAAAAGTTCGCAACAAAATGGCAAATACATCTCTCAAATCCACCCAAAAACAAGTCCACTTTTCCACACATCACACAGACAACGAAGAGAAAAAAGAAAGAAAAATGCGCGAAACGTTGAGTGCACCCAACAAACAGCCACCAAAACGAAGAAAGAGAGAAAAAGGAGAGAGGCACCACATGAAAAAATAAGAACGAAAAGAAAGAAAAAAAAAGAAAGAAAATGTAGTAGTAGGCTGGTCCCGTTTATATCGATTCTTCGTTTTGAAGAAGAAGAAGACGTCGACACTTTTTTTTTCGAAAAATTCTCGCGCGGACACAAACAAACTGACCATCGCCTTGTTTTTTTCCGGTCTCTCTTCCAGCAAAAAAACAACTCACAACAAAATTTTTGTGGCTAACAATAAGTATATAGATGATTAGGAATTAGTATTACATACAACCAATAAAAATGAGAGAAATAAGTAATTCAAGAATAAGACGAAAAAAAGAGATAAAAAAGAAGAGAAAACTCATAAAAGCGGTCACATATGCGAATTAGCTCGACTTCTTTTCTTTGGAACAAATTGAGTTAAGAAAACTAACTAAAAAAAAGATGGGGAAACATGGCAACACACAAAAAAAAATCGACCTTTTTTTTGAAACAAATCATTTTGACAGAAATTAAGAAAAAAATTGAAAAATGTGAGAGTCAAAAAGAAGAATTGGAAGGATAACATCACGGTGTGTAATAGATCGAAGAAAATCAGAGGAAAAGCGAACACCTGCTGACCGAGGCCATGCCAAAAATTGTTGTGTTGCTCTTCTCTGGTCATCTTCAGACACGAAATTGATAAATTGATCTGAACTTTTTGCAAAAGCAACATTTTTAGTTTATTCAAAATTTGAAGTTTTCCGTAAATTTCATCATATTGTATTCTAACTTGAAATGAAGATTCTGGTATTATTGATTTTTCTCGAGATTTTCGGTGAGTTAAACATTTTCAGAGATTGAAAAAATCCACGTGGATCTACAGTACTCTATTAATTTTCATTTCTTGAGATTTCTGATAAGATTTAAAATATTTAAGTAGTGGGGAATCTACGTGGCAAAGTAAGTATCTCTATAAATTTTTAAAGTAGTGAACAAATACCATGTGGATTTTTCTTCAAAAAATATAGACTTGAAAAATTGGATCTTCCGATATGAAATAGAACGATGCCTTAAAATTTTGGATTTCGTGAATTAAAATGAACATAGGCTCAAATTCTGGCACTAACAATAAAATTCGAAATGTTTTTAAATTGCCACATCATCAAAGTCACGTTTGAAATTTCCGCAATTTTTTTTATTTTCAGAATTTTGCAGTGGATTAATGTGAAAATAAAATGCACATGATTTTTATCTAGAAAAATGTCATTTCTCCAAAAATTATAAACATTTCCTTTGTTTAGACGCTTCTGACTCGCCAATTCGTTTTGTCAAAAAAAGGATCGAAGGAGGGCTCAAATTTTCAAGGGTAAACATTTTCTTCAACACATTTTTCCTTCAAAATGCAATGACACATGACACACAAAACATTTTCAGACACTTTTATACACTAATAAATCAATCGAGGGTATTCAACCAACATTCAATTCACAAAAAATGCAAGAAATGTCATTGGAACTTTTGATGGTTGCCGATTTTTCGACATATTTAGCTTTTCTTGAAATGTCGAATGGAGATGTTGGATCAGCTCAACATTATTTGAATAATTATTTGAATGCACTTTTTGAGCAAGCAAAAATTGTCTACGATGGAATTAAATTCGGAAATGATACTATGAAGTTGAAATTGGCTGGAAGATTTATTGCGTTAAGAGAAGAAGATTGTCCACTTTGGCTAACTTGGGAAGAAGTTGAATTGGAAAAAATACAAAAAATTGAGAATATTTTCAATGAGACAAATGTTGAAGAGGATTTCAACAATAATAATTCAACAGATTTTGATTTTGACATTGAATCAAATATGACATCGGTGTCTTCTTCCAAAGTTTCGAAAGAAAATATTCAAGAAACAACGAGACTTCGACATTACGTTGAAACAAATTTTGATGAACTTCAAGAACAGAATAATACTGAAATGTCGCTTCGAATTGATGCCAAACTGGCAGTGGATAAATTTATGGTTTGGATCAAGGAACATCAAAAACTTCTACCACATCACGAACACGCCGTTCTTATTACCAAATTCGATTTGATTAGTGTGAATGGGGATTCTTCTACACAAGGAATGGCATATGTTGGAAATGTGTGTCAAATTGGAAAATCATCAAGTGTGGTTGAAGATATTGGTGGATCATTAACTGCGTTGATTGCAGCTCATGAAATTGGACACTCGTAAGTGTTTTGGTCAAAAATATTGTAGAACATAGAACATAATTTTAGTCTAGGCGCTGCTCATGACGGATCTTTTGAAGCTCCTCAATGCGATTCAAATGATAATTATCTTCTTGCCGCCTTAATCTCTGGAAGTTCTGATCGACTAAGTTTTTTGAACAGCCGCAAAATGTCAAACTGCTCCATCGATGCAATTCTTGAGAATTTGAAAGATCCAGATGCGAGTTGTATCAGAAAATGGAAATCGATCTCAAAAACTTCGAATACAACTTCAGGCTTCGATAGAAAACCTGGAGAGATTATAAATGTATATCAACAATGTCAAATTGCTTTCGGACCAAATTTCGGAAATTGTTTAGTAAGTTTCAAACAACTTTTGAAATTTTTTTTTTGTTTTTGGAAATTGACATTTTTCAGAACAACGGTTATTATTATGGAAAAAGTATATGCGAGCGAATTTGGTGTGGAGAGCGAAAAATTGATTCCAATGGTCAATGTCAAACTCTAAACTATTTTCCAGCTTTTGATGGAACTGAATGTGGATATAATATGGTAAAACTTCTCAATTTTCTCGCTTTTTCTAAACTTTCCAAGTTTTCAGTGGTGCATAGCTGGTGAATGTGTGAATAATCCGAAAAAATGGATGGATTGCAAAGATCTTAACGCAAAAACATGTTCAAAATATTCGCCATCAAAACTGAAACATTTCTGCAAATCAAAAGATTTTCGTGATACTTGTTGTCAAACATGCGCCAAAAAGGGAAACAAAAAATCTTCATAATCTTCTGAATCATAAATATTTACATATAATCGTTCAAAACAAAAAAAAGAACTAATACTATCTAAGCGTCTTCCTGATTGGGATATGATGGATCTACTTGAACCAAGGTACGTTTTGGACAATGACAATAAGATCCATCGGCGCCAGGTAAACCATCAACACCGTTACTTCCCGGAATACCATCCACTCCAGGTTTTCCTGGATTTCCGTCGTATCCTGGTGGTCCCTCAATACCTTCAGGTCCTGGGAAACCCGGACGACCGGGAAATCCGGGTCGCCCTGGAAGACCTTCGGCTCCAGGGTTTCCTGGTATTCCAGGCTCACCAAATCCACGTTGCTAAAAACATTCCTATTATATTTTTTCTGTGGATGAAATTAATTACATACCGCGTTCTTTCCTGGTGGCCCATCTGGTCCAGGTATTCCATCTTCTCCAGGCATTCCTTCATCTCCCGGCTCTCCTGGCATACCCGGCAAACCATATAATCCTTCATCTCCATTCAAACCTGGCTCACCATCTGGACCTGGTGGGCCCTCTGGACCATCCAAACCTGGCATTCCAGGTTCTCCTGGCGGACAGACAACACAATCTCTTGGCTTCTTGGTTGTATGTTTAGCGACAGCATTTTGACCTGGTAAGCCTGGATTTCCCGGAACACCATTTCCTCCTTTATCTCCAGGTGCTCCCTGTGGCCCTGGCGGACCAAAAGGACAATTATTTGGCTGAGCTCCACATCTACAGACGACTTCTCTTTTGGTTCTCCCGAAGATTTTTCTAATATCTTGTTCTTTGTTATCTTTTGGTAAATTGTGAAGCATTGTGTTCCACGCATCATCCACGTATCCCTAAAAATGAACTACTAATTATTCAAATTCAGCTGATTATTTTTACCTTAAAGTCACTCATATCTCCCATAACATCATCATAAATTGAGTTGATATCATTGAATAAAATAGCCACATACAATAAGCAACCAACAATAGTGACACCGGATACAGTAGTCACTGTACCAAGGATGAAGTTGTTTGACATTTCTGGATTTTTCTGCTAAAACTGGCTGCTTTATATATGCGTATACCAAATCCGGGAACCACACATTCATTTTGTTTTTGTTTTTGTTTTCATCCATCTGTCACCTACTAAATTATAAGTGTAACATGTAATTGTTGGATTGAATGACAAGTCCGAAACTTTTCTCATTTTTTGTCACATTCTCCTAGCCTCACATAAATGAAAGTGATAAGTTGTCCCGGTTTTTCATTGAGGAGAAATGGTGGTATAAAAATATTTGGAAATTGGAAAATTTTTTCGAAAATAAAAACATTGAGAAAGTATCCTGGAAGTTCTATAGATTAAGCATTACTTGGAAAATCTGTCCTTTTCCACCACCCCAAGAAAATCTTCCAGTTTTTTCCCAATGAAGTTTTTTTTCGATTTTCTTTGTCTGTTGATTTAATCTTTGAGAATTTCCACCCACAGGAACTTTTATTCTTTTTTGTTAAATATGTATTTCCATAACAAAAAAATCATTGTCAACCTATACATAAACTTCCTCATTCTGACAAAATGCAAACTTTTGTGTAAAACTGAAAACTGTTTCCTCTTTTTTTTTCTTCCATTTCTTCGTTACAATATTATTTATTTTTATTTAGGGGGCGGGTTGGCTTATCAACATCGTTGAATGGTGATATAAAAAGATTTGCTTTATCAGGTTGAAAAATCATATTTTCCAAATATGTCGAATACTGTGGTTTCTGGGATTACTGCGGTAGCTGGATTTGCTACTTTTGGTTGCTTGATTTATGTCGCAGTTTTGTTTAATGATATCAATGGGATTTATAACGATGTGATGACTGATATGGGAGACTTTAAGGTAACCAGATATTTTTTTACAATAAAATGTAATGATTTTGTAGGTTTACGCTGATGATGCTTGGAACTCGATGATCAATGTTCAACATCCACAAAGATCTCGTGAGATGGCTTCTCTCTTTGGCCGCAACAAACGTCAAGCTTCATGCAATTGTGGCCCACAAGCTAACAATTGTCCACAAGGCCCACCAGGTCCACCAGGAACACCAGGAGATGTTGGACTTGACGGAAATCCAGGACAACCAGGAGCTCCTGGACAAAATGCTGTTATTCCAAGTATCAGCACAGATACTGGAGATTGTATCGTTTGCCCAGCTGGATCACCAGGACCAAAGGGACCTGACGGACCACAAGGACCAGCTGGACCACAAGGTCAACCAGGACAACCAGGACAAATTGGATATGATGGAGAGCCAGGAACACCAGGAGCACCAGGAGATGCTGGAGCACCAGGACAACCAGGGCAACCAGGACCAAATGGACAACCAGGAAACAACGGAGTGAGTAATTATTTTATTTTTTACAGTCTTGATAGTTTGAAAGTTTTGATTTTTTTAGTCATTATGTCATAGGCCCTCTGAAATTTTCGATATCCCTATGCATTCAACAACTCATATAGAGTAATGTGAATTTTTATGACTTTTCACCATCTTTCATAATGGATTACCATCAAATAGAAGCATCTAAGGATTTTTTGAAAAATCAAAGATTATCTGACAACAAACAAAAATGAATGGATTTCAGCAACGCGGAGTTGGACAACAAGGGCCACCAGGACCACCAGGAGCTCCAGGAGCCCCAGGAAATAACGGAACACCAGGGCAAAATGGTGGACCAGGAAACCCAGGACCAAGTGGACCAGCTGGACCAAATGGTCAACCAGGACAACCAGGAGGTGATGGACAACCAGGAACCATTGGACTCCCAGGAGTTCCAGGAACTGATGCCGCTTATTGTCCATGTCCAGCTAGAACTGGACCAGTTGAAGTTGCCCCAGCTTATGGAAGACAAGAAGAGGATAGAAAATTTAGACGAGTTTTCTCAAATTAGACATTTCTTGAGAAATTATTTGTACAAAATGAATGATTTATGTATATTTTTTCACCAAGAATCAGAATCTTGAATTATATCTCAGGAGTAATTTCGCTGCTGAAGGGCAGCGCAGCTCAATTCAGCAACCAATGGGCAGCGCAGCAGCGCAGCGCTGCTGATTTTCGGAAAATTTCCTGACCGAGGAAACCCGGCAATTTCGCAGCTGCAGCTGGCCTCTTCGGCAGCAATCGGCTTCAGCTGTCATACACAAGGCAACTGTTCCCCACTGCTGATGTTCAAACCAGCAGCCTCTGAGTATTTATGAAGAAAAACATAAGTAATATATTTTTTTTACCTGGTAAAACTCCGTATTCAAATATAGCCGCGGTGCACACAAAACGCGCCAACGTCAAAGCACTGACGTGTTTGTGTGGCGCATTTCTGGTTTTACTTTGTTTTTCGAGGTTTCAAACCGAGTTGAGCTTTTGCTTGTTTTCTACGGTTTTAGTAGGTTTTGTGTCTCTGGACGGTCCTAAACCGTCCCCCTTTTTGTCATAATATGATTTGCGATCAATAAATGATTGCATTTCAACCTGTTCTTGTATTTATTGTTTGTGAAAGTGGTTATGATCCACTTCAATCTTTTTTGCTGGAGAGGAGTTCAAGGGAACCAAACCTTGAACTGCCTACTCATATTTTTTGTATGATGGATCTTTGTTTCAAAAAACATCTCACAAAAGAAATAACTTTTCCTCTAATTTTGTATAGATTTTCCGCGTTTTCCATTTTTCAATATTTTTAACAAAATGAGAAATTGAGAAAATAAAAAAAAATATCAGACGTGAACTATTTGTCATTTTTCTTACGTGGTGCTGAATCCTCATTTCTGAATATTTCTCTATCACAAATGCATTTTTTTACTAGATCAAAACGTGTTCGAGACCTGGAACTGGTTCGAGATGAAGTCGGAATTGAAATTTGGTGAGTCTTTTCGGGTTGTTCTTAAGGTATTTATTTTCAATAAGTAGACTTCATGCCCCGTTTTCAACCCTGGAAAGTCATGAAACTTTGGTGTTTATATTTTCTGCACCTTAGCATTTTCAAAGTTGTTTATATTATCTGCCAAATTTCTAATTCCCACCTTTCTCAATTCGCACTTTCTATTTTTCATCATCATGAAAATAATCAGAAAAACAACTAAAATATTCAAATGTTCAAAAATCTGAATAGAATGTGTTCATATTTTGTCAAAGTTTTCCCCCGAGTCTTCCGAGATTAACCCCAGTGAAAAAAACATGAAAACAGACAGGAAAAACGAAAACAAAACACACATACACACATATCCTCACTACTGATTTTCTGCATAAACTTCGTTGTGTTTTCAGATTCTCTTTTTCTTCTGTCAAATACCCATAAATTAGTCTTTGTTCGGCTTTTTTTCCTTCAAAAATATGCTACTGCTTATTCGTCAAAACAAGGCCGGCCACAGTCAGTTCCGAGCGGATTTACATATTTTTGTTCTGATTTTTTAAAGAAGAAGAAGAAGAAGAGCTTTTTTCGGCGAATGCAAATTTTCTTCTTCATCTTCTCCTTCAAATAACTTTTTTCCCACACGTTTTACGTTTTCTTCCTTTACTCCCGTTGTTTCTAGCTCCTCATTCTCATTACTAACTAAAATTAGCCCTGCCGATTTCAAGTGCTTCCTCATTTGTTTTTTTTTGTCTATGTTTTATGAAATCGAAAATCGCGCGAAATTTGATATGATATAAGGAAATTCGATCATTCTTGAAGTGTTCACATGCGTCTGTTTTGGTCCCAGGGTTTTCTTGCATTTTTATGGTTTTTGTGATCCAATACGATGTGATGAAATTCGGTGAAACCACTAATTTGTGGACTACGGTAGATCTTGTTTTTCGTCACTTTTTTCTTGAAAAGCTAAATTTTGCCAAATCTATAACTATCTTCAAAACAGTAGACTTTCCAATTGTATTCTTAAATGTGTGTTCGAATAGAATTTGATATCAATTTTAAATTGCATAATTTTGGAACAGCTCAGATTTTAAGGTTTCTATAATTTTGCTTTTATACTGATCAAATTCAGAATATGTGAAAATGGGAATCAACCCGAGGTTCTTCCCCACACTTTTCTTACTTCAACATAATCTAATTGTGTTATGATGTTTGGATCAATCAAGCTAAGCTTGCCCAATTCTTTAGGTTATCAAATTTCATTCCACTTGTTTCACTGGAATGTTCTTTCCATTCGATATAAATTTCATCAGATCACAGTATACTTTTTTCTATTTTCAAACTTTGAACTTTTTTTTTCGCCTTGTTCTTCTTGGTAATCATCATCGTCTTTCTTTTTCCTCCTACACATCCAAATCGTTTACCCTCGGATGTCCTAAATTTAATTCTATTCTTCTCAAAACACAGACGAAACGAATTACGCTCCGCCAATTTATGTTAGAGTCGGAAAAAAAGAATGTTCATTTATTTGTTTCAAAAAAAATTCTTTTTTTTTCAAAGATTTATTTTATTCATCTTCTTTGCGATTCGAATTGAAAATGTGTCTGTTTCTGTTTTTGCTTTCTAGCAGCTCTAATTGACATCCTTCACCTTTTTGTTGCAATTTTGTGTGTGTTTTTTTGTTCGAAAAAAATGAGAACAAAAAATCATGTTTCAACCATTATGTTTTCTCTCGAAGTTGAATGGCAGCAGCCAAAAATTTCAAGAATTTTCTCGAAATTTTCTGACGTCAAAAACAGAGTGTTTTTGTTTGGCTCGCTTCGAAATCTGATACACTTCATTTAAAGAGCGAACTTTCAAAGAATACTTCTAGGATAAGAGGAGGCGAGAAGAAAAAAAAAAGAAAAATTGAATTTAAAATCAAATTCTATGATCTTTGACGTAAAAACAACTCGAGTTTTCGATATTTTTTGTGAAAATTTCTGTCACACTTTTGTTCCCTGGTTAAATTTAGCAAGCTTAGATTTTTTGAGGAATCTCAATATGTAGAAGTTTTTTCGCTTTTTTTTTTGAAGCTCATGATCCGAAAACAAATTCTTAGATATTTTTGGGTTTCTTCGTGATCTGCTTTCCGGATGCGTGCTTTTTTGACTTGTGTAGGCATAAAAAAGAACTTTGAACTTAACCAACTTCAAACTTTTTTCAGACTCGAAAAAAATTCTATAAATAAAACTTTGCTGATTCTACTAGATTTCGTCTAAAAATCGTACAGTTTTTATTCTCTCGATTTTTTCAATTTCCCGGTTTTTGGATGTTGAAACTGATCTGTTTTTTTACTCTGAAACATCTCATTTTTTGCAATTTTAAGTAAAGTGCTTCAACCATTGTTTTTTTTAACATTCTAGATTTCATCCGTTGACTGGATTTATAATACTTTTACTATCATTGATATTATTCATTTTCATTTTTCGACAGATCTGTTCCAATTTTTTAAAACTACATTTTCTCATGAAAACTCATCGATCATCCTACAACGAAAATCTCGAAAATTCAATTCCTATTTGCACAAATTTCTTTTTCTTCCAACAAAGAAAATAATTTGTTCAACAAAGTTTTCGACAACATTTCGAATGATTTCTGAGCCTCATTTTATTCATAAGGGTCTAACATTAAGCTGTGCTGCGCGCCAAAAATAATTTTCCACATGACCGATTTAGACATAACAAACACGTCAAAAAACAGATTCCTTTTTTTCGTGCCTCATTCTGAAATTGTCACTTTTTCCTAGATTTTCTTTTGGTTTTTTTCTTTTTTTTGGATTTGATAATCGAATTATCTAAAATCTAATTTCAAATTTTTGTAATAGGACATTTTTACATTTGATCGAAATTTGGACTGACATTTGTTGATTTTCAGCTGCAAACATTTTCAGCTCATTTGAAAATGAGTGGGTAAAAAGGATCTAAAGAGGATTTTTATGACTTGCCCAAAGGATTCATAGATCTTGTTTTGTTTTTTTTTCGGTCACACATCATTCAAATGTACTAATGGAGTGTTTTTTTTCTGGGTTAGGAGAGATTGTTTTGAAGGGTGTTGTGCTCAACAATTTTCTATAATATATTTATTTTCGTTTCTCCACACATGTACCCCAGATTTCTTCGTTTTTTCTCAATCCTATTTATTTATTTTTTCTTTTCGTTTTCTATTTTTTGGAACCAAAACAGAAGAAGAAGAAGCTCAAGTATTCTTCAATAATCATATATAAATACATAGTTTTTCTGTAGAACTTCTAGTTTGCAAAAAAAAGTTCCGCGGATAGAAAAATCAAATTTTTGTTGAGAAGAAAATGAGATTTTTCTCGCGCGGCCCAGTTTTGGCAACATTTTTGGGTGTCCCTTGGGGTGTTTTTTATTTTATTTTTCAGTGCACTAGGTTTATGGTCCTTTAGAAGTGGAAAAAGGTGTTACTTTCTTCCGGTTTTTCTAAAATGTTTTCATTCGTTTTCTTGAAATATATTTTTTATGATTTTTCAGCTGCTCTTTTGATTTTTTTATTTTCTCCAAATTTTTTCGTTAACTCGTTTCCCAAGAACATTCTATTTATAGAATATACGAGAAAAAACAATGAGCTTTCCGATTTTTCCTGCCGTTCCGAAAAGCAGGCAGAAATTAATTATAAATGACGGATCTTTTGTGTATTTAATGAGAGAGAGAGTAAAAACACAAGAATCAGGTGTTTTTTCAAAGAAATTAATTTTAATTTTTCTAGATATTTTAGAAAAAAAAACTTGTCAATTTTTTGTTATAGTTTTTTAGTTTTGGCACTAGCTGGAATAATCTGAAATTTGACACCAAAAATTAACAAACTTCACTTTCCGCCAGACCACATTTTCATGCCACATTTCGCACAGAATTATTCAAATCTCCAATCGAGTCCCTATACTTTGCTCCAAAGTTTAGGGAAGTTATGAATGGGATTTGCTTCAGTTTTGAGGCATAAAATGAACAATGTTAATTTGACTTTACCTGATTCCTCTTCCGATCATCAAACTTTGAATCCACGCGCCGATTTTTTTTACTTTTCCACAAAATGCTCAATTTTCAGACCCTTTCCGATCTTATTCAAAACTATCCAAACATTGCTCGAAAAGTTCTAGTTCTAAAAATAGAATTCGTACAACTTCCAAGATTAACGAATTCTGATGAAGTTATCATATCTCTAAATAATTAATTAATATCTCTTACTTATATTTTGACTGAAAGTCATTCTCACATCTCATAAATTTTTACACTTTGCCAAATTGATTGTGAAAAATTAATGAAACAGTTGTCGAAATCCATTAAATTCTCTTTTTTTTTTGTCCCTGTCATTTTTTCCAATTTCAAGAAAAAATCAAGCGAAAAAAGGAACTCACTGTGTTTTTTTTCGATCTCAATTTATCTAGAAATTACCCCAATTTATCAAGTTCCTCTTCTTTCTTCGTTTTTTTCTGTTTTTTTTTTTGGATAACAAATTTGTGTTGCTCCTTGCTCCTCCCACTTTTTTCAGTCAGTTTTTTTGGTTTTTGTCTTTTTTGTCGTTGTCTCCCAGAGTGAAATACATTATTCGTTTTGTTCCCATGTACATACATACATTTTTTCAAGTGCCCTATTTTTGAGACGACCAAAAAATCCGGGGGAACATTGTGTTTTGACAAAATTCTTTGTGTTTTTAGATCTCATTCGATTTTTTGGCGATACATTAATATGAAGTGATTTTGTTTGAAGCGGAAAATGGAAGAGAACATGGAAATTTTGGAGAATTTGAATGATACGGCCAATTTTTCAAATGAGGGTGAGTTATATGGAAAAGTTTGATTTGTAAAATTCGAGAAATTTTTAAACGTCTGACGAGAGAGAATGATCTTTTTCAATTTTTGACGTGGCAATGATTTTTCCAATCTCAGTTTTTCTGAAAATAGTGTGGGATAATTAATTATTTATTTTCATTCCCATAACAGTTATGACGTGGCAGAGTTATAATAAGCCTAATTTATCTTTTTTTGTGGGTTCAGAAATTTCCCCAAGGATTTCCCATGGCTAATGCTTTCCAAAAAGTTCGAAATCAAAAAAAATATCTTCACACAATATTTTCAAAAAGTTACTAACCAAATCAAATTTCTAGATTATGAATCAAAAAATCGACTGGCTAAATTATATATTTTTTCAAACAAAAATTACAACTTTGCCACCTCACTTTTTCGGAAGCTATTGCCATAGTAAAAAAGTTTGTTAGAAACCGAAATCAAATTCCTATTGAGAAGTTCACAAAGATGTGTGCGTTGACGTAAAAGGAAACACGTTTCCGAATAAAGCGTATCCGGCGTTTGTAAAATCAACTAGAAAAACTAGAAGGATTTTGGAAGTCTGTCCCACCAAAAATGCAAACTTTTTCAGAAGTGGATTGTGAATTTCAAGAGCCAGTGTTTATTGGGGAACGGTTTTGGATGGTGGCGGTTTTTGGAACATTGGTTGCAGTTATTAATATTTTTGAGAATTCATTTCTCTCATTTATGCTGTTCAAGAAGTTGGTTACTTTCCCACCAAACTCATTAAGAAAATAATATTTTTCAGAAAATCATATCGTTCAAGTCATATGCTTTATTTAGCACTTTTGGCATTTTTCGATGTTTGGATTGCTGCTGCATATATTCCATTAATGAGTTTGAACCTATCTGTAGATTATTATCAATCAGTTACACTTTTGCGGGCCTGGTTTGCTTATATGTTACCAATGATAACCATTTCGCATATTGCAATGACTGCCTCCTCGTTTTTGATGGTTAGTTTACGGGGGAATTTAATAAGGTCATGTGAAAATATCATTAATAACTGAAAATGTTAGTTCAAAAAAATTTTGTGTGGTCATATTTTTTCAAAGATCGTGTTTTTTTCAGAGAGAGAAAGGGAAGAGGAAATTAAGATTCTGATCAACAAAAATTCAGATAGAAAAACAAATAGATAGAGTTCAAAATATCTGAATTTTGAAATTATAAAAACAAATATTCAAAAACACTTTCCGGTTCAAACAAATTTAAAAATCCGATAGAAATTTTTACAATCCGTAATGTAATAAAGAAAAATGTGGACTCAAAAATTAACGTTTCAAAAATATCGATATTTTTATTTTCAGGTAGCCGCTTCTGTAGAAAGATATTGCGTGAGTGTCCAAGCCAGCAAAACTCGATGGATGCAACGAAATCGTGCCGCAATTGCCTGTTTCAGTGTAATTCTAGGAATCGCTTGCAAATTCAGTCAATTATATGAAATGCAAATCGATAAAAATGAGCTATGCGCTGGCACAATGCGAGAATATCAATTGAGTTTATCTGAATTGACACAAGATTATTGGTATGGACAATGGCGATTTGTGTATCGAACTGTTCTCACAATTTTGTTTCCGTTTTTCTTATTGGCTTATACAAATATCAGATTGGTTGTGAAGTTGAATAAAAGTGATTTCAAAGTTTTGCAATCGACGAAACTAAGTGATGCCAAGCGAAAGGTAATAACTGTTTCACATCTTCTAAATTCCCAAAAATACATTTTTCAGTCGGCAGTTCGTAATGCTACACGAACTTTAGTTTTCATCGTCTTCACTTATCTTCTTGCGAATATTTTGAATGTTGTCATCATTTTTTGGGAATATATTGATTTTGCAAGTCTAACCGGTCCCTTGGAAACATTCTATACATTTTCTGTTGATATTGTTTCACTGTCAACAATTTTTGCCGGAGCCCTAAGGCTTCCAATTTATGTGATTTGTCAATCAAATTTGAGACGAGAGTTTTATGCGCAATTCAAGAAAATTATCAGTTTTGGAATGTTGAAGGTTGGTTTTCAAAGATTTTCTACTAGAGAAAAATTATTTTGTGATGTTATAACATTTGTATTGACTGACTGTAACCACTTGAGGTGCATATTTTTTACAACAATTCCATTCGGTTGAAGTCATATTCTAAAAGTAAAAAATTGAAATTTTTGAGGAGAACACTAATATATCAAATATGTACCTTGGATATTTTAGTGCAATAAGTGTTCACTTCTTTTTTGGTGACAATTGCCAAACCTTTCCCATACATTTTGTTGATACAAGCATTTTGTTTTGCTGTTCCGGTATTCGTATTAGTTTCTTTGCAATCATTAAGAACTTTAAGACATTGAGTGATTGGAACGTTGCAAATTTCGATCATTGGAGCTGTTAGTTTATCAGCAAGAGCCATCAGATCAGTACAAGAATTGACTGGAAATAGGAGGATTTAGAAGACAAGGGAAATTTGGAGAGTAGGACTTACACGAACTGTAAAGTGAGAGAGCTGCAATTGCTTTACTAGCACTGTTATTGATAATACAAGTTTTAGCAGCTGGAAAAAAATGAATTCCAAGACATTTCGAGTTTCTAACTCGACCCCATCCTATTTTTCATCACTTACTCGAAATTAATGTTGTAGTATCATTAGGATTGGAATACAATTGGGGCTCAATACAAGCTAAAATTGGTTGCATTTCTGCTGGTGTGTAAAATGTTACACCAAAGTTTTTCGCCTTTTGACAAACTAATGCACGATTTGGGCATGACGCATTGATTACTGTAGCAAGAATAGTGACAATTAAAATGAATAAAAAGTGCATTTTGTATTTATGAACCAGTGTGAGAATGAGAGATGAACGCATTGTTTTTATAGTAGAAAATGGATTAACGGATATTAATAATTATTGAAAATTTTCGAAACATTGTTGAAAATATATGAAACCAGAGTTCAATGTTGAGTTGTTTCGATGATTTTTTCAATGACCAAAATATTTTTGATTTCTTAATTTTTTCCAGAAATATAAACCTGCTGTTGAAACCGATGACAATGAAAATGATGAAGATCGTCGAACTCCCGAGCCAACATCTTTATCTTCTCGACAATATCCAATGCTTTTATCACTTGGAACTGTTCTACTTGTTGAATCTGAAACTGACGCAAAAACCGAAATTCCAAGTTGCAAAGTTATACGACACACGGAAAAAGAGACGTGTGAAAAAGTGCAGAATATTTGACCCGACATCGGGTTCGAAAATAATAATGAGTTTGTATTTTTGGTTGTTTTTTATGTACAAAGTTTACGGGTTTGATTAAATGAAGCTTTTCCTCGAAGAAAGTTTTTATTTGTAAAATAATTTTGGCATCGAAGGAGATTTCTCTGATTATCATAAATCCAGATAATCTCGGATTCTCCTTCGAAAGAGCTCGTGAATTTTATATTACAATCCAAATCTTTTAAGATTGTGAAGTATGACAATAAATAAAGTAACGTGGATAAGGGTTTATTTTCTGATGTTACACTCGAGATTATCCTAATTCAAGATTATATACAGAAAAAAACATGAAGCTCATTTATTGAAAATAAAATTTTTTCGAAAAACGAAAAGTTAACCTACAGTAATCCCACCCTCAATTCATTGTTATACAAAATGTCAACTCTCTTTTCTCATTCATATTAACATAATCTGTGAGGGTGGAATTCTTCTTTTTTTCAGAAAATCCGATTAAAAATGTTGATTTTTCAGCCGTCACGGTTTGTTGACCACAGGAAAATATTACTGTAGAGATGTTTTTCTTCGAAAAAAAGTACACTCTTCCTCGAAATTAGTTCCATCCCACCCGCACTTGCGAGAATTTATCTTCTTTTTGTTGTTTTTCTTTTTCGACACACTCTTGACTTTTTAAAATTATAATACAAACTCCGCCTTTTATTTCATCTTTTTTTCGCAGCACAACGGGAGCGGAGCAACAACAAAAACAACAAATCTTATCATTTTAAACTGACTTTTTGCTACTTTTAATTTACTTTTATTTTATTATTACTACCTGGTCAATGGAGGAACAGACGGCTAATTTTGAGGTTTGTTGGTTTTTGGTGGATTTTTGGGATTAATGTTGAAAATGAATCTAAAATAGATTTGCCATTGAGTTTTCAAAAACATCGGTGTGAATTTTAAAAACCTGAATTCTATTTCAAATAATTTGTTCACTAAATTATAAGACACTACACAGTTTGAATCCACGTGGAATGTTTTTATAAACATGAATTTCAGAAAATATCAAACCTAACCCTATGAAGTGAAATTCAAGATCTGAATCTAGGACACTGAAAAAAAACATACATGAGATTAAAAATTTTTTAGGTATGAGCCACATCGATTTTGTCAAGAGCTTTTTTTAGAGAGGCGAAGAAAACTGATTTTTTTTTTTGAAAATTTTTTTTTCAATTTTTCCGATGCTGGCTAATTTTTCTCTTCGCAATTTGTTTGTCAATCTCTTTCAGAAGATAATTTATTTTCAAATTCCTAAACAATGTTTAAAAATAACTCTGAACGCCTATCTTCTTACAGTAAATAAATTACCAAACTAACACAAACAGTAACTTTGTTCCTGACCTTGATCAACATAAAATAAACTTTAAAGAATTTCTCACTTCGATACTCTTCCTCTTTCACAATAAAATAAGTCTCGCGGTAAAAAAAAGTAGCCGCTCTTCAAGCGATTCACATCGAAAAGATTATAATCTATCTATTTTGTCACCTCTTCTCGATTCTTCATTTTTTCTGGTGTTTTGTTCTGTCTGTTTTCCCGACACTCTAAAATTCGAGAACTCTTATAGATGATTATTGATTTTTCCGATTTGGATATTTCGCTGGTCGGTTTTTTTCTGGGAGCTCTTATCTCATCGAGAAGTTGTTAATAATTATTATTTGTTGACAAATCCTCTTGTCGGTCATGTCAAAACACTCGTTTTTTCTGTTGAATCGGAACAAAAAAAGAAATACATACATAGAGAGCCATGTTTAGAAACTAAACTTCAAAAAACATCTAGTTCCGGGATGATATGTTTCAAGTTTTTGTTTTCAGAATGCGTCGCAGATAATCAATCAGGTACTTCATGAAGCTTTTCTATCATCGAATTTTGATAACTATACGTCAGCAATTATAGCTTTGGATAAACCAGCAGCTTGGCAAAGTGAGTTATTCAGAAATGATGTCACTTTTCTCGCTTCCCTCACCTCTTTTTGTAACGATAAGATCTTTTGTTATTTTTTGCTTCCCAAAACATTTCTGGACTGGTCTTTCTTCTATTTTCATACAAATATAAATATTAAAAACAATAATCGATAGGGAAAACATATAGTCACAAGAAACAAAAAAATGTATCATCTCATCTGCTATACGAACCACTCATAGATGAATTGATTCCAGATGTTTTTTGTTATTTTTCAGCATGGGGAATCGGATTTGCAATTGTATCGGGGTGTAGTTTCTCGGCACCACTTGGAATTCTACTTCTACCATGTTTGTCCAAATCGCTTTACGAGAGAATTATGACGTTTTTGGTGGCTGTCGGAATTGGTGCACTTTCCGGTTCCACTATTTTTATCATGCTACCTCAGACTTTCAAGTTGGGAAGCTTTGAGAATTTCGAATATCACACTAAATCGTTGATTATTTTATGTGCACTTTATGCGTTTTTCACAGTGGATCGACTCTTGCAATATATTTTGGAGTTTCGTAGAAGGAGGCAAACAAAAAGGAGAATTCATGCTTCTACAATTGCTTCGCTTATGAACACACCGGTTGTTAGAAGAAAAGATAATGGAGTGAGTTATTATATGGGTGAATTGAGCCAGTCTAGTCACTTAGGAATCGGACCTTGTTTGTGGTCAGATTCAGATATTCTAAAAATCAAGTCCAATTCCAAATTTTTCGAAAAAAAATTCAAAACTAACAATTTTCTTGAAAATTCGATTTTCCAGCACAATCTAACTGAAGAAACTATTGTATCAAATGGCGCTTTGGAACAACCACCATCTATTACTCTTAAAGTTCCCGAACCTCAATATTTGCATCCGAACCAACTAACTCAAAATCAAAATCATGATCCAGAAAGGCAGGAAAAAGAGATAGCCGAACTTGCAAATGATCTCGAAATTGCATTAACAAACAATGTACTCGCTAGAACTTTCTCGACACGTCGAAGAGTTGCTGTTGTTAGTGGAGGACTTGATGAAATTGAATTTCGAAGTCCTAAACACTCTCATCAACCTTCAAATGCATCGCAGTTTCTTGGAGCTGTCAATAATGAATTTCACAAAAGAATGACCCCGTTATCTTCTCGTCCAGGCAGTCCAACTATTGATGTGCAAATGGCGAAAGATTCAATGGAGATGAAACAAAAAAGATCGGATTCAGATTCGATGTCAGTGTCGATTCGAGTTGTTGAGAAAAAAGTTATCGAACCAGCGGCAATGGAAGTTGCATCAGTCGCGTATATGATTATTTTTGGATCTGCTGCCAATAATTTTGTAGATGGAATGAGTATGGGAGCTGCATTTTCTGATAATTTACTACGCGGTTTGAGTATTGGAATTGCTGTTATTTCTCAACAATTTCCACAAGAACTTGGAACATTGGCGATTTTGGTAAAATCAGGACTTGGCCTTAAGAAGACCCTGCTCTTCAATATGGTACCGATTATTTTGAGTTTTTTGGGATTCTCAATTGGTGTAATGTTGGATAGTGTTGATGATTCTTATGATGAATATATTTTCGCAATTTCCTCCGGGATGTACATGTATATTTTTCTTGGAACTCTGGTAAAGTTTTTTATTTGAAATTTAATTATAATTTTGTGATTTCAGATCCCTGAAATTCGAGAGTCTACCAATGAACTGATCAAAGAAAATCTACGAGAATCAATTCTTGTTTCAATATTGCAAGCTCTCGGGATATTATTCGGAACAACATTTATGTATTTTATGAGTCGTGTCAACTCGGTGGATTTTTAAACAAAATTATCAATGATTTACGGGTTCAACAAATAAATATGTATATTCAAAATTGTTTTATTCGAGTTACATAACAAACAACAATTGAGCACCATTATGAATTTTGAAGAAAACTTGAGCAAATGTTTAAGTAGAATATTTACATGCGGGTAGAAAAACTATTTGAAGACAAATCTGAAGGTGAAACTTTGTCAGATCTTTCTGATTTCGATAATATTATTTCATTATCGCCAACAGCATTTCGCATTTCATCATCTCCAACTCTTTCCGGTATAACATTGAATATAATTTGCATAAATTCAGTTGTTTTATTATCAACTCCATTGCTAAATTCATGGAAACCAGGAATTGAAGGAAGTGCTCGATCCCAGAAAAATAATATGAATATAATTAGTCCTCCGAGTAAAATTCCAAGTCCAACAGCCGATGAACTAAAATCAGTAACAATACTGATAACAATCATTGATGTGCAAACCAAGAAAAATAAAATTGGCATAATAATTGGTAATTGAATACGATCTGGGTGCAATTTTTGCTTTCTGAATCTAACCCAAAGTAAGGCGGACATTGTGAAAGCACGTTGAGACCATTGAGCAAAGGCGACATAATTGATCAAATTGTTTGGGTCACCCATGAAACTAACAGCGACGGCGATCAGAATCTACAATGAAAAATAATTTCCAAATATATATTCGAAGCATTCGAACTTACATGAACTAGAAGAGCTATTCTTGGTGAGTCACATTTTGGACTGATTCCAGAAATCGCACTAGGAATATAACCTTGTCTTGAGACTGCTTGAAGATATCTACTTGCTGAGAACATTGTGCTGTTTAAGCTTCCGACAAGTAAAACAGCGACCATGACTGGCATTACAGGAGCAGCTGGTCCTAAAGTTGCATTAGCGAAATCGATAGCAACAGCGTTTGAACTTTTCAATTGTGGAACTGATAAAATAACACTGTATGAAATATTCACCAAAAGATAGATGACACCAATAGAAGTCATTCCAATAATAATAGCAAGTGGCATTGTTCTTTTTGGATTCTCTAACTCTTCCATTCCAAAATTTAGAATATCCCAACCATCATATGAAAAAAGACCGGCAAAAAGAGCATTAACAATCGCACCAGGATTCCAGTTAGAACCGTTGAATGGTCCTTTTAGATTATCGGTTTTGCCATTGATTATCAGAAAATAAAAACCGGTTATGATGATGAGAAGAGTTGCAGCAATTTTGGCTAATGAGGCGAGAATTGAGAATCGCTGCACAAATGTTTTGAGTGAGAAGAAGTTCATAAACATTAACAAACCTGAAACAGAATTGGAGATTGGAGAATTTGAAATTTTCAGGAAAAATAAAAATGTGTTACACTGAATCAAGTTCAAAAAAATTCTGAATGATCATCAAATAATTTCAGAAAATTTTCAAATTTCAAAAAAAAAACTCTAGACTCACTGATCAATGCAAAACCCAACAATTTTTTAGCCCAAAAGCCTGAAGTTTCATCCATCTCAATACCAGCGCCTTCAAAAACATAATTGGCAAAAGTTTGGGCTTGAACCGCCAAAGTTGCTGGATAATTGATTGTACAACCAATACACATAAAAGCAAAAGCTGCTGGATACCTGAAAATTTTTCGTTTTTCTTTCAAAACTTTAGTCTAAAAACTCACCATTTCATGAAACACAAATAAGCAAAATCTCCACCACTTAATCGAATCGAAGTTCCGAGTTCGACATAACAAAATGATCCTAACATCGAGATCAGCGCAGCCAAAATCCAAACAATCAACGACAAACCAACCGAATTGACTTGTTGAATAATTGAAGTTGGTGTAATAAAAATACCTGATCCCACAATATTTCCGACAATGTATGAAATGGCGCCCAAAAGGCCCATTTTTTGGGTTCGCGTAGTATCACCCATTTTTTCTGAACTCGTATTTTTCTTTTTCTTCTTTTTTTCACCTATAAACAATAGTTATTATTATCAGGAATCTGAGAATTTGATTCAAAAATAACCGGATACTGCATTTTCCCAATAACACGAAAACCAATAGAAACATTCCAGGAGATTTGACATTTTGCAAAATTCAGAAATGAGTGAAAATCTTTTTTGTTGGATTTTGGGGAAAAAAAACTAAACGTGGAAGGTTCACGTACAAAAAATTTTAATTTTTTTCAACACACAAATCTAAATGTGTCAATAAGTCAAAACAATTCTCTGACTATATTTAAATTCAGAAAATAATATTTACAGTTCAATTCTTATTTTTGGAAATTATGACCCAAGCATTTTCTATTCATTTCAATAAACATTTGCAAAATTCTGAAAATGATTGTTCACTGTTGGAAAAAATATACATAATGAACAACATTTTTTCAAATAATGACAACACACAGTTTGTTCTTTTCTAATATCATCATAAATAATATTTCGTGTCAAACAAGAATTAAAAAATGAAAATAAAAACCAAAAGTCAGAATCATTGATAAAAAAAATTGTGAATACCAAAATATTTAATGTAAGGTATTTATAAAAGTTCACGGGTGTGTCATGTGAAACGAGAAAAATATCTGGAAAATTTGATAAGAGAGCTGTTAGATGTTTAATGGTTTCAAACGGGAATTTAATCAGCTCAAAGAACAGAATTTCGGAGAAAGTGCAACATTTTTATTATGGAATTTGAGAGTAGACAGTGAAGTTTGAAACTTGATAAAAAATTATCTTCAAAATATGGAAAATAATTTTTGTATCGAAGTTTTCCGAAAAGTTTGAGATTTGTGATCCAAGCTTCTGAAAATACATTTTGGAGCCTACAGATCAGAGTTTGATAAGAGGTTTTGAGAAACGGTAAGTGCAGTCTTACAGAGCTCGACGTGCTGAACACGGTGTTGCAAAAAGTAGCTGACCCGAGCCGTGCAAAGGTCCTCTTAAGATGTAACACTCTCATGAAAATTCTTCGTCAGATGATTTTTAAAGTTTTTCATTCGAATTAAATTTCAAAAAAAATTTTGAATTTCAATTTTTTAGAATTCTGTTTGGATTTTCAAAATTCAAATCTTCAAAACATTCTCATACAATTCCATTCCTCCCATATTTTCAAAAATCACCATAAAAAAATTCCAATAAAAAATCAGAGTACAAAAATTACAAAATATTGAATGTAATCTACACATAAGCACATTTTGTAGATGCACGATTATCGGCAATTTGATAAGACCGAAGAAAAAAAGAAAGACGAACAAAAAAACCGATAGACGCGGCAGGACGAAAAAATTGTCGGCTCGCAAATCAAACTAAAAAGGATTAATTGATTTTGGCCGGTCGATTCGGATTAACTAAAATACACAAAACAGAAATAAAAACAGTAAACAGAAATATTTATTTATTCATTCATAACAATTCCCTGAAACGTATTTGTTCAATGTTTTTCATTAATTTGAATTATGATTATTATTATGTTTAGGCCAAAATGTAGGAAGAAGAGAGGAAAAGAGTTCCACGTTTTGCATTGAGGTTGTCTTGAATTTGACTGTTCAACGTTTGCCATTGACTTTCGTAAATTTGTTGGATCGCAGTGACTTTTACAGTTTGAGTGATACTATAGGCACTGTTTGTGTTACTGCAGTTATAGAGAACCAATCCACCTTGGGTGAAGAATTGTGATGTTTCGGAGGCTGTTGCAGGGCAAGTGGTTACCAATGGAGTGTTTGGTGGGAAGAAGTTGAGGGTGAGGGCAAGATCAGTTGTTGGAATACTGTTAGCAGTGAGAACTGCATTGACTGCTGATTGAACATCTGATTTGGCAACTTGTGCAGCGTATGCTTCACTAATTTGACCATTCGACAAAGAAGCTGCCCAGGTATACATTACTGGTGGGACAATTTCATAGGTGAAAGTGGCAGTTTGCGCAAGTTGGCCTGTTCCTGGACCGCAAGCAATAGCCAAAGTTGGGAGAACAAGAAATATCAACATTTTTTATGAGTTCAATATGTAAAACTTTTCTGACTTTTATAGCTGCTCTCGTGTTGGTCGGTAGACAAATATTGTAGATTTTTATTTTACAACTTATTTTAACACCCACAATTTTTGGATTTGATAAGAATGATTTATTTTTATTTTTTATTTATGTTTATGTAAGTGCAAATATGCCGGAAATATCAAATGATAACAACTAAAAAACTTTATATAAAATCACTCACAATAAATGCTTCGACAAAGAACAAAAAATTTAATTGTTTTTCATGCCACGTTCAAATGTTTCACCCGAATAAGTCGTGTATTTCACCGAAAAATTGGACAGTTAGCTTGATTACAAATGGATTATCCTAATGATGATATGTTTTACAAACACATGTTAACATAATTTTTTGAACTACAGCTTATTTCTCTTTTGAACTAGAGTCATCTTTCCTTAATCGATATACCTTCTGCTGTTTATTCATTTGGTACAGTCTGCTGTGTTTCCCATAGCATAAGAATTCATCTGTAAACCACATTTGATAAAAATTTCAATCTTCTTATAAAATTTTTGGTTATATTTGTGTTGCTTTGGTCACTGAACATGGCTCTGTTTCCACAATTATTTTACTTACGACAAATACAGCTATTCGACAAGTAATAAAAAAATATGGAATTGATTTTTTAGTCATTCAAACTTGTGCCAATTGGCAACATAATAAATAATTTTTCTTGAAAAATTCAGCTGTTCGTTGATTAGCTTTTTTCTTTTTTTATGTCGATGTTTGGGTTAAATGAGACATGCACGCCGGAAAAACCAGAGTTTGTTGAGTACATTACACATTCCACGTCATTATTATCAATCCCTATTTATGGTATCACATTTTATATTATTATTTTCAAATGTCCCACAGTTTTTGATAGATATCGTATACTTTTACTTCGCCATTTAGCGTCATGTCTGTTTATGGAAATTCATATGTCAATTTTATGGCAAATGACTCTAGTTTTACCATTCACAGCGATTTGTGCAAATGGAATAGCATATGATTTTCCTAGATTAATGTTTCTTCTGTTAGTATATTCGATAATTGTAACAGCCTATTCTATATTTGATCTTTTTGAATATCGTATGGAAGCAGTGACTTCAGAAGAAGAAAAACTGATGAAAATGGCTCTACTCTACTTTAAATACTTCTGTTACTTCATCTTTATTATTACAGCAATTTTAGGAATGTTACATTTAGATTCAAACACAAACGATTGGCAGTACAAGCAAAAAGTTGAAAATGTATGTATGATGAATTTTTAAAAATATAACTAAAAATATATGTTTTTTCTAGAAATTTGGAACAATGCCAATTTATGTTTGGTGCGATAATTGTATTTTCGCAATCGCTGATTCTTTAATAGTTATAATTTTCTATGGTTCTAGTGTTTGCTCTGTTCTTTTATCTATGGAATATGCTTTTTTCACTATTATTATCTCAATGGTTGGACTGAATAAAATGAAAAAATCAATGTCTTCGAAAACATTAGCAATGCAAAGGAATTTTCTAATTAGCCTATTTCTCATGGTATGTCAATTTGAATGTTTCTAGAAACTAGGAGATTTGTTTCCGAATTGCCACGTGCACAGCCCACGTCAGTTGTACTCATTTTCTGAATAATGTCTACTTATATGATAATATTCATACATTCAGAGTGCCGTTCATCTTGCATTCATCGCAGTACCCAGCGGGATTTACCTAACAACATTTTTCGTTACATATCCAATTGAATATATGCGTGAGAATCGTTTTTCTTGATTAACATTAAATCAAATTTAAAATACATAATTTCAGCATTAAGTTATCTTTGTGTCGCTCTAGTTACCCAGCACGGTTCTGGCTCAACATTCATTCTTCTTACGACAAATAACTCTTTGCGAAAAGTTGCTGTGGAAATCGGTAATGTTTATGTTTTCTGAAGTGTTTCCACATGTATTTTTTGTCATTCAGTTATGTGTAAAAAGAAACTGATACGCAATATCTCTGTGGTTTCAATAACTCGAAGAAGATCGATGGGAGCCTGATAAACAATTGTTATGTCTACAAAAATTATAGATGAAAAAATCGGACTAAAATAAAATGTTTGATGTTATGGTTACTCAACATCCAAATTGATATGTATATTTCTATCACTATAAACAAATTACATGCATTTTGTTCTTGTTTTTGGATTTGATGTTTTGGTTATTCAAACTTTCCTAGTATGCTTATTTTTTTCTTATTTTTTCAAAAAATGCACCTGTTGCATTCATTCACACAGGTGGATGGGAACAAGTTAATTACTAAAAATAAAATAGTAACTAATAAGTTTTGCAATGATAAATAGCTTGTAGTAATAATGTGTCAACACAACAAGCTAATTACAAGCAAGAAATTTTCGAAACGAGAAAAAAACACAACAAGCGTGTTACAATTGCACAACTAATTAGTTATTAATTTATGAGTTAAAGGCGCAGGATTGGTCCTGTAGCGAAAAGGTGTGTGGACGTTTCTCGGAGGAATTGCGCGTCCCTCATTTTTCTTTTTTTTTTTCGTTTTCGTTGTGTTTTCCTGTTTTCATAGAGAAATGGGGTGTTTGAAACTGCGAAAAAGGCAAGCAACATGGTTACTGACTAGGACTTAGTAGCAAATTTCATCGGAACTTTGAAATTTTACATGTTTAGCGTGAGTTTAGGCGAAAATCCTAAATTTTTTATTTTCCCTAATTCTTCAATTTTTACTATCTTATATCATATTGTCATTTAGTATATAGTAAAATCTTTTGATGCTCGAATTGTTCGCACGTTATAATTTACTGTTCTGGAATCGTGATATGAATTTACAGAGCTGCCAAAAGAAAGCTTTCACCAAGTTGGTCAATAAATTACAAGATGGAAATGGAAAGAATCTCGATTCCGAATTCAACTAGCTCAAGAAAGACTGCTCATCGAACTGTGTTATCGCTGACACTCAGGTTTGTTGACTTGAATAAGAAAGTCGGGTTTTAATGGTTTTTTGTTTTCAGATGAAAGTCCTCAACCGCTCAACGAAGAAGACTTATTTTGTCAAAATCCAATTCAACAGAGGAACCGCCATCCTCACAAAGTCTCGTGAGCACCCCGAGAATCAAATTCCAACTGGCACCGTCTCCACTCAATATGAAATGATGGAAACCACCGTGTGATACCAAGGATTATGGATTCGGCGGAGTTACCAACAAAAGGAACACCGAGAAACTTCCACGTAAGACATGCGTGAGTCTTGGCGAAGTCGCCTCCGTCGAGCTTGGAATCCATCTCATGTCGCCTTCACCGTTGCTCGTGCTGGTCAACAGGGATGCTGCTCAAAGAGCAATTAATTCTCTTTTTCCCCCTATTTTATTAGCCACAGTTTTTTCTTGTTTTGTTATGTTAAACGCTAACCCCTATTCCAATGTAGATATTCCACCTGAATGTTTCTGTTTTTCGATTTTTAATAAATAATGTGAATGGAAAAGTGTAAATTATTATACAAAGTAAACGGAATTCAAAAGTAAAGAGATTTGTGCAAAACTCGTTAGTTATTAAAATTATTTTTGTAACTAGCTTGTTACACTGTTTGTAACAAGTGAGTAATGCGAACCTAAATGAATTGTAATTAAAATTTTCAACAAGTTTGTTACAAATTTGTAATTAACTTTTTCCCATCCACCTGTGCATCCGTTTTTTTCAGTTTATGTTCGGTCTAAATGAAACCTGTACCCCCGAAAAACCAGAATTTGTTAATTACATAACACATGGAACAACTTTATTCTCTCTTCCGATTTATGGTATCACATTTTATATTATCATTTTCAAATGTCCTACTGTTTTCGACAGATATCGTATACTTTTACTTCGCCATTTAGCGTCATGTCTGTTTATGGAAATTCATATGTCAATTTTATGGCAAATGACTCTAGTTTTACCTTTCACAGCGATTTGTGCAAATGGTATTGCTTATGATTTTCCTAGATTAATGTTTATTTTATTAATTTTCTCGATCCTAATAACTGCTTATTCGATTTTTGATCTCTTTGAATACCGTATGGAAGCAGTTACTTCAGAAGAACAGAGGCGTATGAAAAAAACAGTATTGTATTACAAATACTTTTGTTATTTTTCGTTCATAATTACAGCGACTTTAGGAGTTGTACATTTAGAATCCAACACAAATGACTGGAATTACAAACAGAAAGTGGAGAACGTATGTGGAAAAAAATGTATTAATTTTTTTCATTTTTTTTTTAGAAATTTGGAACGATGCCAATATATGTGTGGTGTGATAACTGTGTTTTTGCAATCGCCGATTCTCCAATAGTTATAATATTTTACAGTTTCAGTGTTCTCACTGTTTTTCTATCTATAGGTTATGCATTATCCACAATTTATATTTCAATTGTAGGACTGAGAAACATGAAAAATTCTCTTTCTACAAAAACGTTAGCAATGCAGAGAAACTTTTTGATCAGTTTGTTTTTAATGGTAAGCGTTTTTCTCAAAAAATGAGAATTTCCAAACTGTCACGTGAAACAACCTCACTTATTTAAAGCGTTGAATAACACATTCATAATTTGAAAACAATTCAGAGCGTTGTTCATATTGCATTCATCGCAATACCCATTGGAATTTATCTAACCACATTTTTTGTTACATATCCAATTGAATATATGCGTGAGTAATTTTTGTTATTTTCCTCTGCTTTTCCGATTCATCACTAATTGGGAAAAAATCAGCATGATCGTATAATTCCAGCTTTGAGTTATTCCTGTGTTGCTGTGGTCACTCAACACGGTTCAGGTTCAACATTTCTTCTTCTGACAACTAATAATTCTGTTAGAAAAGTTGCCATCGAAATTGGTAATTTCTTTCATTTCTTATACTTTTATCTGATATTCATGACTCTTCCAGTTTCTTGTAAAAAACGATTAGCTCAACATACTTCGGTTGTTTCAAAAACTCAGAGGAGATCGATAGCTAATTGAAAAGCGTTTAAAAATGCACCTGCCGCTTTGAACACAATTATATTCGAAATTATTCCAAAGTTGTAATGTTTGGTTTAAATGAGACTTGTATTCCCGAAAAACCGTTTTTTGTGCAAATTATAACAGATGGTATAACATTTCTATCTATTCCAGTTTATTTTCTTGCATTTTTCATTATAATTTTCAAATGTCCATCAGTTTTCGATAAATATCGTATTCTTCTTCTTCGTCATTTGATTGCATGTTTTTTGATGGAAGTTCATATGGGATTTTTCTGGCAATTGTCTGTTAATCTACCATCAATTGCATTGTGTGCAAATGGAATCGCTTTTGATTTTCCTAGAATAATGTTTTTTGTTCTCATTATTCTCATTCTTATTACAGCATATTCGGTTTTTGATCTTTTCGATTATCGAATGGAAGTTGTAACAACTGAAAACCAATATAAAATGAAGAAGGGTTTAAAGTATTTCAAATATTTAACGTATTCAATTTTCATACTGACTCTTATCATTTCATATATTTCTTTACATTCAATAACAAAAAATAGAAGTTATAAACAAAATATGGAAAAGGTAGGATTCTATCAAAATATTGATAATCAATTTTTGTATGTAGATGTTCGGATCTCTACCGGCATACATTTGGTGTGACAATTGTATATTTGCAATTCGTGATTCAGTGTCTGTGATTTCTTTTTATATTTCTGGTTTCGCTTCAGTCACTCTTTCTGTGATTTATTGTTTTGGAACCGCCTTTGTATCCATCTCAGGTTTGAATTCTCTCAAAAACTCATTATCCGAAAAAACCTTGGCACTTCAACGAAATTTTCTGATTAGTTTATTCTGCATGAACTCTGTTCATTTATCATTTGTAGCATTTCCAACAGCAATTTTTCTATTCGCATTTTTTGTGAAACTTCCAAATGACTTTATGCGTAAGTTCAGTTTTCGTCCCATAAGTTTTATAGAAACTCAGATAATTTCAGCTCTCAGTTATTTATGTGTTGCTCTTTTAACTCAACATGGAAGTGGTTCAACAGTAACTTTGTTAACAACTAATAACTCGCTACGAAGAGTTATTCATAAACTTTGTTAGTAAAACAATCATTTCTCTATATAAAAATGAATTTTTTACAGTTTTTGGTGGCAAAATTTTTCGTAAGAAAATCAACAATACATCTCGAAATGTTGTTTGAATTATTACTGTGAGTAGTTTGAACATAAACTTGCATCGAATCTCTCTAAATCAGTTATATAGCGAATAATTATTTTCGACTTTTGGGTTGAATACGACACGTATTCCAAAAAACACTGTTCGTTGAAATACTCGTAAATGGAATATCGTTTTATAAATTCCCATACATTTTCTCGCAATATTCAAATGTCCCACAGTATTTGATAAATACTGCATTCTTTTTGTTGCGTCATCTGTTTTTCTGTTTTTGATGAAAATTAATTTTCAATTAATTCCAAAATAGATTTTCCAACTTACACTGGGAAGTAGTATTGGATTTTTAATTATATTGAACGCTTATCACTTTCGACATGAAAATGAATTCGAACAATTTCAGTTCAGGTATGAACAAATGTTCTGTTTTTAGGCATTATAAAAACAAGCAAAATATTATCAACAACATTCCTTCAATTTCCTCTCAAAAATAATTATTATTTGCTCATCGGTAATAATTGCAGGTTTTTTTTAGAGATTAGTGAAAACAGAAAGAATTATATTGCACCGGTTTTCTTCGCAACGGTAAAGCTCATTTCATAGATGAAATGTTCGGTTTGAATGAAACGTGTACTCCTCAAAAACCACTATTTGTAGAACTTATAACGAATGGAACTTCGTTTCTATCAATACCAGTGTATTTGCTTGCATTCTTTATTGTAATTTTCAAATGTCCAACAGTTTTTGATAAATATCGTATTCTTGTACTTCGTCATTTGATAGCTTGTTTTCTTATGGAAGTTCATATGTCATTATTCTGGCAAATGACAGTAATACTTCCTTTCACTTCGATATGTACAGATGGAATCGGATATGATTATCCAAGATTAATGTTTTTCATTTTGTGTATTTCAATCATTTTAACAGCCAATTCAATTCTCGACTTATTTGATTATCGAATGCAAGTTGTAATAACTGAAAATCAAGATAGTTTAAAATTTAAACTTCGATATTTGAAATATACCAGTTATTTGTCATTTACAATATGTACTATCACATCGTATTTTTCATTACCAAATATAACGAACGACCACAGTTATAAAAAATATATTGAGCAGGTTTTGAAGAAGAAAAAACAGTAGATCGAATTGGATTTTTTGTGTTTTTAGGAACTTGGACTACTGCCAACATTTATCTGGTGTGATAATTGTGTTTTCGCAATTCGTGAATCAACATCGCTTTACTGTTTTTTAGTTTCGAGTTTTTTCACGGTATTTATATCAGTTTCATACTGTCTTGGAACTGCTTATGCATCAGTTTCCGGTTTGAAAAGTCTTCGAAATTCTTTATCTGAAAAGACATTGGCACTTCAGCGAAACTTTTTGATTAGTTTATTTTTCATGAATCTTGTTCACTTTGTATTCATCGCAGCTCCATGTTCAATATTCTTTTTTGCATTTTTCGTAACAATTCCCAATGAGTATATGGGTAAGTAAACATTGTGAATAAGACAAATTCTCGAAAATTCATACAGCTTTGAGTTATCTATGTACTGCTTTTGTAACCCAACATGGCAGTCTTTCAACATTGGTTCTTCTGACAACAAATAACTCGTTACGATTAGTTGCTTATGAATTGAGTTAGTTTTAAACCTGAATCTACATAGAAGTTCACATTTTTTAGTTTTTGGTCGTAAACTATGTCGGAAACAAGTAATTACCTCATCTCGTCAATTCTCATAAGCGTTTTCTTCTGACTTCAACGAAAACATAATTGAATACTTCATAAAATAATCTCTATTCTATAAATGTTTGGATTAAATGAAAATTGTAGCTTGGATAAACCTGTATATATTGAAATTTTAACTCATGGTGCATCAATTTCATCTATTCCAATTTACACTATAACATTTTATATTCTAATTTTTAAATGTCCAACAGCTTTTGATAAATATCGTATACTTCTTCTTCGCCATTTAACTTGTTGTCTTTTCATGGAAATTCATATGTCAATTTTGTGGCAATTTTCATTAGTTTTGCCTTACACATCGATTTGTGCAAATGGAATTGCTTCTAATTTTCCAAGATTCATGTTTATTTTATTAGTTTTCTCTATAATTCTAACTGGTTATTCAATAATTGATCTTTTCGAATATCGAATGAATGTTGTAACAACTCAAGAACAACGAATTATCAAAAAATGTTTGTTATATTACAAGTTCTTTTGTTATTTCAATTTCATAATAACTTCTGGAATTGGAATTGCACATTTACAATATTTGACAAATGACTTTCAATATAAACTGAATGTTGAAAAGGTTGAATCCAAAATTTACTGCAATGTAAAAAGTACAAATGATGTAAATTTCAGAAGTTTGGGAAAATGCCAATTTATCTCTGGTGTGACACGTGCATTTTTGCTCGAACAGATTCCATAACAGTTATAATCTTTTATGGATCTTGTGTGTTTTCTGTGATTTTAGCAGTTCAATATTCTAATTTCACAATTGTAATTGCAATAATTGGGATGAATAAAATCAAAAAAATCATTATCTAAGAAAACATTAGCTCTACAGAGGAACTTTTTGATCAGTTTATTCACAATGGTGCGTAGGTTGCCATTTTTTGTTAAAAAAAATAAATGTGGAACATTAGTGTGCAGTTCATCTTATTCTAATAGCTGTGCCAAGTGGAATTTATCTTACAACATTTTTCTTTTCTTATTCAAAAGAATATATGCGTGAGTTCTCAAAACCAATGAAACACCTAAAAATCAGTTTTTACAGCTTTGAGTTATGTTTGCGTGGCTCTTGTAACTCAACATGGTTCAGCCTCTACTTTGACTTTGATAACAACAAATAATTCATTGAGAAATGTTGCTCTAGAAATGGGTAACGAAAATAGATTTTTTGTGAAAAAAAGTTGATAATTTTCAGTTTCCTGCAAGAAAAAAGTGACGCCAAGTTTGCCAACAAGTCGCATGTATTCATCATATTTTTCTAGATGACCAAAAAAGTCGCAGACGATAATTATAGGATTGGTCCAATGAACTTATATTCTAAGAAATATCAGATAAAACGTTCTTTGTAATTTGTAGGTAAACTGGATACAATCAGAATAATTATTGCTTGCTAAGTCTGAAGAGAACCAAACGTAACTGCTGCAGTAAAAAATATTATCTAAAACCTAATGTGTTATGATGTTAGTCGGAATATTTGTTTTCTCTTCAAAGAAATTCAAAAAAGAATTCAGTCAGCAAAAAATTAGGGCGTATTTAGATAAAATCATATAACTTCATGCTTATTCCAATTTCCAAAATGTTTGTCAACATATCCCGAAAACTCTCATTAATTTTAATCGTTTTCTTTTCAATTCTTCTATGTTTTATGATAATTCTATTCCCATCTAGACCAATTTCAAATAAAGCATTTTTCGATAAATTTAATGGATGTTATCTAGAAAATCTACACCCATATTTCAATGATTATGAACAATTCTGGCGAAATTTCGTATCATCAACTAAATCGTGTCAAAAAATATGGACACAAAAACTAACTCAAATTGGAGAAAACTTTCTTATTTTGCCTAAAAATCCGGAGAAGAATATGACAATAGTTAGTGTTGGAATCGATTATAATGAGATGGAACTTCAAAAAAAGAATCCAAATATTGAAATGATAAAGGCAGATGAGAAAAAGCAATCAACGACTGGTACAGGCAAAATTTATAAATATCGAATCTCGGGAAACGGAATGCCATCAAGCTATCCAGCTTTGAAAACAAGAAATCGCTATATCGAGGGAGGAACTTCTGTCGGGGCAGCTTATTTTTTAAGAATCGTTTTGCAAAAACCAGTGAGTTTTATTTTTAAACTAGTAAAAATATAACCGTAGCTAAAAAGGTGGGATAATGGTAGAACAGGCCCATCTCTAAGTTCCTGAAACTGGTAAAGCTTAAAATAATCGCCCCACGATGTCAGATATTAATCTGATCTCTCTATCTTCTCATAAACAAAACCTTACAGGTCATCGATATGTTTTGGTTCGATAGTATGTTCAATGAGCAAGACATAATGCACGAGCTCCACATTGGAAAAGGTCTCGATAAATTGGCAAGTGATCTAGTCATATGTCAATTAAATCTTCGAATCTACCTCAATCCCACGCACAGTTCTCAAAAAATCTTTCACACCTTCATTCAAAAACTTCTCATCGACTACAAATTTCTGATCATCCGATCCTCCCAGCCAAATCTTGCTCTAATAAAACTTTTCCTGGTAAACATGCGAGATCCGGAATGTATACATTCGTTTATTCTTTGATTTGATACTTATTTTTGATTAGTAACAGTTATTAAAGAAAAATAGAAGAAAAAGAAGGAAAAAGAATAAATTAATAAATAATTGTAAAAGTTAATTTTCAGAATCACAACTCAAGAAAAAAGAGAAAACAAATTCCTAAATGAAAGGGGGTGTAAACGATAAAGCTGAGATATTCACAACAATGAGGGGAAAGTGGATAAATTATTGAAACAGGAAAAATCACAGTCATTTCAAAAAAAAAGGTTTGTTAGTAAATGGAAGTCAAAAAATGGATATTTATTCTAAGTAGTTAAGTTAGTATAGTTTGTCCGTAATTAGTCAAACTTCCGCCGCCAATAAAAGTTTCCGTGGCAGAGATTTGAGCTTCTGGAGATGAGGAACCCGTTGAAGATGATGCTGTAAGTTGCTGAGAACTTCCACCAAACATCAATTCCTATAAGATTATTGGGATAATATTGATGAAAATTACCAAGAGGACTCACACCTTTCTCGGAACCGGTGATGGAGTTCGCCTTAAAACCACAAGTTCCACCAAATCACTGGATGAATTGATCGCACTCATTGCATCGACTTGTGAGGCATTTACCACATTTCTGTCATTTACTCTGGAAATACCGTGTATGAAATAAGAAAATTACCTTTTCGAGAAAATTTGGAACAAAATTTAGCAAGCCTTTTTTTTGGAAGTAGTATGTTTGTTATTTCTGGTTAAATTGTTATACCAATTCGAAATGTATATTTTCAAGAAGATTTTTTTCACTCTCGCTTTTTGATATGTTTTTATTATTTTATTTTTCCCACAACTTTTCTATTTTTTGGATACGTTGATTATGTTTCCGATTCTGTTTTAAATCCAAAGTTGTATCTGGATTTTTAATTGTGTCTCATAATTTCCAGTTTTTGAACGTTCGTTGGATGAATAATGATAATCTTGTTTGCTTTGTGAGTTTCGAATTTTCGATTTTTCAAAGATATTCCCAAAATTTTCAGATCAAATCTTGCGTTTAAAGAATTTGAAAATGTCTGTTTTTTTTTCAGATTTAAAATGTTGTCTTTTTACTTCTTTACCTTAAGAATTCTGAGAACACATCCCCAAGAATTCATCAAAATGTCCAATCCCTCTCCAAAAATCACTCACCTAATCAATTTATCTCCCTCTCGCAATCCATATTTCTCAGCCGCGCTTCCTGCTGTGATTTTTGTCACGAAAAGTCCAACATCTCCTTTGGATCCTGGGGCTGGTCCATTTTCAGTTCCTCCGGCAAACGTCAACCCGAGTATTCCACTCGAGTCTCGTCGAATCACTATTTTCTTCATATTCGGATTCGATGCAGATAGTGATAGATTTGATATCGAATTTCGGGCTTCTGAGGCGGAATCAGGAGATCGCGCATTTTCAGGCTTTCCGTTTGAGAATCTGTGGAAAAAAATGGTTGTTTTTTTAGGAAAAAAGAAATATTTTGATATTTAGAAAATAAAAACACCACACAACATTAGGTGAAGGTGAGATGAAAATAAAACACAAGGTGAATAAGACACTCACGACGAATCTATGAACCTGATATCATCCGCCACGTTTATTGAATTCATTGAAGAAGATCCAACAAATGAAGATGTTGAAGATTTTTGATGATTTAGAGAGAATTGACGAGGCTGTGGTTCAGTCTGAAAAAATATCACATTGTTTCAAAAGTCAAATTCAAGGTATTTTCAATTCTGAACGGGATTTAAAAAAAGCAAACTAATTCGAATAATTTCAAAAATTTGATTAAAATATATCAAAAACTTTTTTGAAAATTTGAAAATCCCAATTTCTCGAAAACAAAAAACTCACATCATGCGGGATAACATGTCCATCAATCGACGACTTTTTAATCTTTGGATTTTTCGGATGTGGTGTATTGTGTCTTTCAAATTGTCCCAATTGAATCTTATCCTCTTCCAAAGTGCTATCCTGATCATGAAAATGAACTTTTGGACCGCCCAAAAATGATCGATTTGCCGCATTTGATCCACTTCTATCCTCATTATCCCCGTTTCCATCCAATGCTGCATTATATTGTGGCAGCAAATAACAAGTCAAAACTTTGATTCCTGTTCTGTTGTCTCTTTCTTGTGTCAACTTCAAAATTGATTGCGTTTGGTTTTCGCTGAGCCAAAGAGCTTGAAGTTTATAGAGAACATTGATGGTGAATGGAAGATTTGATAGTTTGTTGGCAGCGACATCGAGAACTGTGAGATTTTCACATTTTCCGATTGACATTGGCAATTCGATGAGGGAATTTTGACGAGCAGATAAAACAGATAATTGGTGACAGCCTCCGATCTACAAAATAATTATTTTATCGAACTATTCCTTCAATTATTTAAGTCAACACTTACAGTATCCGGCAAATCTGTCAATTGATTTCTATCTACATTCAAAGTTGTTAGTTTCTTCAAATCTCCAATCGAAGTTGGAATGTCCTGCAATAACACAAAAATTGATCAATAAATAGCAACCCATATGTTTATATATTTTTTTATTGAAAAAAGTCCAGCTGCGTTCTTTTTTTTGTGTTGCCAACTCACCGATAATAAATTGTTAGTCAAATACAATTCTGTCAATGATTCGCATTTTCCAATTTCGGGAGTTAGTGTATGAATTGAATTGCGATCCGCTTTCAACATTGTCAATTTTCGAAGACGGCCAATTGAGGTGGGCAATTCTTGAATGACGTTTTGCGAGATATTCAAATCGGATAGACTTTCCATGTTGCCGATTTCGTGTGGAAGAACTTGGATTTGATTTTCGGAGACATCTAGAAATTTGAGAGTTGGTGGGTTTTTAAGAAATGAGGGATTTATTTATAATGAGCCATCTATAATGATGTGGAGAACGGGGTCACGTTCACGTGAATTTTATTTTCAATTAATCGAGCTTTGTTTGAAATGGCTCATTTGTGTGGAATAAAATATACAAGAATTTATAGCCGCCTCCGGCGGCAAAATTCTTGTGTTACGCAGCCTGCGGCTGCGAACCGTTACAGGCAGCCTTCGGCTGCCTTGTCACACTCCTAGCATTTTTTTAGAATATTTTAATGAAAAAAAAAACATAAAATAATCAAAAATTTAGGGTCATATGTACAACCTCTGGCATATAACCATTTGATATTTAACCCTTGTAATTTCTTCGGCTTGTTCATGTGTTCATACCTTGCGATTTCCGAAATTTGATTTTATTAATTTCAGTTGACAATTTTTGAGTCAATCCAGCCTTACAAAATATAGTAGTTACGAACAAATCTCAAAATCCTCACAGCAATAATTGAATGTTAGTATTCTCTAAAAAAATCGAAAACGAAATTTTTTTTCACAAATACCGAAGATTAAAGAAAAAACTCCGGCTTCGCGCGTAGTGATCAGTAGATGTGATATTTTTTAATGATTCGATTCTCGAAAACAGTATACACGTTTAGGATTGGAATATGGTCACGAAATGCTGTGCTCACCAGTTGGAAATGAGTTTTGAGGTGTTTTTACGGCTATTTAGTTATTTGTTTCAGCTTTCATTTCCTGTTTTCCCGAACTTTTCAGAATATAGCCATTTTAAAAGAAATAGGAGATAAAAATGTGTTTTGATTTTTCTGGAAACTACATTTTAATTTGAAAAAAGTTCTATGATCCGATTTTTTATTCACATCCACACCTCGGCCAAGCCGTGGCTGACCAGAGTACAATTTTTGGAAAAATCTGAATTTCAGCTTTTAGAGGTCAAAAATTGAAAAATTCTAATTTTCAGAGGACAAAAACTGAAAAATTCATAATTTTTGTACTGTAAAAAGTCAGCGTACATTTTTTTATTGTGGAAACCACGATTTTGGCTGAGGTGTGTTCACATCAGTTGATTTTTCTTATTTTGAATTAGTTTGATAATAAAAATCCAAAAAAAGCATTAAATTTTTTAATCTGATCCGCAACATGAAACATTGTCAAAAACACTGAAATCTAGAGAAGCTTCTTATTTTAAATAGATTATAAAAGAACCAGAAAAACACATCAAAACTCAAGATTATCAATTTAGTTAAATAATTTTTCTTCTGGTCAAATTAATTAGCCAATTTCTGAAAACTGCAGCTTTTTAAATTATCTACAGTAGGTTGACTTGGTTACTTTTTCTTTTTCTCATAGTCCGATTAGGAGAAGAAAAACATCGAGAAAAGACTTGAAATATTTGACTATGAAACTTAAACTGACAAAAAAAATGAAAGTGAACATTTTATTTATGCTTAGGTTCCAATAAACTTCAAAAAATGTTGATTCTAGAACTTCAGATATGATTCAAGTATACACTTTTCTTGTTCACAAAACTTCATTTCTTTGTATTATGATTAATGTAGGCTCACTGTTTGAGAATGCCAAGTTATCAAAAAATCTAGATGATTGAAACTTCAGAACTGTAGATCGGACAAAAATTTCGACCCATAAAATTTAAACTTTGAGATCAATTTCACAAAGTGCCAATTTTTAAGTGAACCATAGAAATATGACTTTCAAAAAAATATATGTCCTCTAGCTTTCAGTGTACATTAGCTTTTCTAAAAATGACCATAGATAATCTAGCTCCAATTTTTTCTGCGCAGAGAAATCTATCGCCAACTATTTTTTTGAAAAATTGGGCTGAAAATGGATTTTTCAAGTTTATAGACTCAAAATTCATAAAAAGTTTCAAAATTTTGATGAGTAAGTAAATTGTTTTATTCTAAAATCAGGTATATGTGATTTTTGGAAACCATTCTGGTTCTTAAAAAAAACTTTTGAAGCTTTTGATGCAAGAAAGAAATGTTTCAGATGGAAAAAATCGGGAGAATTTGGAAGTTACAACTTCAAGTATGCCTAAAACTATACAAAACTAAAATCATACTATAATAAAACTCACATTAGGATTACGAATTCATATCAAAGATAACTATTATCTTCTTTTAATCGAGAAAGTAATTCAATATCTGAAACTTCGAATACTGATATAAAAGTCTACAGTAACCTGACTCACGCTCATAAATTGGTACATCAACTACTTTGGAATAAGGAAACATTAAGAAATGATTAAAATAATCCTCTCTAAATATTAAAAATGATTGATCAGATAAGGTCCGTGACCTTGATTTTTTTCTGAATAAAAACGTGTTCATTCTTTTTGCACCGCGGAAGGACACCTCGGGAAATAATATATAAGTAGATTAGAGTTTTGAAATGTTCTCTAATAAGAACAAAATAAATAACCTAAAAAATTATTCGTAGTCCCTGATGTGAATCGAAACTTTATTCATTATACGGAAACCCGGGAGATACTGTAACTTTTTTTTTTAATTTTCCTAAAAACGTTTTATTCCAAAATTCGAAAAAAAAAACATGAACTTTCTTTTTTCGATTTTATTGAGTTTTGAAAACTTGAAATTCTCAAAAATAAAACTCACCCAACAAATCCAATTTCTTACAATCCGAAATACTATCAGGCAATTGCATCAATCCATTCATATCAATAAAAAGTTCGCGTAAATTCGTCATTTTTCCAAAATCGCGTGGCAATTCTTCAATATCATTTTGGCCCAAATCGAGCTCTTCCAAATGATGCAAATTAACAATCGATGATGGAACCATACGAAGATGATTTTCGCGAGCCTAGAACAATTTGAAAGTGAGGGAAATGTTCGTTTTTTTTTAAATAATTACCTCTAAAACTCGTAGATTAACCAATTCTCCAAGATTTGCTGGCAAAGCTGTGAGAGTTGTATCATTTAAAGATAGCGTAACAATTGATGTACATTCACAAATACTTTCAGGAAGTCGAGTAAATGGATTACCATTCAAATTCAAGTTAATCAATTGTTTGCAATTTTTCAGCTGCTCGGGAATATCAGTAATAGCATTTCGATTAAGATTCAATTCATTGAGCAACGTTAAATTTCCAATTTCTGGAGGTAAAACAGCCAATTCATTATCCGAAACATCAAGAATTCGTAGTCGATGTAATCGAAATACTTGTTTTGGAAGATCTTTAATATTATTCATTGCTAATAATAATTCTTCCAATCCTCGAAATCGATCAATATCATGTGGAACACTTTGTAAATTCGACTGACTTCGATCCAAAACATCGATTTGTCGACTACAAGCCATCGGAAGACAGAAAAACGACGGCATTCTTTCAGGTATTTTTCACCCAAATTTATCAAGTTGTTATTAATTAGATTTTGGTTTTCTGCAAAAAAAAACAATATTGATTAGGATGATAAGAAAAAAGCAGCTGCAAAAACGAAGAGAAACAAAAAACTATTAACGCTTCTCATATATTATTAGATGAGTCATGAATAATAATTTCGCTTGTTCGATCGTTTTTTCTTCAAAAAAAAGAACGATAGAATGTTTGTTCAAAGCAAAAAAGTGGCGTATTTATTGTCGGCAATACTTTTTTTTGAAAGTGACAATAATAATATAAATATTTCCACTTCTAAACGAAGAAAAATTGACCTATGTGACGAGAAGTGAGCTTAAAAATTTCACGCTCAACCGATTTCTTATGCAACAAATTATTTAACCTAGCTTTTCTCTTGTTTTTTTTTTGAAAAAAGAGAAAAAATAAAAGATGAAAAACAATCAATGACTTTCAGTAAGTCGTCAACTAGAAAGAAATTTCCATAAAAAACATTTTCACAGTCAGTCAGTCATATATTTAAATTCGGCCGCGAAAAAAAAAACAACAAAAAACTCCTCTTGGTTGAAAAAGGATTAATGTTCGTGTGTGTGTGTGCGTATATGATTTATTGAATGAAAAAATGAGAAAATTGTTGGAAAAGGGGGATATGGACAGAAATAGAATAGTGCACAAAAATTTTAGGAAACTAACAAAAAATGAAGAAGAAAAAAACGTTCCCACCGAACTGTGTGCCTCGTTTTCTTCTTCCCTCTCACCTATATATTGACGGTGTGTCTAAAAAATCGATAATCGCCTTGTTGTATGTGTATGAGTGTGCGTATGTGAATGAATGAATGAATGTGCGTACTGTGGAAAAAGAGAAGGGGGTACCTTTGGTGGTTGGTGAGGGAGACAAAAACAAATACGACCTTTTTGTTTGTTACTCTCTTCCTCTTCTCTTTTTACTAGAATGGCCACGGTGGTGAATATAGTAATTACTTCGATATATGTTGTTTTGGAGAAATTGTAGTAATGAGGGAAAACTATGTGCAAGGTCACTGGTTATCAAGATTTTTTTATGATTCCAAACAAAAGATTGGAAGAAGAAAATAAATGTTTTTTCAAGAGTAACTATTAGATATTTCTGAATCTGACAAGTACAAGTGGTGAGAAAACTATTGAAATTCAATACTGAAAGAATATATATATATATATTTTTCTATAGAACTAACACAAAAAATATATAGAAAACGAAAAACTTCTCAACCCCAATTAATTGCCGCGCAACTTGTCATTCCCATTCAATCACCATTTACCTACTTATTCATGTTAAAAGAGAGTGGTTTTGATTTTTTTCGACAATCACAAAAACAGAGAAAAAGTGAAATCAGAGATCAGTTCATTTCAAAATAGATAACAGACAAAATGGAAGGCAGATAAAGTTCATTTGTTTTTCTGATCGGTGAGTTTTTCTTATATTTCTGAATATTTTATTTTTAAAACTTGCAATTTTCAAAGAAAAACTTGAGAAAAAAATGAGAGAGCGCGAAAAAAGAAACCAAAAAAGCGTTCTCCGTGCGAACTACAAATGTTTTCGGTGGAGCGCGTTTGCTCGACTCGCAAGGATTTGTAGTTCTCTCGGATAATAATTTATTTCCAAAAAAATTTTTTTGCACTTTCGCGCAATAATCATGTCGGATAATTTGAGGTTGGCGGCAACTGGAACAAAAAACGAAGAAGACTGTCAGTCTTGTAGGATTATAGGAACCGCCAGGTTTGATCAACTTTCCAAAGTTTCTTTCAAAAAACAGAAGTTTTCAGTCTTTTTGCGATTGGATGTTATATTATCTACTCTACAAGGCCTGTAGGATATTATAAAACAAGACCAATTATTAGACAAATTATTCGATCAGTATCGATTCTCCCATTATACGCATCAATCGCTAGATTTTCTTATCTTCCGCCGTTCTCAGAACTCAAATCAACCACAAAATAAAATGAGTGACGTAAGAATTTATTTGAAAAAAAAGTTTTAGAAATAAAAAAACCATATTCAGATCTCAATAATCATTGTTATGGGTGTATCCGGATGCGGGAAAAGTACTGTAGGTCAAGCACTCGCCGACGAACTTGGTTGGTTGTTCAAAGATGGCGATAGTTTTCATCCAAAAGAGAATATTGAAAAAATGACGAATGGTTAGTTGACAGCGAAATTATCTGTGAAATTTTAATTGATTCTCTATTTTTTGTTGCGTTTAGGTATTCCATTAACTGATGTTGATCGTATTCCTTGGCTCGAAACTATCAATTCTTTTGCGCAATCCAATCCAAAATCGGTGATTGCTTGCTCGGCTCTCAAATCTTCATATCGAAAAATTTTATCGAAGGGCAATTTGTTGACGAAATTTGTTCTCCTTCAATTGGATAGGCAAGTTCATCCTCTTTTTCGGCTTTTTTGGCAACAACTCTTTTTCTCATCACTTCCGTTTGAATTTCCGTTTTAGACGGGCTGACGGACGAGCAAACCGATTCAAAATTCTTTTCTTATTTTATTTTATTCTCTTCACTTTTCTATGCTATCTTTTTGTTGAGGGATTTCACACATTTTTTATTATCCTCCTCTTATTTTTTTCCAGGGATGTACTAATCAATCGTGTTTCTCATAGACCTGGTCATTTTATGTCACCAAAACTTCTCGATAGTCAATTGAACACTCTAGAAATGCCAAACGATGAGGAGAAAAACCAAATTTTGGTTGTAAATGCGAATAGTTTTGATGTAAATCATGTTGTTCAACAAGTTCGTGATGCCTTTTGTCAATAAATTTTGCTCAATTTTCTTTTTCTCTCCTAAGAGATTAGAAGAGATTAAATCTGGAATTAGAAGAAGAATAAATCTGGGAAAACAGTTTTTCTTCGGGGAAACAAAACATACTTATTCATTTATTTATGGATTCTGGATTCTTAGAAAAAAAGTATGTGAGAAAATCTCGAATCATCAAAGATTGTTGAGATTATTATGATTGATGGAACACAACTGATTAGATATTATGTAATATGTACTGATTAGAACAGCTTGATCTTCTTAAAAGGAAAGAAGAAAAAACATTTGGCAAAAGGAAGACGCGAAAGAAAGTGTTGTTATGGAACCAGTTTGTGTGAAGTGAATGTGAAGAAGGGCGTCGGAATGGCAAGCATTGATAATAGCCTATTTTCTACACCGTCGTCCTTTTTCTTCTTTGTTTCATCGTTTTTTCGTTTACTTATTTTGAAAATACTTATTTACTTCCTCTAATTGATCTTTCACTTTCCAGATGATCTCACGTCTTATCGCTTTTATTTTAGTGCTAACTTTTGTGATTGCTAGATATGAGGATAGTAAGTCACTTGTCTATTTACCTTTTTCGTTGAATAAAAAAATCGATAGTGATCAGATCAAGAAAATGACATATTTTTGAAGAAGAAGAAAAAAGTGCACTTGATTTATTATGCATGAGAAAAAAATGAATTTTAGAGTATGACAGGTCAAAGATGCCTTGGGATTTAAGGCCAATCGATAGATTCATTGGGCTTTGGTCACTTCAGGGGTCAAATGGAAGACAGCGAGATTTACCGCCACCAACACAAATCGATTATGCGATCAATCCGATTCCAAAGTTCGGAGCAAGAGCCGTTAACGTTACGTGAGCATATATTTTTTCCAATATTGAAATTTAAGAAAAAAATTGGAGTTTAGACATACCTACTATGAGAATGGAAATGTTGTTCGACATGATTATGGATTTATGCCAGTCAAAAACGCAACTCGGCGCGATCCACGTGTTCACGTTGCTTATTTGACAACTTCGAGTCAAGGATGGTCAATGATGGAACAAGGACAAGTGAAGGATGGAAAAATGACATTCCATCTCAAACAATTCATGAGAAGAAGTTTTGATGTTGGAAATCGTAATGATTTGGAGATCAGAGAATTCGAGAGACAATTGGAGCTTCCTGATTATAACACAATGATTATGAAAATCCGCGCAGAAACTGCTTATGATACTGAATCTTATACAGCTACTTACAGAAGAATTTATTGATGTTGTCGATTTTTAATTAATAAATTCATCAGCCTAGCATTTTTGCCAATTTTTGACTAGCCATTGTAACAACTAGCGAAGCACCACCATCGATGACGATTGATTGACCAACGATATAAGAAGAAGCTTCGCGATCAGCTAGAAAAGCGATACATTTTGCAACATCTTCAGATGTTCCAGCTCGTCCGCTTGGAATGCAATCGCGATTACTTGCATAATATTCGGCCACTTTTTTCGCTGAAGTTTCATCCAATCCACCAGCGTTTAAAAACGGTGTGTCGATGAATCCTGGACTAACTGAATTCATTCGAACACCATGTTCAATTAATTCAAGAGAAGTGCATCGAGTCAATTGATCGATCGCGGCTTTTGCCATTCCATAGTATGTAAGGTGGATGACCTGCAATTTTTTTGTACTTATTTATTTTTTTATTCTATAGATCTTACAGATGTTTTTTGTGATGCGATTGTTGAAACATTCACAATCTCTCCTTGAGATTTTATCAAATGTGGTTTACATTTTTGAATAAGTTGTACCACCGACAAAACATTAACATCTAGTGTTTTTTGAAGGATATCAACTCCAGTATTGATTCCAGTTTTAGTTGGATCTGGATCTGCGAACGACGCTCCCGCATTATTCACAAGTATATCAATTTTCCCAAACTTCTTCAACGTTGATTCCACCAATGTATCTTGGCATTCGCTTTTTGTTATATCTCCGGCTACAATATTCACCTCAACTCCAGATTTCGTCAAAGTTTGCGCAGTTTCCTCAAGTCTTTTCTGATTTCTTCCAGTTATCGTAACTTTTGCGCCATCCTTTCCCAAAAGAATAGCCGTAGCTCGACCAATTCCACTCGAAGAACCTGGAGAAATTGAGCATTCAAAAATATCTGATAATTGTATTTAGAGACATACCAGTGACGATTGCAACTTTTCCAGCAAAACGAGACATTTCGTATACAACTCGTTAGAAAAGCGTATCTGAATAGGATTTTTTGGATTTGAAAGAACAAAAAATAGACTGAAACTGCAACGTCAGCACAAAATTCCACGAATCAGGCGTTCACGTTAGAAATGAAAATAAAATTATTGCGCATACAAATTCGTTTGGAAGGATTCCTTCCGAAGGAAAAATGAATCGTTTTCGAATTCGAATGACACTGAATACAAAAGAGTTTGTTCATTTTGTTTATTTCCAAAATAAATAATAACCGCTCACGAATCTAAAATTTTTGGTAAACTGTGAGTTGACATTGCGACAACTAGAGAAGTTCCACCATCAATTACAATTGTTTGTCCGACAATATAAGAAGAAGAATTGCGATCAGCTAGAAAAGCGATGCATTTTGCAATATCTTCAGATTTTCCAGCCACTCCGCTTGGTATACAATCTCGATTATTTGCATAATATTCGGCTACCTTTTTTGCGGCATTTTCAGGTAATCCGACAGCATTTAAAAATGGTGTGTCAACAAATCCTGGACTCACTGAATTCATTCGAACACCATGTTTAATCAATTCAAGAGAAGTGCATCGAGTCAATTGATCTACTGCTGATTTAGCCATTCCGTAATAAGTATAATGGATGAACTAAAAAAGTTTCGAAATTTGTTGAAATGATTCTGTAGATCTCACCGATGATTGTTGTGATGCAATTGTTGACACATTTATAATTTCGCCTTGAGTTTTAATCAAATGAGGCTTACATTTTTGAATAGTTTCCACCATTGAGATAACATTTATATCCAGAGTTTTTCGTAGAATATCAACTCCCGTATCGATTCCAGTTTTTGTTAGATCTGGATCGTTGAAAGCAGCACCCACATTATTGACAAGAATGTTGATTTTTCCGAATTTTTTCAATGACGATTCCACCAATGTTTCCTGACAAGCAGTTTTTGTTATATCTCCGGCTACAAGATTCACATCAACTCCTGATTTCTTCAAAGTTTGCGCAGTGTCCTCAAGTCTTTTCTGATTTCTTCCAGTTATTGTAACCTTCGCGCCCTCTTTCCCCAAAAGAACAGCCGTTGCTCGACCGATTCCACTCGATGAACCTGGAAAATTTTCGAAAATTTAACTCTAGGCTTTAACTCTACAACTAACCGGTTATAATCGCAACTTTTCCAGCAAATCGAGACATCAGAAAAAATAATGCAGGGCGACAAAAACTCTCAAAGGTTGCCAACTAACTAATTTGATAAAAGTCTGCGCTTTTTCACACTAAACGTTTCCCGCACTTTTCGAAAAAATGTTGATCTACGATTTTTTAATTTTGAAAAACCCCGTGACCCTAAACGTATTTATTTTTCCGAATATTTTTTGGAAAGAAATCTACCATTTTGGAATTTTTAAAAATAGTAAAACGGTGATATATTATAGCAATCATGGATGAACAGCCAAAAGCAACAATGGGTTAGTTAGATTCAAAAATAAGGAATATCAGTCAATAATTTTTAGGCACAGTAACGGAAAGTGCTCCAGAAGGTGGACATACTAAAAATGCAGATCCCGACGAAGTTCCACTCGATCTATTACCATCAGATCGCGAGAAAAACGTAGAAGAAAGAAAAGGTGGATTCGAATATATTCTTGTTAAAGTTCCAATGAAACCTGGTCTCAAATTTGGGCTTGGAATCAAAAATATTTATCGAATGATTTATGTGCAGAAAGTTGAAGATAGTATGTTTTCTTATAAAATTTTGACCTTGAGAACTCATGAACATTTTGCAGATTCAATCGTTGGTGGTCTTTTCAATGTTTCAGATCGAATCATTGATGTTGATGGAACAAAAGTTCAGGATAACACAGCGTGCAAAACTTTGCTTATAAAAGGATTGAAAGAAAAAGGTTTGGCGACTGTTGTTGTTGAAAGAGCAATCACAGAAGAAGCTAAGAAAACTGCAATGGTTAGTTAAAACTTGAACACATCGAGAAGCTACATTTAAAGCTTTTTAAGTTCAAAAGAACATTTTTATGGAAAAAATAAAAATTAAATTAAAACTGGGGTTACTGTAGGAGTGGATGTGTGCAAACACTGTTGCACCAAACACGTTACTTGACGAAAAAAAAACGTTTTTTTTTTTCAAAAAAAAACATTTCGATTCAGCAAATGTCGATAAACTATACTCAGCAATTGACTTCGTAGACTGACTGTACAAATTGAAGAAGTGTCAATACAGCGGATGAACGCTGTACCTACACTTTTTTTCCCGAAAATTGTAAGTTCACTGTTGGCCTGATTTTCACAAGAATTTAGGTCTGGAAAAACAAAAACAAAAATGAGAAAAAGTAGCCGCTTCCAACGCGAAAATCTCGAGGATTAGCTGCGGTGTAGCTATTTTCGCCGATAAAACCGTTCATGTACGCGACGTTTTTTGCTGAGTTATTGTTTGAACGACACTCCGCTTGCCCGCTGTTTAGCGCAACACGATGGAATTTTGAGTTCAGGTTTCAGATCGGTGAATTTCATTCAAAAATTGAATTTTAATGTTCTACAAGGCTGGAATTATCCGCTTCCAACGGAAAATCCGAGGATTATCGAAGAAATGTGGGTCTAGAGAAACACTGTTTCGTTGGAATTTTGAGTTCTCAGAGTCGACAATGATTGGTTCATTTGAAGCGACTTTTTCATAGGAAACATCGGATATGGATTTTTTCTCAAAAATCGATGGAAAATGGGTTTGGGTAAGATTTTGTTGTTAAAATCTGAAAAATAGCTGGAAAATTGTCGTGAGACCCAGAAAGCCTTCAGAAATCTATAGAAACAGAAATGGAATAAGCAGAACTCAATGAAACATGAAAAATTCAATGATTTGCTGATTTTCAGCGTATCTCCGCTGTAGCTACACAATTCGCGGACAGAAATGAAGTGAAGTGACCGCTCTATATTATTTTTGAATCCGTAGCTACGCCGATGCTGTTCTGTAGCTACTTTGTAGATAAACGGATGTTTCTTATGTGCAATTCTCTCTTCCCCGTTTTCGTACAAAGTATCAACGAAATTTGTACAGTCATGTACGCAGCGATTTGCTGAGTTCAAAAAAAAAAAACATTTCGATTCAGCAAATGTCGATAAACTATATTTTTTTCCTATTTTTTGACATTTTTTCATTGAAACAATTCGCTGCGAGATATTTTTCATTTTTGTGTGGAAAAAAACCATTTAAAATTTGCTGAATCGAAATTTTTTGTAAAAAAAAAACGTTCTTTTTCCACCTGAATCACCCGATTATTTTATTATTTTTCAGGCTGAATTGAACGAAGAGCACAATGCTTCTGTTATGGTGGCTCCCGATGTTCGTGAAATTATGAAGAAAATGGAGCAAAAAATTCCCAACAAACCATCGGTGAGGGTTTTCTTTTTTTGTCTATTGACACGACGTCTTCTTTTATTCATCATTTTTCAGACAAGCGCTCTCAAGGGAAATGCTGCTCATCCAAAACCGGTTGAAGCAGATAAAAGAACAGTTTTAGAAGATGGTCACAAATCAGTTATGATTCAAATGGATAACGAGGACAAATTGAACAAATTGCAAAAGGTCGTGAAAGGCGCTGGCAATTAGATAGCAAACAAATGAAGTATGTTTTTGGGATTTATTTTTATTTATTGGTCACATGAAATCAAGCAATATCATCATCGGTCATGTAATTTTTAACCATATAGGTGAACTCGTCATAATCTATCACACCATTTCCATCAACATCAGCCTCATTGAAAATCTCATCAATGATCTGATTGTCAGTTATATCTCCCAACTCTCTTAGAATATATCGAAAATCTTTTTTCGTAATTCCACCATTTTCCGATCGATCAAAAACAGTAAAACACTCCTTGATAACTTCATTCCACGTGCTTTTCTTCATAGTCAATCTTCGCATTACCACACAAAATTCGTCAAAATCGATTTGATGATTTCCGCGTTGATCAACCTCGTCGATTATTTTATCGAGTTCGTCTCTAGTTTGCTCCAAGCCCAAATTTTTGATAGCCGCTTCTAATTCGTCAATTGCAATAGCTCCGCTTCTATCTAAAATAACAATAACATCATTAATATTCTTGTTATTACATATTCTCGAAAAAAAACAAGCTATTCAGAAGGGAAAAACTTATAATAGATATTTCGGGGAAAACATATGAATAAATATGTAATTATAAGTTGACTAATATTACATATCATATATATGTTACACCTGCTCACCTGCATCAAACATATTGAAAACTTGGCGGTATTCGCTCAATTCTTCTTCAGAATATCCTTCTAATAGTGGATTTGATAATAGTGGATCTGCAAGACCATTTGGTGAATTACTGTCGCCACGATCAGAATGAAGCTTCAGCTGAAAACCCTTTTTTTTAAATATTGTATAGATAGTTGTAAAGGGGAGCCCTACCAATGCTGTCGAGTCGCGAAGCGACAAAATAAACAAGTCGTGAGGGGAAAACGGAATTTTGAGAGTTTTCTTCAGTTCGCTGCTGTTTTTCACAGATATTTAATATCAGGTGGAGGATAATAGAAAAATGGGCGGCGCTAAATTTTGCTGATAATAATAATAAGGTAAAATGAGCTCTGAGTGATAGAGATCATAGAGTGTGTTCGCTTTTTTGCATAGATACATGAATTTTTGCACTTTTTTTCTGGAGAAGGAAGCAAAAGTCAGGAACATGTCAGAATATTCGATATTTTTTAAAGAAAAACGAAAAACGTTTTTTGTTGAAACTGAACTGATATCCTTTGGATGTAATTAGAGACTTGTACTAATTGCACCGCCCACCTTTTTGAAAGATCCGTGAAGGCTTCGAGGAGACGCAAAACATCCATTAACCATGTTTTTTTAGAAAATAGGAGAGGAGGAATTGAATTTTATGAATGAGTGAATAAATGAATGAATACAAAGGACGAAACGAAAATCAATTCCTTTTTCCAAAAAAATGAGGGCAAATAAGCCAAAAAAAAAAGAATGACAGAGTGCTCGTATGAAATTTTATACTTTATGTTATTATGCCGGATCTTTGTGGCTTTCGAAGTTTTTATGTGTGCTAGGATTTTTTTAATGTCAAAGGAGTTGGTAGAATTTTTGGCATAGCTCAATTTCAAAATAGATTTTTCGAGAGATGTTAGGTCCACATTTTTTATAGTTACATTTTTATAAGTTGTGAAGAGTCATGATTTTTAAATAAATCTCATATCTTTGAAGTTCTAACTCACTTAGAACATGAGTATGTTTCCTGATAACTGAATTTCAGAAGTGCAGGAGGTTTGATTACATAAATTATATTAGTAAATTTAATTTATAATTGAATTTTGAAAATAGTTTTGCACGGCGAAATATGAATTCGTTAGTCAAAAACTATCCGAAATTTATTGCTAAAAATTTAGAAACATAAAATTGTGGCTTTTTGAAATTATGTTGAATGTCAGAAATTTTGAAAGAAAAAGTTTTGACTTCATTGAAAATATGGAATTTCAATTTTATATATATATCTTACTGAAATTCAAAATGATATTCTTCAGTTTCTGGAACTGATTTCAAAAACTTCTTCAAAAATTCTAACTTTCTGTGTTAGCGGAAGCTCAAAAATCCAAACTACAATCAATAAAAAACAAACCTCTTCAAGCATAAAATGTGATAATCTTCGTCTAACATTTGGAAGTCGTAACCTACTAGGAACATCCAAGGGCATATCTCAAAGAATTATTTTTATTTATCGTTTTTGTTTTGTCTAGAAAAAAACAAAAATACAAAAAAAATCGAGGGCCGAATATAAAATGAATAAACAAAACTGACATGTTTTTTTTGACAATTTTTTTGGCGCAAAAAAGACAAAAAACACAACAAGCCGGAAAAAATAATTGAATTATACAGGATTTTCTTGCTTGCTGGAATGTTTTTTTGGAAATTTTAGTCAAAAAAAAATGTCTCGAAAAAAATGTGAGTAATTTTAGGTTGGGTACTTTTTCTTTCTTCAAAAAAATATGAAAAAAGAAATATTTTTGGCTCTAAATCGCCGTGTGCTGCTCGACAAGACGATTAAGTGGAGGTTTTTGTGAGAGGAAAAAGGATTTTTCTGAGCTGAGCATGAACTTTTATTCAGTTTTTTCTTGAAAACTCTGAAATTTTCCAAAAAAAAAGCAAAAATATAGCACAAAAATCATATTTCCTGTTGATTTTTCCTATCATTTTTTCATCGCTTTGCAATTTTTCGGCGCCCTCCGGAAGCAAACTTACTTTTGGCATTGGAATATACATATTTTTATTTTTTAGAACAAATTTTGTCAACCGAATTCGGATGGAAATGAAAAATGAAAAGTTTTTATTGAAAATCCCTCATTCGAAAAATTTTCGGAGCTTGAAAAATGGTGAAAACAACAAATATGATTTGCATGAACTATGATGCATAGTGAGATTATTCACAATTAATTTTGAATTCATTTTTTTCTAGTAAAAAGCGTGATTTTTACTTGCAGATAAAGTTCACAATAAGAGTTCAAAGCTGACTTTCTTTTTCATAATTTATGATTGATTGTCACAAATAATTTAGATTTGTCTCCAAGGGTTCCGTATTTTCATAAATAAATTTTGAGACAAAAAAACAATAAAAAAGAGGGGAAAATATAAAGAAACGTGGGAAAACTAAATTTTTCCGAAGAAAAATTCCTAGGAATAGTTGAAATTAATTTTGTTTAAATATCGCGATCGTAAATTTTGGAAATTATAAGGCAGGGAAAGCTTAAATAAATAAACCCAGAATTTTTGCACTTATGAGTGATTTTTTCTAGGTAAAAATAATGGTATATCACAATGTCTCTAGGACTCAATTTTTGAGACTTTTAGGAGTGAATCTAAACTATTTTTCTCTAAATCTCAAAGTCTATCGAACTTATTAGATTTTAGGCCCACCAGAAAAAATTACTTGGGAAGTAGACTACACTTGTTTTTACACTAATTGTGATAATTTTTCAGTTTTTAAATCTTATTTTGAAAATTTCCGAAATATAGATGTTTTGCTAGAAAAATCTTGAGCAATATAAGCAATCGAACTTTGAGCAATCGAACTTTAATTAGCAAAAGTAATTTAGCTCCAGCTCTCCTAACTTCCTGAACCTTTACGACCTAGTAAAGAAGATTTTCGAATATTCAAAAAATTTACGCAGTCAATTTTCTAAAAAGTTGGAGATACATGTTTTGAAGTGTACTGATTATAAGCTCGAAAATCTATAAAGTGTTCAAAAATTTATGAAAAGTAGATATACAGTTTCGTCTTCTAATAACTTCATTAAATCAATAATAAAATCATTAACCTTTACTTCCTTGTTGTCACGGTTGTTTTTCTTTATTTATTGAAGGTTATCAACCACGTGAACTTTTTCATGACCTACTAATAAAAAACATATGATCCAAGTAATGTTTCCTAAATCCGAAAAAAGTCTCACCCGAATTGCTTCAATCATTGTATGATTTTTACCATTCGCTCCACTATTCGAACTTGATGTGCTCGACAATTTCGCTCTCATCATAAAACTCGACCTTGAAAATGAGCGGCTCAATGTCGATCCAACATTCAATGATAATGAGCCGCGTTGTGGAGCACAAGAAGCCGCTCCTCCTCCCCCAACCAGATTAAAATTATTGTTGTTATTAGAATTAGAATTCGTATTTGCATTTGTAGAAGAAGAGTTATTGTTGTTATTCGCACTCGTTTTTTTACTCATTCTTGTAGTTTCAAATATTTTATATATAATTCAGATCTGAAAAATAGTAGAGAAAAAAGTAGCTGATTAATGTGAGAAAAATCTTTAGCGTGTGAAGAAACTTTCAACTAATCTCTCACATGGTTTATGTATTGAATAAAAGAAATATTATAATCTCATATTAACTCATTTTGAACAAAAAATAAACGAAGCATGAAGTGTTTTGTTTAAAAAGGTTACACACAGAAAATGCGAGCAGAAAAGTATTTGGATATGCATGAATAACATTTTTCCAGGTTTTTTTGATGTATGATTTTTTTGTTTTTTATCGTTCTGACAAAAAACGTTTGATTCAAAACATCATAAAGTCATTTACGTCAGCAATCAAAACAATATTGATAAAAAGGACATTTGACTCATGGCTAACTTGTATTTAAAAGTAGATTGTTTAATCAAAACATATTCAATTTGAAAAAAAAGTGAAATGAAAACTTTTCTCGTTTTCTCTCTTCTTTTCGTAACCATTCTAGCTTCTCCATATTTATCATTTGCCAAGAAAACTCCGCCAACAAAACCACCGCCGCCTCCGCCTTCAGAAGAACCATCAACACCTGCCCCAGAACCACCAAGTGAGGCGCCTTCAACCGAACCACCATCTTCATCAGCTGATCCAGAAGAGCCCTCTTCTGACGCTCCAGAAATAATTGAATTGGCGAAAAAGACTCCACCGCCACAAGCTTCTTCATCTCCAGAACCTGAAGAATCTTCGTCACCAAGTTATTGACTTTTTTTTATTTTTTGAATGTCATAAAAAAATTGTTCGATATTGAAATTGTTCTTTTACACAACAAAAATCTGATGTAGTTGAAAATGGTTTTTTACTTGAAAAAATAATATTTTTGAAAAATTTCAAGAATACTCAAATTTTTTTCTGAATATACTATGAACGTTTGCGATTAAGTGCACCTGCTCGAAAAAAAACTTATCAGAAACCGAATAATTATTAAATACGTTTATTTATTTACATTCATACACATTGATGTTTGGAACTCCATACTGGCTTCTTCATTATTACACAATTCTCGGATATTTTTCATTGATCATCAATTTAATAGGACTTTATTTGGTCTTATTCAAAAGTTCAACAATGGGCAACTACAAATATAATTTATTGTATCTTCAATTATCGTGCACATTTCTTTATATAATATTTTTACACGGTATGAAACCTATAACTTTTTTACCTATAATGGGTTTAAGTTGTAAACACGGAGTTCTGTGGAGATATCTTGGAATTTCGTCGAGAGTTTCTGTTGTAGTATTTGCGGAGTTATTTGCGAATATAGTTATATCAATGACATCTTGTTTTCTCAAAAAATACTCGGCTGTTACATCAGTTGGAAAGCGAAACATTATACCAACAATCATTATCATATTAGTTATTGTTTTCAATCAAATTTGCATTATTGTTTTAACTTTAGCTATTCCAACTAAACAACAACAATTGAATTTGATACCTGAAGAATACAACAATTATTTTGATATTCTTGAAGATTATCTTTTATTTGAAATGGATACTTTGTCAATAATTTTTATTGTACTAGTTCCGATAGGAGCTTCTTTAATTATTCTGATCATATTTCTCATTACAGTTAAAATGTTTGATGCTTTATCAATAATAAATCCGAGACAATCGGAAACAAATACCAAAAGACACAAAATTGTTTTGAAAAGTTTGATCGCTCAATCACTTACTACTGTTGTATTTCTAGTTCCGTGCATAATTTTTGTTTTTGTAACAGTCGTTGAAATATCAAATGGTAATTAAGATTTAACTTTACCTTCCAATTCCAACAAATGATTTACAGAAATAGCCTTATATCAAAGTGTAATATTTTCGACACATTCAACTTTGAACTGTGTTGTCATGATTATATCGTATCCACCATTTCGAAAAGAGATGTTATTTTGGAGGAAGAAAAAGTCTAAAATGACTGTGTCTCTAACTACAGTTGTGATTTATTGAAAACTGCCGTCAGTTAAATTTAAGTGTTCCTAATGTTTTTAAAGAATTGAATTTTCAATTTGGTTTATTTTCTGAAAAAATTCTAGTTTCAGGCTTCTCCAATCATATTTTGTCAAACATAGTTTTATGAATTTTATATATTGCACCTGTTTATATATTTGATTGTCAATTCTTAATTTTTGATTTTCAACTGTTACAAGAAATGCTGACTACGGCTTTCGATCACCGACTCTATTTTACTCTTTAAAAAATAATAGATAAATTTCAAAAAAAAAAATTATTTGTTTTAATGTATCAAAAAACATCACAACTTATGAAATTTTGAAAGTTTTATCGAATTCAAGTCAGTTAATTCAAATGCAACTATGAACAGACACAAAGTTGTTTTGAAAAGTTTAATTCCGGAATCATCAACTGTTGTTGTTTTTGTCATTTCGTGTTAAATTATTGTCTTAGCAGCAGTTTTAGAATCATCGAATAAACATAGTTGGATTCATTCGAGTTATACTAATCACAATTCGTTGTTTTTTTTTCCTAAAATAATATTGGTTAAAACAGCTATATTTACACTCATTCAGTCCTAAATTGTATTATTATGATTTATTCATCTCCACCTTTTCGGAACGAAGTGTTATTTTGGAGAAAGAGGAAGACCAAAAATACTCAACGGGTTCAAAAATTTGTGATATATTGAGGTTTATTTGAAGATCAAAAGTTTTTGTTTTTCTCAGTAAATCATATTTGCCTAGATATACGTCTAATTAGTTGACTACAATCTACAACGTATATATTTTGTTTAAAATATTAGCCATTTTTGTTTTGTTATTCAAAATGTCATTTTTGGACAACTCATATTGGCTTCTATATTTTTACACAACTCTTGGTTATATTTCACCGATAATAAATTTCATTGGAATAGTTTTAGTATTATTCAGAAATTCAACAATGGGAAACTATAAATATAACTTATTGTATCTACAGCTCTCTTGTACATCTTTTGATTTATTACTTTTGCATGGCATGAAGCCTATACCGCTTATGCCAATTATTGGAATCACTTGTGAATATGGATCACTTTGGAAATATTTCAAAATATCTTCCGATGTTTTGCTTGTGATTTTCGGAGAAGTATTTGCCAATTTTTTTATAGCCACTGCATGTTGTTTCTTAAAAAAATATTCGGCGATTGTATCGATTGGAAAACAAAATATTATACCAACTACACTGCTCCACAAAAGTATAGCCTCACCCACAAAATTTTCAAAAAATCGAAAAAAATAAAGTTTTCAGAAAATGTTGTTTTTGAACAATGTGGGAAAATGGGACACTAATTTATCCCAGAAATCAAATTTTGGGTTGATAGGTCACGGAAAGAATTTTTTTGAATTTTTCAAAAAATTGAAAATTTCCAATCCACAAAAGTATAGCCTCACTTCAGAAAATCGCTCTGGAAATCGGTTTTTGGGTTAGATAATTTCAGTTATTGTTGAGAAATGGGTAGAATAACTAATTTTAAGTTGATTCTAATAATTTCAAAATTATTGAGTCAAGTTGAATCAAGTTATTTTTTTCGATTTTTTGAAAATTTTGAGGGTGAGGCTATACTTCTGTGGAGCAGTGTATTTTCATAACATTTTCTACGGTTTTCAATCAAATAGGTATTGTTGTGCTGGTATTCGCAATTCCGAATAAAGAAAGACAATGGAAAATAATACCTGAAATATACAGATATTATTTTGAAAATCTTGATGATTTTTTGGTTCTTGAATTTGATTTTCTAACTATAGTTTTTCTTTCAATTGTTGTAATTAATTCAAACCTCATTATTACAGTTATTGTTTTTACAACCTATAGAATGCTGAAAATATTATCTTTAACAAAAACAACTAATTCAAATCGGCAAATAAAAAACATAAAGTAATTCTGAAAAGTTTTATTGCACAATCTCTAACTTTTGTCATTTTTATTTTTCCATGTTTTGTTTTTATCACCACAGCTCCTTTCAATTTATCAAATGCCAATGGTGAGAAAACAATTAACCTGACAAGGAAACCTTTTTTACTCAACACTTCAAATCTTGATGAAATTTTGTCCATAGATAGCTTTTGGTGTCATAAGAACACCCTAAAAATTTTAGTCTCCCAATGGACCTCCGAGCCAAGTTCTGGGCTCTCAAAAGTTCGAAAATTGTCAAAATTGGCTCATAAAACACGTCATAACTCAATTCTTGATCAATTTTATGAAAACTGAGTAGCAGATGATGATCAGCGTGGTCGATTTACCCAAAAAACATAAAAAAATCAAATTTTCAGAAAAATTTCTGATTTTGAAAAAAATAATGAGCAGGGGCACATATGAATTTTCATGAATTTTCAGCCGAAAAATAAAAAACTTCAAAATTTTTCGAAATAAAGTTTTTTAATTATGTACTTTTAGGTAATCGACTATGCTGATCAATATCTGAAACTTCATTTCTCCCAAAAAAATTTTTGAAATGGAGCTATGATGACTTTTATGACCATTTTTAGGCCTTTTTTGAGTTTTTGAGAGCCCAGAACTCGGCTCAGAGGTCCATTGGGAGACTTAAATTTTTAAGGTGTTCTTATGGTCGCAAAAGCTGTCCATGGACGAAATTTCATCACGATTTGAAGTGTTGAGTAAAAAAGGTTCCCTTGTGAATCTTGAGTTTAATTCATTAATTGTTCAGAAATATATTTCACACAAGCTGCCATATTTTCAACACATTCAACTGTGAATTGTATTGTTATGATAATATCTTATCCTCCATTTCGAAACAAAATTATGTTTTGGAACAAAAAAGTAACTACACAATCGACATTTTCAATCGCATAACGTCATCTGACGGCCTTTTGTTCATCAATACCACAAGATCATATAAAATTTTAAAAGGTTTATCATCAATAAATCTAACTCATTTTTTTTGAACCTATGTTTGTGTTCGAGAATAGTGTTCGGATGTATTCGGGTTAACTATTTTAAACGCACTCAACTATCAAATACATTTTTATGATTGTCTCCTATCCGCCATACAGAAACACGATTTTATTTTCGAAAAAAGTAATAGCGCCATTCAGTTTTGTTGATTACGTGGCCTAGATATTATTCTTATTCCTATACTTTTTCCCAAGCATTTTTCCAACTCCCCCAATTTTTCGGCGTGCAACTTTAGCCGCTTATAAATAAATCAGTATATTTTTTCAACCAACGAAGAAATAAGATGATCAAAATTCATAAATACTTTCGTGTGAGAAAAGAAGTTATAAATAAAAATAAAAATATTAAATTAGAAATCTACTGATTAATTCTTCTTTGTCTCATCCTCATCTTTCTTTGGCTCCAATTCTTTTGGTGCCGATTTCTCCTCAACATTTTCCTGCAAATTTACATTTGATGATGGCGTTCTAACCGAACGATATTGTGGGTATGGAATTCTGGGAATTGGGGGAATCCAGGGATTTCTAACACTCCGACTACCACCACCCACCTCCTTCTTTTCTTCGGTGGATTCCTCCTTCTTCACTTCTTTTTCTTCTTCTTTATTTGGCTCTTCAACTTTTTCTTCTTCCTAAAATTCAAGTTTCAATTATCTTCTAATTCATATCAAAAATTGAAGTCACCAACCTTCTTTTCCTCCTTTTTCTCTTCTTTTTTTCTCAACAGTCTTGATTCTCAAAACTGTGCATGAAACCTTATCTTTTTTGAATTGACAGAAATCATCAGCATCTCCGGTGAATGGAGTTTCTTTCTCGCTACAGGAAACAACAAAATCGCTGGCGTTCTCCAATTTGTCCTTGATCGTCTTAACTGAATCCTTGATGTCCTCCTTGATGTTGTCTTGCAAGATCAAACGAAGTTCCTCGTTGTTGCATTTTTGAGCATCATCGTGAGCTACCAAGTTTTCGGCCTCTCTTTTCAGACGACATCCTCCTCCGCAAGACGGTGGTGGGGGTGGCGCGCCGCAGCCTCCTCCGCAAGATGGTGGTGGTGGTGGTGGTGGGGGTGGGGGTGGCGCAGCGCAGCCTCCTCCGCAAGATGGTGGGGGAGGTGGCGCGCCGCAGCCTCCTCCGCAAGATGGTGGGGGAGGTGGCGCGCCGCAGCCTCCTCCGCAAGATGGTGGGGGAGGTGGCGCGCCGCAGCCCCCTCCGCAAGATGGTGGAGGGGGTGGGGCCCCACATCCACATCCTCCGCCACCTCCTCCCATTGATGGGAAAAGGAACGCCGAGGCTACACTGAGACCGAATAGAAGAATAACAATTGAACTTCTCATTTTGAAGCGAAAAAATATGAATGTATGAATTAATTAGATGATGCCTTTTATAAGCATCTTCACATGGCATAGTTTCGAAAACCAGTAATTTGGTAAGTGTATCTAACGAAGATAAGCCACTATTTCACTATATCTGTTCGCGTCGCAATAAACAACACATGTCGATGAAAAAAGATTTGTTGTTATGTAATTTGAAAATAACACTAAAAGGGAACAGTTATTATGTAACTCGAACGAAATTTCGGTTGATAACACAAGATTATATTCGAGAAGTTTGATTGTTTGTGTTGTTTTCACGTTTCGGCAAAACTTTCAATAAATTCTTGACAACAAAAACCTTGATCGCTTTCCGGTAATCTTTGATTATCAATAAATTTGGAAGTGGATCCACGGCTGGATAAATAGCAATAGTTATAGCCACAATGCTACTAGCAAACCCAATTTGAATTTCGAAAATCGCTGTCAAAAACAAAAAGCCAGCTGGGATATACATTAGGATTAATGGAATACACGTTTGAACCACTAATGCGTAGAATAATTGTTTTTGAAGACTTTGAGTGAAGGCGGATCGGTTAGAGCTTCCATCAAATGCGTGGTTAATTATTTTATAGCATTTGGTGCCAAAATAAAAAACACAAAACATCGAGGAGAGCTGCAAATTTTCGGTGGTTTGTTTTTTTTTCGATTTAAAAAACATGGATTTTCTTTGTTGATAATTTTTTCATATGATTTTTTCATAATCTTTTTCCATAGCTTTCACTTGAAAATGAGTCCAAAAAATTCAGAACTTCTATTTTTCATAAACCCAGTACTTACAATCATGAACATCATACATAGAATAGCTAGAAATGCTTCGTTATTAGGTGTTTTCATTCCTCTCTCATCCAAAGTGAAAAACATGAAACAAATGTAGGTAACATCTTCCATCGATACATTATAACTACTCAACATTGTATCTTGCATATATGCATCAACTTCAGCGTTTCGTGAAAATAATGAACATAAATATGTCCACCAGAAACCATAAAAAAGAGGAATGATAAATAAGATTAGTTTTCTGGATCCTTGTAAAAGTTGTGTTTTAAAAGAAGACTGGATGATACTGTATCGATAGAGAAAATGAACTGCGAAAAGAGCAAGAGAGAATCCGAAACAACCCGCATAAATTATAATAACCACAAAGCTCAAATGTTTGTTGAGAAATGAGTCATTGATATTTGAAAATGCGATGAATGCACTGCCATAGGAATAAATTACTGGCTCAGAAGAGACATCTAAAATTGAATAAACTGCTTCGAACAATGAGATGTAGATCATAAGATACTTGTAGAAACCAATCGATTTTGGAGATTTGATTATAATCAAAAAGATGAGGAGCGTATTCAATAATAGTGAAGTTGTTGCGCAACTGATTTGCGTTATTTTCTGAAAGTTTTTGTAGAAGCTAGACATTGTTTGAATTAATACTTGTTGGCGTAGGTTTTATATTGTTTTTTGAAGGTTTCTCTAGGGATTGAAGTGCATACTCAGAAAAAAGGAATATTACTGTAAAACACGAACGAAACGTCAGAAGAACTAAGACACCAGAAATTAAGAATACGATTCTATGAAATCGCACTATTCTGTGGGAATTGAATAAAAATTGATGTTTTTGAAAATTTTCTTTGAATTCATAATTATTTAGGGAAATGGAACGTGATACAATACAATAAATATTTTCTGAAAACCTTCCGAGTGTTGTATTTTTTCAATATTCTGTTGTAAACTAAACTACAGCAAAAGAATTCAAGTGATCTCAAGTTGAGGAATATCCGAAAACAATCAAGAATGTTTTTGAACTCGAATAAAAAAACTCAAAATTGCTTTTCAGCAAAACAAACAAACTTGATTTTAGATATTCTGAAAAATTTTAATTATCAACTAGGATTTTTTTTTATTTATAAAAGCATCCAACAAAAAATTCAGATTTTTTTGTAACTCCAATTTCGATGAAAATCTAATTTTCATATTTCAAGTTTCAATGAATCCCAAAAATCACAATTTTCCATTATTCCTCGTCATTTCATTTCTGAAACTTTTATTTATATTTGGATTTTCATTATTTCTAAAAATCCACTATACACACTTCAAATCTTTATAAAATGTCTCATCATCCTCCCTCGCCTAATAAATTCTTTTTCCCAAAAAAAAAAGTTTCCACGCATTTTATTGTTTTTTTTTTTGGTTTTTCGTTCTGTGATTTTTTTCGAAAATGAGGAAAAACACTATCAGAATTGCATTTTTCGTTTATTACTATGTGGCAGCAATACAAAAAAACATGTTTTTTTGGTTTTTGACACTGAATTAAAAATTCAAAGAGATGAAATTCGTTTTCAAATAAAAAACCCCTGAAATTGACATGTCTCATCTCAATCATCAAATGAATAATTTATAAGTGGTCAACTTTCCCTTGGCTCGTTTCTTATTCATAATTTTTCTCTCCAAAGTTTTCCGCTAGACAAAAATAGAGAAAGAAATAAATCACTAATTATAATAAACAAGAAAAAGAAAAGGAAACTGAAGAAAAATAGAATGCCACGTTGCACTTTACCGTTTCCGAAAGAGTTGGGATATAATAACAATTATTCTGTGTTACTGGAAAAACTTCCTGTTTTTCTTGAGTTTTTGATTGAGAAAAAAACAATGAGAAGGTAGTGTACATGTCAAATTTCTGTGACTTTTTGATATTAAAAATAATTTAGATTGGGTTCCTCTGAAATAAGACTTTCAGAACTCTGCGATTTGATGAAATTTTTTTGATGCACTCTTCGAGTTTTTCAAAATATTACAACTCTTGTTTATTTCCCAAAACCGAGTTATGACGCGACACTGAAAAAAGTTGATCCTTCTATTTTAAACCATCCCAAAAACGTCATACTCATTTCAAAATGTGTTTTTTTTTGGACGGAATAAAAAATTGTACATTTTTTCTCATTTCTCTCGCCGAAAAATAATTTCGTAAAATTTGTCCACAATTTTTTTTTAATTTTCTATTCCTCGTGCAACATTTTATTGGTGAGTGGTCATTTTGAAATTGAATGAATGAATGCATTCAATTAAATGTTTTCCACCCCAAAAAATTCCGAATTTTCTCGAGTTCTTTGGGTTCCTCATATTTAATCAAACTTCCTCATATTTAATTATAGACTAGATTTATTTTCAGAGAAAAAAATGAATAAATGATAAATCTCGGCTAAAATTTTTGATTTTCTGGTCTAAAATTGTATTATTCAAACTAGAAAATATATAGTGTTTTAAAAATCAAAAATTAGCAATTAGTCTCAGAATGTGCATTTTACGAAAAAAAAATTGCAGAAAATTCGATGAACCGAGTCATTTTAATAATTCAGATATAGATACACGCAATTTTTTCCTATTTCCCGGTTTTTGTTTTTTTTTGTATACCAAATGTATATTCTTGGAACTGGCATGAAAATTGATATTTATCAAAGATCTTTTCAAGAACTTGGCATTTTTGAAAAAAAAATCAAAAATTAGTTTTTAATTTCTGATCTGATTCTGGTTTAATTGTTTTCTAACAAAATTCAAACTTGAAGTACAGTAATCAATGTAAAAGGTTTCGAGAAACGTCATATTTCAAAAAAAGGTTTCATTTTCAGATATCCTAACCAGAATCTCTACTTATTAATCATAAATATTTTATTATCATGGAAAATTTATGAGAAATCGGAATTCGAGTTTTATTTTTTGGAAACCAAAGTTCCACAAAATTTCTAGAAATGTTTTTCGAAAATGGTAAAAGGTCACACACAAAACATGTTCATTTTAATCAATTTTTGATGGCTTGTTATTTAAATAAAACCAGTAAATTGAAACATGTTTCATCTTACTAATTGTTTATGCAACATTTAATTTTGATATTAAATTTATATATTTTTCCACCCTCAAAATGTTCTTCATACATTTCTCGACTTCTAGTTTTTGTGTGTTGGAAGTGAAATGTCTGATATTTAATTATAGATTAGCGAAAAGAAAATGATAACTGTTAGCATTTCCAAAATTTCAGATTTTGAATTATGTGATGGTGTCAGACAGTGTGAGCCTAAAAAGATGTAGACAAATTATGAATGAAAAAATTAGTCGATGTTACTCTAGAAGATCACAAAAAATAATTATTCAAAAAATTCTAAAAGTGCAAGTTATGACGCATCAATGTTCTGACGTCGTGTACTGTAACTCACATTCCTCCATGGGGTCGTAAACATATTTATTGAGACTCTCGAAGTTCAAAAACTCGTGGTTCTAAATTTTCGATCTTCCGGTTGGTAAATAATGAAATTAAACTGAACTGTATTTTTTCTATCTTGAATCTTTGTTTTTCAATATAAAAACCATTTTCCCGCCTACGAGTTTAAATAAAACTATAAAAGCTTGAAAACAATTTTGGTACTTATTTTCTTGAAACATAATATTTTCAGCCAGTTCTCGATTTCTGATTTTTTCTAGATGAGACCAAAAGTTAATGATTTTTTGATATATTATAAGACACTCTAGTTCACTTTCAAAATGCAAATATTTGTCGAGTTACAGAGAGTTCACGTAACTCGTCTTCACTGATACACTAAAGTGGGGTTTTTTCCAGATTGACAGTTCTCAATTGTATACAACTTGGAAGTTGTGTTGAGTCACCCACTTTCATCCATTAGAAAATAATGTTGAAACAACTTTTTTCAATTTCCACTTTGAGAGTCAGTATTTGGACCCATCCCCATTTTAGTAGCCCTATTTTGAAATAAATAATATTCTGGATCGTAATTCTGAGACCCTTTTGAACAATCTCAAATAAATCTTCCTTTGTTAGCTGAAAATATATTCGCAGGTGCAATTTCTCATTCTCTGGATCCTTTTTGACCACTAGTGACGAAATTCTCTCCCTATTTCTCGTTCCTACGTAAATCCGCCTCTTTGTCTTCATTCACTTTTCGTTTTGTTTTGTCAAAATAAATTGTTGTCATTTTTGTTGTACGTCTTCCTTCTTCCTCTTTTCATCTTTCTCCCCCACTCACAAGAAAGATTAAAAAAACCACCACCACAATAGATAGACACCCACTTGGCACCCAAAAAACACTCGTCATCTCGTGGTTTCTCTGAAAATAGTGCACTGCTCTGGTTTTCTCCGCCCATCTTGTTTTCTTAAAACAAAAAAAGCAGGTCATTTTCGCAACATTTTTCTCATGCCATGACTCCGCCTACACTTTTTTTCTAGATTTATTTCTCAATTCCCCGCCCATTTTTCCGCCACCCCTAGTTGGATTTTCATTCAGAATCTGATTATTATTATTTTCCAGGTAACAAAAATAAATTTACAAGATGATTTGTCGAATTGTGTTGATCGCCTTGATTTTTGTATTCATTACTGTAAATTCAGCAGTTATCGATCAAAATATTGAAGGTAAATTAATAATTCTTGATTAACTTAGCCTAGTCTAAATCAAGGAAAAAAATAATTTATGTTTTTTTGAGATCGTAAATTATATGTATATTTTCCAATTTAGTTATTCCAGAAGTCCCAATGGATTGTACAGTTTTGGAAGCTTGCGGTGAAGAATGCCTATTTCTTTTCAATAAATACGAGTGTCTCACAGGTAATTTCCTGATTTTGTTCATTCAGCTTAACAAAAAAAAACTCTGAATTTTCAGCCAATAAACGATCCGCTGGATTTGGTGGAAAACGTGGAGCAATCAGACATCTTCAACGAGTTATCGCAAATAGTTATAACACACGAATGGGATAAGCAAACTTTATACGATCCGAAAGAACATTTTTGATCTCCTCACCACCTCAGGCCTTCTTAGATTTTTCTTTAGAAATCATAATCCTGTATCAAAGAAAAGCGTCCAAAGTTTCCTCGACATATCTTCTTCTTTCTGTACATTTTCATTTTCATTTCTATGTTTTGGATTGCGCTTCATTATTTTGTATCCTACGAGAGAATCTTGAATAAATTATTTGAGATGTTTTTGTCGTCAATCGAGAAATTTTCAGTGAAAACAAATAGGTCAAATGCTAATCGGGGATACTGTAGACATCAATGGATTTGGAATAAAAATACTAGAAAAATAAATAAAATCTTTGTGGTTTTTGACGTTAAATTTTTTGGAAAACATGAATTGTTTTTATTTTTTGAAAAAAAAAACATCAAGGATGTTTTTCGAAAGTTTTATTAATTTTTTTTTGAAATTTGCAATTCCGCTACAAATCTTCAGATGATGAATTCTGGAGGCTAAACTATGCTGAACTATACAATTTTTGGAGGAAGGGTGGAAGGATAGGCTTTGGACTAAAATTAATAATTTATTTTTGAAATTTGAACTTTTTATTTTCAATACTTTCTGTTTTTGAAGGCAAATTTAGAAAAAAAAAAGATTTTTTGCTACAAGTTCTTGAAGTTTTGATTTTTCAAACAGCTCAAACTACACAATCTTTTGAACAAAATTTCAGAAGATAACTTTTTCTCGAAATAATTTGGAAAAAATATTTTGTTTATCTGATCCCGGTAAAACACGGTGAAATGAACCGGCCACGCTAATCAAAAATCTCCGAACCAAAAAATTGCTATAAATTTCGGTGCGCACTCAACTTACACAATTTTCTGAGCTGGCTGGAAAATTTTTCCAAAAATAATTTTTTGGAACGTTTAGATTTGGGCCAAGTTTATACTATCTCAAAAATTTTCCACCCTAAAAGTTCTCACCGAAATTGTTCGTTCTTCGAGAAAAAAAATCGGCAGGTGATTTGTAATAACAGACTTTCGTAGTTCTCAGCAGGTGATTTCCTTCTCAAGAAAAAATGCATCTGCAAAAATCTGAAAATGTTGCGAAAATCTATATAGAGCAGATGAAAAGAGAAATCCAAGAAAAAACAAAAAATAATTCATAATCAATCAATCAAACAACAAAAACAAAAATCTCTAGAACCTAAAATATATATGAAAAATACAAAAAAACAGTATTATTTATTCTTCCTCTTTTTTCGGTGCCACCATTGATAATCCAATACCTTTTGGCATTGGTTCAACACCACTTGTTATTCTTTCGTGTCTTTCATTTGCCCAATTTGAACGAGCATCACGTGTCCATCTTGGAACAATTCCATCAGCCAACATACGAATCATTGCCTGGAAAAATGGAGTTTTGTGGGAAATTTGTAGGTGATTTATCATGAAGTTCCATGATTTTTGGTTGAAATTCAGAATTTTTGTAGTTTTTGGATATTTCATGTTTGCCTAGAAAAATTATTTACTTATTATTGTTTTGTTGAAGATATAATTCTTGGTCGGGAAAATTGGTAGTTTTTAAAGGTTGGTTGGATTTGTTGCCTAGAATGTAGTTTTGTGGGAGATTTATGAGGAAGTTGTGTGATTATAGGTCGAGAACTTTGTTTTTCAAGTAATGTTTGTTTTATAAAGAACTTGAAATTGGTCAAAGTGCAATTTAGCAGCTGAGTTTCTTGATCAATCATTTTTGGTTAAGAAAAAAACAGCAGACTAATCTACAAACTTGAAGAAAATTGAAATGTTTTTCAAGGATTTCAGAATCCAGCTTCTATATACCTTTCATTTTTTGGATACTTATTTTTCAATCTTAAAAAATCAGCTTGCGCGAATCTCCGAAAAAGTTTCGAACCATCAAAACTTTATGATCCAGAGTCACGTTTCTACAATGTCGTCGACTATTTTCTGAACTTAAAGTTCAAACTAATCTCTCATAATTCAACCTCAAAACAAATCTATTTTTCTTGGAAAACTGATAAATCTTTCTGACTTTCTTTCAATTTTTGTGCTAGTTTAGCACAAATCCACGTCATCTTTCAGAATAATATTTTTATTCTAACGCAACTAGATATGATTCATTTATCTCCAGAATCACCTGCTTGCCAAACTTGTCTACTATGTATTTACTACTAAAATTACTTTTAAATCAACGTTCATCGAACTTTCAGAGTTAGGAGATCAAGGTTTTGAAAGTAATGAGTTTTTATAAGTTGTTTTGGGCTGATTTCGGGTAACATTTGTTGACTACGTTCTATTTTCCTTCTAAAACATACTTTCCGAATTTCGTGTTTTTTCCAAAAACACACGAAATTTTCGGATTATCCCCCACGCTTCTACAAGAACGTCATACAAATAAATAAAAGGTAAACTGATTTTACTTTAATGGATGAAAAAAAGGTGTCGTCACATGTGAGAAATCAAAAACCAAAAACTGAGGGATGAGCTAATTATTTCTGGAAACTGGAAACAATTCAGAGGGGATTAACATTATTATAGAGAGGGAGAAGAAGAATAAGATAAAAAACTATAAGCCTATAAGTTTTTGTTGAAAACAAAAAAAAGCTTGGAAGGAGGAGGGAAAAGTACAGAGACTACAAGATATTTTTGGAAAAAATGAGATTTTCTTTGAATTTTGCATTTTTTTTAAATTTATTTGAAAATAACTTATCATAAATTTTTTTCGAACAAAATTTCTGTTTTGAATCCCATTGGGATTATCCCAATTTCTCAGTGAATTTTATTTGAGCCCAAAACTCTGTTTCGGGTTAACAATTTCTCACAAATTTTCAAACAGAGTTCCTGTCTCATTTCCCTCAGCTTAAACTTCTAAAAATCAAAATTCCTTTTCAAAAATTCCCAAATTTACCGATTCATGATTTCTAAACGGATGTTTTCTCCATCTCGCTTCTAAATGTCCTTCCAAATTCGAGAAAAATGGTAAAGTTTTCGGTTTTCTCAATGGATAACGTCCTTCGCCATAAAAATCATCAAGGTTCAATCTCTGCAAAAAACATGTCAAATGCATTGTTTTTGTTTTTTCTTATTTTAAAAAAACTTACATCCAACGCCTCTAAAGCTTCTTCAGTCTTCAAATCAGTCGAAATTGGGGATGCAACAATTTGTGGTAAGAAATGTCTTGATGGTGACATTTCAACAACATGAAGTCCTTTTCTCTCAGCTAATTGTTGATGTGTTTCTTGATTCAATAATCCGGTAACAAATGCGTGAGTCAAAGCTAAATAATTTTTAGTCGATCCTTCAACTTTCACATAAATATCCTTGATTCCAATAGCTTCACAAATTTTAATCAATCTTGGATGACAAGTCAAACCATAACCAGGTGGACGACGTTGAGCAAAAACACGTGTATTTCTACATTCCGCATAAAAATCTTGATAAATAGTTCGTCCTTCATGAAGTTCAACAAAGAATAATTTTCTGGATGCCATATTCATTCCATGAATAATTGCTGTTGTTGTTCGATGAATTGGCGCTTTTCCAACTGCATAACCAGCTAAACCTTTACCATTTCCAGTTACTACCAAAGCTGACATTGTGTGAACTCTTCCGAAAACATTTGTCATATTTGAAGTTCTTTTGACTTCGAGACAATATGTTTCGAAATCACTATAATCAACACCATCGACTTGAGGCGGTGGACCGAGTTTTTGACCGACGAGTTGAGTTCCAGAGAAACCACGCTCCATTGGATGCAATTTCTCGCGATTTCGCTTTTTCTTTCCGCTGAAAAAAATGATAAATGAAAAGAAGGCGATTTTTATAGAATAAAAAATTAATCTTAAATTTCCACGTCATAAAGTTCACGTTCGAAATATTCAGAAAAACTATCATATATTTTCAAAAAGAAAAGTGATCGGATATAAACCTTTGATTTCTGTCATGATTCAGGAAGTTTTTTGAATTCGCTAATGTTTTTTCACTATACAGATTTTCAATATTTTTCCGGAACTCACGTGTCTTTTTCCTCAAGAATCTTCTTAATTCCTCCCATACTTTCTCTAACTTCATCTTCAGTTTGCTCAACAATTTCAGCCAATCGATCCTCTTTCAATTTAATCGGTGAGTTCAATCCAGCAAATTCGACTTTCAATGGTCCTGATCCGATTCGATAAAATCGATTGAGAGGTCGAACCGGTTGACGTGTATTTCTTCTTCCCTTTTTCTGTCCAGATTTCGAAACAGATGTGAGCGTTTTCCAAAGCTCCGGGCCAGATCCTGAAAAAAACTTATGTTTGATGAAAATTTTTCACGAAAAGACAAAAAACTAACTTCTCATGAAAAAATTGACCGAATTGGCTCGAGATTGTAGAAATGGTATTAACGACGCCATCTAAATTGGATTAGAAGTGTTTCTTTTCTTTTTTCAAAAAAGGTATAAATAAAAATGGGTTCATATAACCCTAATCAGAATATTTCAAATATTGAGGAACCAAAAAATATTTACTGAAAGTCATAAATTACATATTCACAATATTTGATAAGAAGATGATTGTTTGATAATCAACCCGCTCGAGCCGTATACAAGAGAATAGAAAAAAAAAAAGAAATAATCATAAATAAAAATGAAACCCCTAGACAAAAAAGACGTTTGGAATGTTTCTTTGTTCATAAATATCGAATTCGATTGGCAAAAAGTAGATGAGTCCACCAATAATTGTGGCAATAAATATAATATCCCAATGTGGACCGACAAGTTCTTCGAAATACATGATCACATGATTTTTGTTGATTTCTTCGAGAAGAAAAACGAAGGCAAGTTTGGTTAAGGCAAGTTTTGATGGGAGATATGAATCGAGACTGTGTTCGATGGATTGATCATAGTATCTTTTGGCGAGGTGAAGATCCTGGAAAATCAAAAGATGACAGTATTTTTCGATATAAAATTTTCAAAATTACGAAATTTTTGAAGTGTTACTTTCCACGCTTCCCCTGAAATCCAAAAAAAAACCCACTTTTGTAATTCCTTTTCCAGTCTCATACATATAACCCAAATTGAACATTGCTTGTGGTAAAGCATGTCGATCTACAGCTGTTTTATAGTGATTGAAAGCCAAATTATGATCAATTGGTACACCGTGACCATAGTAGTAATAGTTTCCAAGGCGAAGTCGAGCGATTGAATATTCTACAATTAAAAAATAAATTTAACAATTTACCAACATTTTTTTTTAGAAAACCTTGATTTGCCGATCTTTGCCAATTCACAATTGCTCTTCCATATCGTTTTTCAACATCTTCCGAAAACAAAGCATTCGCTTCTTGTCGATCCAAAATATGTGCCAAATTCGATTGTGCAGCTTCATATCCTAATTCTGCCATAAAAGCATAGACAATCGCTGCTTCATCGTGTCGCCCTTCTTTATACGCATTATAAGCATCGGTTAATCGAGTTGTCCATTTTCCACGTTCTGCCACATTTTTGAAAAAATCTGTAGCATGACTACAAGATCTACTAACTCCAGTGCCAGTGGAATACATTTGAGCCAAGTTATACAATCCCAAAACGTGACCATTTTGCGCGGCGAGTTGGAATAACTTCAAAGCTTTTGCGAAATCGCGTTTTACTCCTTCTTGTGTAGGAATCCCTTCTGAAGAAAAAAACAAAATATTTTAGAAAATAAATTCAAAAAGTAAACTTACTATAATACATCTCTCCTAAATACAATTGACCATCAACGTGTTTTTTATCAGCCGCCATCGTCAATAATTTATAAGCCTTGTCGTAATTTCGATAAACTCCACGACCTTTCAAATACATGACTCCGAGAGTTGCTTGAGCTGCCGAATTTCCTTTATCAACTGCTTTTTGCAGAAAATCGAATGCGTTCTCATCGGTTCCTTTATCGAAAACACCATCCAAATACATTTTTCCGATCAACGCATAACCATCAGAACTTCCATGTTCAGCGGCTAGAGCTAAATATCTGAAAAACAACAACATTATGATCAATTTTTGAAGTGAAAATATTGGTTTACTTATAAGCGAGTAGAAAATCTTGAGTGACTCCGCGTCCTCCGTATAAATATAATTGACCCAATCCAAGTTGCGTTGTTGCGTCACCCTTTTCAGCCATCATACTATAATAATCTAGAAGATTTGGATCGATTGGAGCTGTTCCAGATGGTAAATTAACAGTTGGATCAACTTCATCATTTAGTCGAAGTCGTTGTGTTGCTGGATTTGTTGTGAATGTCACCTCATCTGCAACTTTTTTGGCAACTCTTTGATAATATGAAAGAGCCGATTCGCAGTTTTGTGGAACACCAACACCAAAAAGATGACGATAACCAATTGCCATTTGACCAAACGGACTTCCTCCTTGTGCCGAAAATAAATAATAAAGAAATGCTTTCGCTTCGTCTGGATTTTTCATTCCGATTCCAGTAGCATGCATGAATCCTAACGCGAAATTAGCATCAGCTGAACCTTGTGCTGCAAGCTTTCGGAAAACTTTTTTCGCATCTTCAACTGACCATCGAGCATAATCACCGAATAAATTTGCGAATGCTGTGAGTTTAGCTGATTCTAAATGTCCAGAATCTGAAGCCAATTTGAATAATCGATGAGCTGCTAGTTTACCATCTCGACCATGTCCTTTTCCGCGCTCGATAAATGATAATCCCTTTTGATAAGTGTCAATCGCATCTTTCAATGTTTCTGGATCTGCAGTTTCGGTTTCGGTGACATATTCTGGACCAGCGGTTAGCACTTTTTCGACTTTTGGAACATCTGTCAATTGATCGAAATCGAAGTCAGTTTCTTTTGAAATATGAAGCTTCAAAGTTTGATATTTCTTCGTAGTTTCATCTTCACTTGATAGTCCAACATATTGTTTCGTTTTTTCAGAGAATATTGGTGAAATTATTAGAAAAATGCACAAAATTGGTTTAATCATTCTGAAAAAGAAATTTTTAGGTTTTCGAAAAAAAAATGAATATTCAAAATGGAGAGTAATTGATAATATTAATCTAAGAAGCTTTTCATAAGCAAACCTTCAGTCTAAAATTATGGGAAAATGAGAAAAATCGGCGAAAAAGAAAAATGTTCGCTGACGTCTGTCTTGTCGATTTACGGTAAACAACAGGGAGTGCGGAGTGTCGTTGTCTTCTTTTATTTTGTTTCTCGCAAAAAATGTGAAATGAAATTAAAATAGAGGAAACTGAAGCGAGAATTTAAAAATGAACGTGACGTGAAACCTAATTCCAAACACCTGTATAAAAGTGGAGAATTTGAAATGGACGGCATTTTTTTTTGTAAATTGCCTTCAAAAAAATCAGAACCGAGAAATGTCTTCAGAAGAAGGAGAAGATGTTCTACCAAAGGATGATGAGATCCTTAAAACTAAAAAAGACAAATATAAGGTCAGCGTTTGTCTAGATCGAGAAGTATTCCTCTGATGAAAATTATTTTTAGGTAATCACTTTACTCGGAAAAGGTGGATATGGTGCGGTATTTTCTGTGGAACGCCAAAGTGACAAAATGCGATTCGCAATCAAGTGTGAAAAATCGAGCGCTGTCAAAAAAGTGCTTCTGATGGATTGTAATGTGCTAAAGGGTGCATCACAAATTAAATCAAAACATTTTTGCACAGTTCTGGATCGAGCGGCTGTAAAAGATCGATTCAATTTCATTGTCATGAAACTGGTTGGTGTTTCTAGGAAATATATAACTATTTTCCAAAATAAAATAATTCGCAGATTGGCAAAAATTTGTGGGATCTTCGACAAGATCGTCCCGATGGTAGATTCAATCTGAATACTGCTCTTAAAACTGCATCTCAATGTCTAGTTTCAATCGAGCATTTACATCGATTCGGTTATCTTCATCGAGATATCAAACCCGGAAATTTTGCCGCCGGTCAAAAAGAGACAAATGAACATCACATTATTTTCATGCTAGATTTCGGACTTTGTCGTGAATTTGTAAACCGCAAAGATGGAAAAGATATTCGAACTCCAAGAACATCAGCGCCATTTCGAGGAACAACTCGATATGCTCCGCTCAGTGCAATGCAACAAATTGATCAAGCTAGAAAAGATGATATTGAAGGATGGTTGTATATGGTTGTAGAATGGACATCTGGTGGTTTGCCGTGGCGAAAATTGAAGGCTCAAGATCGAGAAAAGGTTCTTGCTTTCAAGCAAGAAATTAGGAATCCAGCGAAACCGGAAGCACTCGATGACTTTTTCTATAACTGCCCGAAGAAAGAATTCTCAAGAATAATGAAATATGTTGATGGTTTGAATTATTATTCCTTACCAGATTATCAATTCATTTATTTTTGCATTCAACATGCGGCATCTGCAAATGGTTGCAAAGATAGTGATCCATTAGACTGGGATCCTGATCATCCGTATAGTGGGCCAATTGAGACACCGGGAGATGGAAAAGTTATTGATTTGGAAGTTGAAGCTGGAGGTGATGATTTCTCGAAACGAAAGGATAGTACAAAGAAGGATAAAAGAAAGAAAAATGAGAAGGATCTTCCAGAAGAAAAGGGGAGAAAATAAAGATTTTCGTATAGATACTCATGGATCAATTCATCTGAAGAAAAAATGAATTTCGCGACATTTTTTGTCGCGAAATTGCAATTCGCGAAACGACACGAAATTAATAAAATAAAGAGGAAATTATTTTTTCGTGCGTTGGGTCTCGCAGCGATTATGTGTCCCTTTAATATTTCTCCTTTATTTTTGTGTTTATTTCGTGTCGTTTCACGAATTGCAATTTCGCGACAAAAAATGTCGCGAAATTCATTTCACGGCGCGGCGAAACGAACACACTGAAAAAAAAACAGTGAGCCGCCCCACTCTCGCTGTCTGCACTCTGCCGCGTTGTGTGTGTGTGGAAGCTACCGTACCTCGCTCTTACTTTCAGCCCGATTTATTCGGCTTAAACTGCTTCAAAATTCAAACTTTTTTTTTTGAAAAATTCCTAAGCATGCGAAGAATCGTAAAATCCGCTCACCCATCAAAAAATAACCACCGGTGACCACCATTTTGGGTGTCAAACACCAAAATAGGGGTCGAAATCTGAAAACCCGCCCAGAACTCGAATTTTCTCTGATCGATTTTTGTGAAATCGTTCTAGTTTGTAGAGAATTGAATTCTGATTCAGAAAATATAAGTTTCATAGTGATTGAAAATATTGGGGACCACCAAAAAAGGCCCTAAAGGGTGTCAGACACCCAAAATAGGGGCCAAATCGAAAAACCGGCCCAGAATTCCGAATTTCTCTGATCGATTTTTATGAAATTGTTCTAGTTTGTAGAAAATTGAATTCTGGTTCAGAAAATATAAGTTTCATAGTGATTGAAAATATTGGGGACCACCAAAAAAGGCCCTAAAGGGTGTCAGACACCCAAAATAGGGGTCAAAATCGAAAAACCGGCCCAGAATTCCGAATTTCTCTGATCGATTTTTATGAAATTGTTCTAGTTTGTAGAAAATTGAATTCTGGTTCAGAAAATATAAGTTTCATAGTGATTGAAAATATTGGGGACCACCAAAAAAGGCCCTAAAGGGTGTCAGACACCCAAAATAGGGGTCAAAATCGAAAAACCGGCCCAGAATTCCGAATTTCTCTGATCGATTTTTATGAAATTGTTCTAGTTTGTAGAAAATTGAATTCTGGTTCAGAAAATATAAGTTTCATAGTGATTGAAAATATTGGGGACCACCAAAAAGGCCCTAAAGGGTGTCAGACACCCAAAATAGGGGTCAAAATCGAAAAACCGGCCCAGAATTCCGAATTTCTCTGATCGATTTTTATGAAATTGTTCTAGTTTGTAGAAAATTGAATTCTGGTTCAGAAAATATAAGTTTCATAGTGACTGAAAATATTAGGGACCACCAAAAAAAGGCCCTAAAGGGTGTCAGACACCCAAAATAGGGGTCAAAATCGAAAAACCGGCCCAGAATTCCGAATTTCTCTGATCGATTTTTATGAAATTGTTCTAGTTTGTAGAAAATTGAATTCTGGTTCAGAAAATATAAGTTTCATAGTGATTGAAAATATTGGGGACCATCATAATTGGTGCCAGACACCAAAGTACAAAAACAGGAATTTTGAGCTTTTTCGACATGGCAAAAATATTTCCGGCTCATTTTCAGCTTCTGAACACACTGTTGATGTCAAAATCTTGTTATGAAACCTATAAAATTTATTGTTTAAATATATATTTTTCAAAAACTTTATAAAATCAGCCCAACTTGGGCTGCAAAAGTCCAAATAGGTGCTGCCATAAACCATGTGTGTCAGAAAAAATTTTGAATAGGAGTCGTTGTAAACGCGGAAAAAAACTCTTTTTCCGATTTTTCATAGTTGCAACATCTCCTGGATGACTATTCCGGAAAAAAAAACAGAAGAAAAAATCGCAAAGAATATAAATATTTTATTGATAAAAAATCAATTTGTGATATCCAGGCGGCGTTGGTTGGTGATACCATACCATTTTGGTGTTGTTGAGAAGTTATCCTGAAAACAAATTGTATTAAATTTGAAATAAAACAAATATCTCATTTTTTCAGAAGAGATTTTATTTATTTTAGGGCAAAATTTTCGTTAAAATTATGAAAACTGGTTCTATTTGTTCTATATATATGGTTGATCACTCTCTGGCACCTTCAATAGAGAGAGATTTGTTTTGGAATTTCAAACGTTTTAAATACGCTTTTAAAAGTTTTCAAGAAAACCCGACATGTCGTTTTTGCCGAAATCGGGGGCCTACAGCCTGCTCAACTTATCACGGGCCCGACTGGCCCGGCCTAGACTAGACTACAAAAAAATAGACTTTTTTATAAAAATATATAAATAGACAGAAGCGGCCGGGTTGGCCTGTCCCAAACAATGTTTTTGATTGCCCGAAGTGAGAACATCAAATTAGGATGTGATATTTTGATCATAAAAATAAGTCAAAAATGAGAAAATGAAATGCAAAAATTTCAAAATTCAAGTAAATTCTCCTTTTCATATATATTACTTTCATAATTATACTCTCTACACACACCTGACGAGACGTGTCCAAAATGGACACTGTACATTTTTTTCAAAAGTCACACTGCATTTTTTTTCGAAAAAAAACTTTGTTTCCTTTTCATCAACATTTAACTTGGGGAAAGAAATGCACATTTAGTTCAGTGGCAGGCCATTTTGCTAGTGTTCAGAAGGCCCAGGTTCGAACCTTCATTCGAACTAACTTTTTTTTTATTTTTTCCCAACTTCAAAAACAACTTCAGCTTGCGAATTTTTTGAAGTTTCTCGGTGAAAATCAACTCAGCACACTTTGTTTTAGTGTAGTAACATAATGTGCAGTGTGGAATTTACGTGACTGCTTAGCAAACCATAGTGTCACTGAAATTTCAAAAAAATTGACTTTCTATGAAAAAACTTCAAATTCCACACTGCACATGGGTAAATTCAAAAACTACGCTTAAAAATACACCAACTTTCTGAATATACCAACCCTTGATATTTGCTCGGAAAAAAATGCCGTCCGATTCTTTGTAATGTCCATATTTACCATTGAAATGGACACTCCAAAATAACAGCGAAATAGGGCATTTCCACACTGCACTCATGGTGTTCCACACTGCCTATGACCTTAGCAATCTATTGGAAAAAAATCAACTATATCCGTTAAGCCTAAGCTGAGTTATCCTAACTTCAAATTTTGAACAACGTTGCAACGCATTCGTTTGAAAACAGTTTCCTTTTTCACCAACTTTTTCCCATCGGGAGAAAAGAGAGATGTGGCCGAGAGGATAGCATTTTATACTGGCGAGCATGAGACCAGGGTTCGAATCCTCCTCCCCGCGGACTTTTTTTTTCGAAAAACTTGAAAATTTCACGCTGCACATTTTTTTTTTGAAAAAAAATTTCACACTGCACAAAAAATTTGGGACACTCTCTCGTCAGGTGTGTCTCTACATTTTTTGAACGTATTAAAATCGTGTTTTTCTCGAAAAAGCCCGAGCCAAGCTCTTTCAGGTTCTGATTATGGAATGTTTAGAATTCTTGGCGGATTTTTTCCACAATTTTAAGTTGAACAAAAATTCTTTTTGAAGAAATTTCGCACACCTCGGCCAAGCCGTGGCTGGCCAGAGTACAATTTTCGGAAAAATCTGAATTTCAGTTTTTAGAGGTCAAAAATCGAAAAATCACAATTTTTAAAGGACAAAAACGGAAAAATTCACAATTTTTGTACTGTAAAAAGTTAGCGTACAATTTTTTTATTGTGGAAACCACGATTTTGGCCGAGGTGTGAAATTTCGATTAATTTATAAGAAACTCTTTTCGATTGGGAGTACTTTGAGATTAGCTAATTACATACGAAAAGCCATACTATTTTCAGAACCTTGAAATACAGAGCGAAAGTTTCTTCGCTAGCCAATTTTCAGAGCGAAATCTTTCGAAATTACAATTTCGTCTTTTTAAAAATTCAGATGATTTTTTTTGGTGACATGTGTCATGAATATGGACCTCGCAAATGTTTTTTTCCGAAAAATCAGGTTTATAATATCAAGTTGTCTTCAACAATTCATGAAAATATCAATAGTTGGTGAGCTTCTCGGTTAATTTTTGAAATTTGAGCGTAGCCTGATTACTCTCAAAGTTTATTCAGTAATTCAATTTTTGCGTTGACGAGTTTTTTTCGTGATTCATTGAGCCTTTTTTAAGCCGAGCGTATTCGTTTTTCAAATTTTCATAGTTTCAATAAAATACTTACATGTTTTATAAAAGTGCTCGATTCGCGAAATTCCTTCAGTTCTGTTTTGGCGACTTCCGAAATTTCACGCCAATTTCTAGTTTTCTAGTCGAATATTTGTTCTGAAATATGTATTGTATAGTTTAATGAGTTGGTTGACAATCGAAAATATGAAATAAAAAAGAATGAAACACTAAAAACAGACGAAACGAAGAAAAATCAAGTGTTTTTTTAGAAGTCAAAATAAATCTCTCTGACAAGAGTTACCCATGATAAATCATACATGAAAAAATTCCCCGCAAATTTCTCTACCGAATACATACTTACAAAATGAAAAACAATCTGAAATTAGGTAAAAAACAGGTAAAAATAGAAAAATGCTCCTGCAAAGCAAACTGTGTCGATTTACGGTGGCATCTAGATGGGGCGCACATGTTCGCTTCGCCGCGCCGTGATTTTTTCTTCAGATGAATTGATCCATCAGAATATGATTACCAGTTGGCAGGCATAATTCGTGTAATACATACGATTTTTTTCACAACCAATTCTCGCTGGAAAATACATTTAAACCTACGGTCGCGAGCTCGCGAGCACACCCAAACACCAACGCCTGCTTTTTTTTCGATTTTGAAATTTTTACTACGTAGTATACGGTACCCTACTTGTGAATTTGTGCGTCGCGGTGTTTACACACTAGATAGTTATTTTAGCCCGTTTTTAGCATGCTCAGAGATTCGCTGGCCAGCTCGCCACCAGGTGGGGAGGCTGGCTGACCTGGGAACCACATGGAAACCATGTCGCCCGGTTTTTTGCTGGCAAGGTGGCCAGGCTCTGGCTAGGTCACGGCCACATGGCTACCACGTGGTGGCCACTTCGCCTCGTCGAAATGAATTTTTCATGAAAATGTCTGAAAAACTTGTGAATTGAGGCATTTCCGAAAAATTTGGCTCATTTTCTGTTTTTTCGCAGCACTTGAAACCTTAGGAAGTGAAAAAAACAGTAGAAAATTCAGTGTTTTGAGTACAAACCACTATCTTGCCAGCTTTCCAGAATTTCAAACACACAGGCCACCTCGCCGGAAAACTCAAGGCGACCTGGTGGCCATGCGGTTTCCAGGTGGCCGCAGCGATCTGGTGGCGAGCTGGCCAGTGAATCTCTGAGTGTTAGAGGCATTTTCACTCAGCAAATCGCTGCGTACATGAACGGTAAGGATTTGTGTAGCTTGTGTGCTGTCTAACTCATTTTACACACATTCCACACACAAGCTACGCACGCGTCTACACACCAGCTACACAAATTAGTTTTTTTTCGATTTTTTTTTTCGTTTCGCGTTTTTTTCGGATTTTGCGGGCTGAAAGATGATTTTTGAACACGTTTTGAATGAAAACAACAATTTATTATCAGAATAAGTGAAACATGAAAAAACAAAGTATTTCAAACAAAATTATAAATTGGGAGTTGAAAATTTCGTAGATGTTGCGGATTGTCTTGTTTCCCTCGCCATGAAGCTGCTTTTCCTGCCGTTTATGTCGAGATTTCCATCGAGTGCAGGCGACTGAGCATCGGAGAGCATATTCTGTAAAATTGAGATGAATTTTCATGCTTTTCGGAGTAGAAAGAACTTCATATTCATCTTCAAAAATAGCTAAACTTGATCAAATTTCCCAAGACATATTTTGTTATCCCGTTTCTTTTTCGGTTATTGACTCACCTTTTGATTAGCGTGGATGAATACTGATTGATGTTGACCTGATTTTTGTGGAGCGTAGTCGTTGTTGAACTTGTTGAAGTTTTCTGAAAACTGTTTTTGTAGGAAATATGTCGTTTTTTTTAAAGAAAATTCCCTCACCATTTAGCAGCCATTTTGCAATGATCACGCTCCCGAAACCTGAAATTAAGTATAGTTAGAACAATTCTGAATGAAAGAAAAATTTCCAGACTTAAAACATAGAGGAATTCATAGATGTTCAAAAGAAATTTCAACATAATTTTCATGAAACACGAAGATTTGTTCAATGATAACGAATAAAAAATGTTAAAAATTATGTATATGTTCATTGCTGGCCCGATTTTCACAAGAATTTAGGCCTGGAAAAACAAAAACAAAAATGAGAAAAGTAGCCGCGACGCCAACCGCGTTGCTTCTCTGATTTGTGTAGCTGGTGTGTAGCTGCGGTGTAGCTATTTTTCGCCGATAAAACCGTTCATGTACGCAGCGATTTGCTGAGCAGGAAAAGCTGAATGTACCATTTGAATTATCTCGTCGAGATGAATCAGGAAAACTGTTACTTTTTACTGAAACGCATTTTCAAAATAGTTAGCGGCTGAAAACTAAAATTGGAGCAAAGCAAAGGCGCGCACATTTTTTGAAATAGTGAAGTCTCGCAGCGATTTCAATTTTTCACGTTTTTCCAAATGTTAAAGGATTCCACACGCATTCTCAGAAACAACCAAATTTGATGATTTTTTTGTTCACACAAAAAAAAATTTTTGGATCACGCGAAAAATATATTTTTCGATTTTTGTTTTTTTTCAACCAAAAAAAATATTTAGATTTTTTTGTGGACTTTTTTTTGAAAAAAAAACATTTTTGAACATTTTACCAAAATTCACTCCAAGAAAAATTCCAAATTTTGTTTTACTATTCAAAAATAAACAACATATGGCTAAATCTCTGAGATTTCAGTTTGTGGTTAGAATGAGATTGGAATGGATCTCAAAACGATAGCAAAATCACTTCATTTGAAACTGACAGTTCATATGAAACTTGTGAGCTGGAATCAGTCGTGAAGACTTTCTCCAGAACAAGTTTCAAGTTTAAATTGGTCCAGAATTCAAAGTTTTAGGCCTTTTGTTTCCTAAATCGGTAGAAAACACGTTTTCAACAAAATCTTTTGAATTCTGAGCCAAATTGCGAAAAAAAAGTTCAAAGCAAGAAAAATTATTTATTTGCAGAAAGAATTGTTTGAAAATCCATCGTTCAAAATTTTTCTGAAATTATAGCGATAATCATACAATTTCGAACGCCAGCTCACCAAAGTCGTCGAATTCTAGATGAAGCGAAAACCAACCCTGAAAAAATAAAAGAATTAGAAGCTTGGCGAATTAAAATTACCGTAGTTCCAGTTGAGGCGAAACATCTGTTGTACTGTAGAAGCGAAACCTGAGAAGAAACCCGTTTCTTGAATTATTATTTTGTTCACTCACCACTTCCCGAATGCAAATAATTATTAATGACTGGACTAGGGGCTGTGCCCCTAGTTGAGCGTGTCTCCCAGGCAAAACATAGTTCCATTTTTAATGAAATTTCTGCTCATCTCGGTCAATTGAAATTTTTATGAACAAATATCTGATTTCCAATGAGACAGCCCTTCTCCTTTTCTGGGCTTGATTCCCGCTCGAAAAATGTTTCCCTATCGGGTAAGAAAGATTTTTTGGAAATGTGGTTATTACTATAGAATTACGATATTTTGAGTAAAAATCCTGGATGACGTTATCGATAAATTGTTCGAAAAAAAAACTTATTTAATTATTTTTTTGAATTTAATGTACTCGTTAGATGTTAAGAATAAGAATTACAATCAAATTTATAGAAAATTTCAAGTTTTTTGATCAAAAAATATTTCGTGGCAAAATTAGGAAGGCTTCCTAATTTTGCCATGGATCAAGTCATCGATAAATTTTTCGAAAAAAAACTTACTTAATTATTTTTTTGAATTTAATGTACTCGTTAGATGTTAAGAATAAGAATTACAATCAAATTTATAGAAAATTTCAAGTTTTTTGATCAAAAAATATTTCGTGGCAAAATTAGGAAGGCTTCCTAATTTTGCCATGGATCAAGTCATCGATAAATTTTTCGAAAAAAAACTTATTTAATTATTTTTTTCGTTCTGTAACTTTTTTTTTTGAAAAAACTCGGGCCGATTTTTCTTGAAAATCTCGGGCCGATTTTTTTTTACATTTTTGGATTATTCCAAATCTGTAACTTTTTTTTGAAAAAACTCGGGCCGATTTTTTTTTGAAAAACTCGGGCCGATTTTTTTTTGAAAAAACTCGGGCCGATTTTTCTTGAAAAAACTCGGGCCGATTCGGGCCGATTTTTTTTTGAAAAAACTCGGGCCGATTTTTTTTTGAAAAAACTCGGGCCGATTTTTTTTTGAAAAAACTCGGGCCGATTTTTTTTTGAAAAAACTCGGGCCGATTTTTTTTTGAAAAAACTCGGGCCGATTTTTTGAAAAAACTCGGGCCGATTTTTTTTTGAAAAAACTCGGGCCGATTTTTTGAAAAAACTCGGGCCGATTTTTCTTGAAAATCTCGGGCCGATTTTTTTTTACATTTTTTGGATTATTCCAAATCTGTAACTTTTTTTTTGAAAAACTCGGGCCGATTTTTTTTTACATTTTTGGATTATTCCAAATCTGTAACTTTTTTTTGAAAAAACTTGGGCCGATTTTTTTTTGAAAAAACTCGGGCCGATTTTTTTTACATTTTTGGGTTATTCCAAATCTGTAACTTTTTTTTTTGAAAAACTCGGGCCGATTTTTTTTTACATTTTTGGATTATTCCAAATCTGTAACTTTTTTGAAAAAACTCGGGCCGATTTTTTTTTGAAAAAACTCGGGCCGATTTTTTTTTGAAAAAACTCGGGCCGATTTTTTGAAAAAACTCGGGCCGATTTTTTTGAAAAACTCGGGCCGATTTTTCTTGAAAATCTCGGGCCGATTTTTTTTTACATTTTTGGATTATTCCAAATCTGTAACTTTTTTTTGAAAAACTCGGGCCGATTTTTTTTTACATTTTTGGATTATTCCAAATCTGTAACTTTTTTACATTTTTGGATTATTCCAAATCTGTAACTTTTTTGAAAAAACTCGGGCCGATTTTTTTTTACATTTTTGGGTTATTCCAAATCTGTAACTTTTTTGAAAAAACTCGGGCCGATTTTTTTTTGAAAAACTCGGGCCGATTTTTTTTTGAAAAAACTCGGGCCGATTTTTTTTTGAAAAAACTCGGGCCGATTTTTTTTTGAAAAAACTCGGGCCGATTTTTTTTGAAAAAACTTGGGCCGATTTTTTTTTGAAAAAACTCGGGCCGATTTTTTTTTACATTTTTGGGTTATTCCAAATCTGTAACTTTTTTTTTGAAAAACTCGGGCCGATTTTTTTTTGAAAAACTCGGGCCGATTTTTTTGAAAAAACTCGGGCCGATTTTTTTTACATTTTTGGGTTATTCCAAATCTGTAACTTTTTTTTGAAAAAACTCGGGCCGATTTTTTTTTACATTTTTGGGTTATTCCAAATCTGTAACTTTTTTTTGAAAAAACTCGGGCCGATTTTTTTTTACATTTTTGGGTTATTCCAAATCTGTAACTTTTTTTTTGAAAAAACTTTGGCCGATTTTTTTTTGAAAAACTCGGGCCGATTTTTTTTTACATTTTTGGATTATTCCAAATCTGTAACTTTTTTTTGAAAAAACTCGGGCCGATTTTTTTTTACATTTTTGGGTTATTCCAAATCTGTAACTTTTTTTTGAAAAAACTTTGGCCGATTTTTTTTTGAAAAACTCGGGCCGATTTTTTTTTACATTTTTGGATTATTCCAAATCTGTAACTTTTTTTTGAAAAAACTTTGGCCGATTTTTTGAAAAACTCGGGCCGATTTTTTTTTGAAAAACTCGGGCCGATTTTTTTTTACATTTTTGGATTATTCCAAATCTGTAACTTTTTTTTACATTTTTGGATTATTCCAAATCTGTAACTTTTTTTTGAAAAAACTCGGGCCGATTTTTTTTTGAAAAAACTCGGGCCGATTTTTTTTTGAAAAAACTCGGGCCGATTTTTTTTTGAAAAATCTCGGGCCGATTTTTTTTTACATTTTTGGATTATTCCAAATCTGTAACTTTTTTTTGAAAAAACTTGGGCCGATTTTTTTTTGAAAAACTCGGGCCGATTTTTTTTACATTTTTGGGTTATTCCAAATCTGTAACTTTTTTTTTGAAAAACTCGGGCCGATTTTTTTTTACATTTTTTGGATTATTCCAAATCTGTAACTTTTTTTTGAAAAAACTCGGGCCGATTTTTTTGAAAAAACTCGGGCCGATTTTTTTTTGAAAAAACTCGGGCCGATTTTTTTTTGAAAAAACTCGGGCCGATTTTTTTTTACATTTTTGGATTATTCCAAATCTGTAACTTTTTTTTTGAAAAAACTTGGGCCGATTTTTTTTTGAAAAACTCGGGCCGATTTTTTTTTGAAAAAACTCGGGCCGATTTTTTTTACATTTTTGGATTATTCCAAATCTGTAACTTTTTTTTTGAAAAACTCGGGCCGATTTTTTTTTACATTTTTGGATTATTCCAAATCTGTAACTTTTTTTTTGAAAAAACTTGGGCCGATTTTTTTTTGAAAAACTTGGGCCGATTTTTTTTTGAAAAACTCGGGCCGATTTTTTTTTACATTTTTTGGATTATTCCAAATCTGTAACTTTTTTTTTGAAAAAACTTGGGCCGATTTTTTTTTGAAAAACTCGGGCCGATTTTTTTTTGAAAAAACTCGGGCCGATTTTTTACATTTTTGGATTATTCCAAATCTGTAACTTTTTTTTGAAAAAACTTGGGCCGATTTTTTTTTGAAAAACTCGGGCCGATTTTTTGAAAAAACTCGGGCCGATTTTTTTGAAAAAACTCGGGCCGATTTTTTTGAAAAAACTCGGGCCGATTTTTTTTTGAAAAAACTCGGGCCGATTTTTTTGAAAAACTCGGGCCGATTTTTTTTACATTTTTGGATTATTCCAAATCTGTAACTTTTTTTGAAAAACTCGGGCCGATTTTTTTTTGAAAAAACTCGGGCCGATTTTTTTTACATTTTTGGATTATTCCAAATCTGTAACTTTTTTTGAAAAAACTTGGGCCGATTTTTTTTTTGAAAAACTCGGGCCGATTTTTTTTTGAAAAAACTCGGGCCGATTTTTTTGAAAAACTCGGGCCGATTTTTTTTTGAAAAAACTCGGGCCGATTTTTTGAAAAAACTCGGGCCGATTTTTTTTTGAAAAAACTCGGGCCGATTTTTTTGAAAAACTCGGGCCGATTTTTTTGAAAAAACTCGGGCCGATTTTTTTTTGAAAAAACTCGGGCCGATTTTTTTTGAAAAACTCGGGCCGATTTTTTTTTTGAAAAAACTCGGGCCGATTTTTTTGAAAAAACTCGGGCCGATTTTTTTTTACATTTTTGGATTATTCCAAATCTGTAACTTTTTTTTTTGAAAAACTCGGGCCGATTTTTTTTGAAAAAACTCGGGCCGATTTTTTTTGAAAAAACTCGGGCCGATTTTTTTTTACATTTTTGGATTATTCCAAATCTGTAACTTTTTTTTTGAAAAACTCGGGCCGATTTTTTGAAAAAACTCGGGCCGATTTTTCTTGAAAAAACTCGGGCCGATTTTTTTTTTACATTTTTTGGATTATTCCAAATCTGTAACTTTTTTTTGAAAAATCTCGGGCCGATTTTTTTTTTGAAAAACTCGGGCCGATTTTTTTTTTGAAAAAACTCGGGCCGATTTTTTTTTACATTTTTGGATTATTCCAAATCTGTAACTTTTTTTTGAAAAAACTTTCGAAAAAAAACTTACTTAATTTTTTTTTTGAATTTAATGTACTCGTAAGATGTTAAGAATAAGAATTACAATTGAATTCATGAAAAAGTTCAAGTTTTTTATCGAAAAATGACTCGTGGCAAAATCAGGAAGGCTTCCTAATTTTGCCATGGATGACGCCATCGATAAATTTTTCGAAAAAAAACTTCTTCAATCTTTTTTTCGTATTGAGGACTTGAATAACATTCTTGGCCCGTTAGGAATTTGGAATTCTTGAACAATGTCAATGGCATCTGAAGAATCAGCCTTTTTCTTTCATGGGTCACGCATGATATTGTCTCGATTTTCTCTTTTTATTAAGCCTTTTCTTCTCCATCTTCTTTTTTCTTTTTTGCCGCGTTGGAATGTCGAATTTTCGCAATTTTGGGGAGAAAGGAACAAAATTTCCGAAAATCTGCATTACTCGATATAGGGAAAAATTTTTTCCGAGTGGGGCTCGAACCCACAAAAGAAGGAGGGTTGCCTGATTGGAAGGCATCGCTCTCCCCGCCTACACCACACGTGTAGGTAAGAAATGAAGCATTTTTGATAAATATATATTTATCAGAATTTCACGTGACCGAGAGAAATGAACATTTCTAAATAAATTTCACCTTACGGGATTTTAATGAGAGGGCGACAAAACGAGAAAAACAAGAGAAAAGGCCGCCACGTATTGCCACGTATATGACAAAAGATACGTGGCAAGATTTTTATCAGGTTGAAAAAAAAACAAAAATCAAAAAAAAAATATTTTTCGCGTGATCCAAAAATTTTTTTCGTGTGACCAAAAAAATCATCAAATTTGGTTGTTTGGGAGAATAGTACTAAGGATTCCGAGGACAAAATTTCTTAATGGAGGACGATAAATTTAAATGCATGTTTTAAAGGAGGTCACTGAAATAATCCCAAAACGTGGTGTGCTATAGTTTTGAGAATTCAGTAATATTTCTTGGAAATAAGCAACAATGCACTGTTCTTATCAAAATTCAGCGCGAAACACAAAAACTCTTTGAATTTTATTTATTCCGCCGTTGTCAATAGAGCGCACAAGCTCGCGTGCCAGAAATGTTCACATATTTTTTTCGAGAATTGCGGGCAGTCGGTGTTAGCAGATGTACATACACTCTTATTTTTTCGTTCTTTCTTTAGGTTTGGGATATGGTAAGTCGTTGATTGTTTTCAAAATCTCAATCTGTAAATTGTTATTTTCCAGCCTGCCCTCGCTTCAAAATAAGCTGGACGTATTCAAGATATTGGCAAGACTCGAAAATTGGAACTTGACTATTTTCACTCCGAATGGATTATGAGCATATTACCAGTTGGAATCTTCGCAAAGCTGTCACACTGAAGAAGTTGCAATTGAAACAATGGAATGTGATGGAGATTTGAGGCGATAAAATAGGTTAGTTATTTCTGGTGTGGGTTTTTAAATATTAGGGGGGGGGATTATCGGAAAATTAAAGGCAGGGTGGAGGGTCCAATAAAACAATTATTGACTAGAACAACAGTAGAATCAAGAATTTTTATTTACAAATGTACACAAATTGGACCAGAATCAAATTGCTTTCTACATGAACCCGTTGTCTAAAAGCAAATGTACAGTGTTAAAATCGTTCGAATTAAGCAAGAAGAGATTCGGTTTTGATTTCTTGTTTGTATCCGAATGTTTTCTTCATTTCATTTGTAAATGAGTTTGCACAATCACAACAAATTGAACATAACATTCCCATTGGATATCCTTTGTTATCAACACATCCATTCATTGGAACAAACATTTGATTGCAAGCTTTTCCATCGATTGATGCAGAAAGAATTGCATATGAACCATCATTTGGAATTGGTCCAGTGCAACCAAGCATTTGACATTTTGGAGCTTCGATTTTCTCAAAATCTGCTCCTTCTAAATATGTTGCAGCTGGATTACTAATTGCTGCGGCTCCAGCTCCTTCTGCTCCAAAATAATCGTCATCGGATTCATATTCGGGCTCTAGACTTTTGACGGGTTTAGTAGCTTCAACACCATCCACATCCATGTTTTTATAATAACCCATATTTGGTTTAGCCTCACAGAAAGCGACGAAAATAGCGAAAATAGCGATAAAAGTGTTCATTATGCTGATGATGAATAAGTGAACTAACTGATGAAAAATGATAAGAATCACGACGCCTTAAATTCCATGACAAGATGGGCGGGAAAATGGTTATGATGAGAGATCACGAGTTATTTCGGACAGCTGATGTGTTCGCAGAAAAAGAGATGAGGAATTCCTCACATTTTTCCACTGTGTTCCATTATTTGTGATGATTGACTGGTTTCTATTTTTGTCTGCGGCAACACAATCACGATTCGGTTTGGTATCATAATAATTGTCGTCATAAATAATGTCATTAGTTTCGCGATCGACTGAAAATCACAGAAAATTAGTTGTCAAGAATCATTCGTTTTTTGATCAGATGGTGTACTTTGAAGAAAATGTAGACACGACATTTTGACTTTTCACAAGGTTAACATGTGTGTTTTTTCAAAGATCATAGAACTTCATCATGTTTTTCGGAAATTAATTGACTTTGAAAAAAATCAAACTTGGGTTTCGATTAAGGCGATACGACGAGAAACTGTACCTTGGACACCACTGGAATAGACCAGACCTAGAACTATGGAAAATGTCTAATAGACGTTTATACATACACGTCGATTTCGTTCGTGGATTAATTTGAGGATCTCTTCCAGATGATCGAAAACTCTAACAATTAGTTTTTCTGATTTATTTTCCTAATATGGGTTTTCTGATATTGTGATTTGATATGATATGGTAATTTGATATGGTAGTTGGATAATTTATCCAGTATCCTAGAATATAATTTTTTGTCTGCATCCCTGAATTTTTAAATCTTCCGACTTGAATTTTTGTAAAATATCAGTTGAAAAAGTCTGAATTATCTTCTCAGCCTCGACCGATCGAATAATAAACATGCGATAATTTAATATATTCGCTGAAAATCAAAAGATGAACACACCCTTGTTCAGAACAACAATCACAGATTAATTCAATCGTTTATTTTTACAACACGCACACAGAAAACCAACAACATTGTTGCGGTTTACATATTTATCTGTTTTTTTCTTCGCCGACGGCGCCACTAATTTTTAATGGTTTTCGTTCCTTGAAATTCCTCAAATAGTTTCTGTATTCTTCTATCTTTTTTTCTTCAATAAAGAAGTGATCACAAATCGACATACTATGACTACTACTTTATCTTTTTTCTATATTTTTTTATTCGAAACAAAAACGTAGATATGAAAATGGAGATATTAATAATAATAACATGACCACACCCAAGTTTGATTATCACTACCAAAGCCGAACAAAAATATCAAAAAAAATTGATGACGATAATAATTGTTATTTATACATGGGAAAGTGAGATTTGACACTTTGGTTAGAAATTATTGTTGTTTTCGAGGGGATCCAATTCTCATGTGATTTGCTTATCGCGCTTCTTTTTTTCGAAATCATCTGACTGTCTCCTATGGATGATCTTCTTATCGCTGAAGACAAAATGATCAGGATGGAGAAAAAAGATCCGTGTGATTTTCAGCATGATCTGAGAAAAAATAAAAGAATCTTTGATTTTTTCTGAAGTTTGATATCAAGGGAAAATATGCAATTCTTGCGTGTGAGAAGTCGACCTACAATTTGAACAATTCAAATTGTTAGGTTCATCTGTAAATTCAAACTTTATTACAAATTTTTTTTTAAATCTTTTATTCATTTCTTGCCATGGCCACATTGACTCAGAAAAGATGGAAGTTTCAGACTAGTTTTGTGGTTTTAAAAAAGATAATTGTACGCTAGATTTTTGATAGTTAAATTTTCAAGAGCATGAAACAATTGTTCACTCATGGAAATCTGTTGAGATCGTATCCTCTGAGATCTTGAAGAAGGTAAAAGAATCGTGGTGTTTCGAACAGTTTACTAACTTCCCAACTAAATCCAATGCCCAGTGCCCGCTATGAAATTTCGCTCAATCTCATTGAAAACTTAGAACTGAAAAACATGCCAATCAATCGTATTCGATTTACATTCTCAGCTGGAAACTATTTCTTCTCTGCATTATTTCCAGCTTTATAATCATGTCAAATCCAATAAGCATCACATCATCTATACTTTGGACTAAGCCTAACAACGAAAAAAAACATCTCCCCACTTTTTATCGGGACACATCAAAAAGTGTTTCAAACCAATCCATCTTTCGTTCTCCTTTTTGTTTTTTGTCTTTTCTCTCCCTAACAACACGGTGTTATCAAATCATTCCGCATTCCAAAGCGACGCAGCTAATTGAAAATACATAGAAGAAGATGTATATTTGGAATATTTTTTATTAGATTTATATACTTATATTTACAAATAATGTACAATATTGAAATGTATGTACAAGAAGAGACCAGCTATTCAATTAAAATTTCGGAAAATAAATACCCGTAACTTAAATTTCGATATATACAAATTGTTAAAGACCCAATATGGGTAAATTGATTATTTGGCGAATGAGGAAGTTTCGATGGCTTGTTTGTATCCGAATGTTTTCTTCATTTCATTTGTAAATGAGTTTGCACAATCACAACAAATTGAACATAACATTCCCATTGGATATCCTTTGTTATCAACACATCCATTCATTGGAACAAACATTTGATTGCAAGCTTTTCCATCGATTGATGCAGAAAGAATTGCATATGAACCATCATTTGGAATTGGTCCAGTGCAACCAAGCATTTGACATTTTGGTTGGGTGATTTTGTCGAAGTCGCCTCCTTCAAGATATGTTGATGCTGGATTGCTGACTGAAGATGATTCTCCGAAATAATCCACATCTGATGAAGATTCTTCAGATTTTGGAACACTCATTGTTGGAACAATTCCGATGTCGGATTCTTCTGGAGCTGTTCTGATTTTCTTCATTCCTGGGAGTTTTTCGACCTTTGCTTTTTTCATTGGAATGTCATTTTCATCGGCTTCAACTCCGTCCATGTCAATATCACAGCAAATTTTTTTCTACGTGACCTCAAATAAAAAAATCATTGCAGAATGTGTTTTTCACGCGGCACACACATCTGGGCGGAGCCTAATAAAATCCTGTTTTTACTCGTTTTTTGAGGATTTGAACCCGAATTTCAGGGAAAAGTTGATTTTTCACTATCAGAATTGAGCAAAGAAGGGTTGAGGGAGGTCCGGAAGACAGAAAATTGCTTATAAATCTTCTAATTCCGCTCAAAATGACGTTTCTCCATATTTTTCTCGATTTTCCCAGGAAAGACAATGAACTTTTGATTCAAAAACTATTACTACTTGAAAAATTATCAACTACTTCTAAAAATGTAGTTTGAGCATGTTTCCTTCGGTTTCGGCTTCAAAAACACATTTTTTGTGAAAAAAAACACAAAAAAAGAAATTTTTTTGCGAAAATACTGTAGCGACACGTGAAATTGTGCAATGAGAAAATGCGTAGTGAAAAATTTGCTGTGAATATTGGCAAAATGGCCATCTCCCATAGCTCCGAGAAATAGTTCAAGGTCCAAAGGTTCTAAAAAATTGACAGAATTAGGATTTGGAAAAAATTAGAAAAATAAAGAAAATTGCGGATCTAAGCTATGCTTACCTTCAGTTGTAGTTGTAGTTGGCTTGAATTCGGCAAATGCTGCCAAAAAGGCGATGAAGATAAAAATAGAAGAGTTCATGATTTAAAAATAGAAAAGTTTGTTAGTTGTTGGGGATATTGGATGTTGAGACGCGCCTTAAATATCATTTCGAATCTCTCGGTTCACCGAGAGATAGGAAAAAAGTTGAGAGTTGGGCGGGGCGATGGGCGGCGTCATCGTGGCGCCATCGTATTTTGTTTTGGTTTTTTTCTGTTTCGCTGTTAGAGAAAATGAGAAAAAAACACATTTATCAATAATATCGATTAGCACATTTCGATCCTTTATCGTCTACTCTGGTCAAGATGAACAATATCTAATTTGGATGTACTTTTTTCGATCAATCATGCGTGATTTGATTGTTTACGCACATTCCAAAAATTTTTGCCGATTTTCGAATCAAAAATATTCTTTGCTTCGGCTTTCACATTATTTTTCAGAAAAAATAATGTACTCTGAAAAACAATGGAAATATATTATTTTAATATTCAAATTTCATGTTTCTAATGTGTTCTTCACGTCTTCTCTCGATAAAAAACTCGTTGTAGAACTCTAGTAAACATTTGGTTTCTTTCCAATTATCTAGAGTAACCTAAATTAGTGTTCATCCAAAAGGTTCACAAATTTGGTCACAGTCTCATTATGAACCAATAAAATTAGTTTTTTGTCCTTCCTGAAATCCTTTGATTTTTCCGCGCCTTCGCGGAATAATGTGTTTTGTTTTTATTACTGCATGGCTGATTACTTGCAGAAAACTAATCCAATTAATTTCGAAAAACCGTTCCAACAATTTTTATTGGTAAACTTGATTTTTTTTGCATTTAACGCGTCCATCTTCATATATCGAAATCAGAAATAATTCACTTGATCTCTGTGTTTTGTTAATTTTGTTCCAAGTGAAACAAAATTAGTATTGAAGCCAAACAAAAATGGTATTGTTGTCTAAAATGTTTCAAGAGCAAAAAAAACATTTTCGAAGGATTATCGACCCAAGATATCATTTTGTGAACTGGAATTTTGGGCTTACGAAGTAACGATAAAAATTTATTTCAATCATCAAATTTGTGTATTTACAAACCCTGCTAAAAAAGAGATCCAAAAAGCATATACATATAAATTCAGAAAAAACAATTATAGTATGAATAGAGAAGTATCAATACCAATTTTATATCCAAAGGTTTTTCGCATTTCTCGAGTTAGTGAATTTTCACAATCACAGCAAACTGAACATAACATTCCCATTGGATATCCTTTGTTAGAAACACATCCATTCAATGGAATCATTATTTGACTGCAAGCTTTTTCGGAAAACTTCAATGTTTTAGCCGTGGATGATTCCGATCCATCATTTGGAATCGGTGCACTGCATTCCATAACACTGCATTTTGTGTGAATATTTTCGAAGTTTCCACCATCCAAGTACGATGCAGCTGGATTTGTCATTGGGCCCATAAAATCACCCTCTTCGTTATCAGGAACTTTAAACTCTTCTTTCATCTGAGGCGCGCCAAAAAATGATGGTTTAGCCGCGATTGATAAGATCAAAAAAACGACGAAGATATAAATAGAATAGGAATAATGTTGTGTCATCATCAGTATGTTCTCAACCACAATATAGAAAAAAAAGTGAGAGGAATTATCGCATATAAAAAATATGGGCGGAGCTTTGATCGAATTTTGTTTGTAAATATATATTTGTTTTTTTCTAAATATTATCAATGACGAATGAATGAATGAGAATGTTTGTTTTCGAGACGAATGCGTAGATCAATTGTGATATTATAAACAACTAATGTTTTTCATTCATTAAGATTGATGAGATAAGTGTGAAGAAAGAGAAGATGATATCGGATTTTGTATATACCGAGTGTCTTATGATTTTGGTCATGATCTGATCACGTTGTATTCCAAGATGACGTGAAAGATAGATAAACCAAAGAAAAAAGTTGTACCAGTTTGATTGAGAACAAATATAGTTTGGTTTGATCTTGAAGCGAAACGAACAAAGAATATTTGGATTGGGAATGATTGACATGTTTTTGAATTCGAATTTGAATCCGAATTATCACATGTTTTTCATGAATTTGGAATACTGATGTACTGAAGATCAGGTTGGGGATAGTGATAGGAACATTTCGAGCACGGAGTTGGACTTCTGTCAAAATTCTCACTGGAAAGCGTAGTTGTATGAATTTTATTGATTATTTGAACTTCTATCCGCTGGAAATATATACATTGAAGTTTGAGCTATCTTTAATATTTTCAAAGTTGCGTCGTTTTCTCCTGCATAGACCATAATTTTGTTTCGATGAAAACTCAAAGAAGTCTCAAATTTTTTCTCCTTCTTGTTAGAACTACTCATTGTTTGTAAGGTTCATAATAACACTTTGACTGTAAGTGTAAACACTTTCGAAAAAGTTGTATCTATATTTTTGTCTATTTTTAAACACAATATAATAGTGCAATCTAATTGTCCTGCGCGATGAGGGGCAAAGATCGGTATCAGTATTATCACATGAGACACGACCACAAAAAAATCATCGTAAATCAAAAGATATATTATTGGAACTTGGTAGTGTAGTGTAGGATGCTTGGAATTTTTGGTGGTAAATTATATTTAGTATACAAACTTTTTTTGACGATGTCATTTTTCGGATAGAATTTTCTCTATCTAGAAATATAATATCAGATCAAGATCAACCTGTGATTGATCTAATTTTGTTGAAGAAAATCTCGAGGTGTTTTTGATAAAGATTTCATTTTTTTTCGCTGATCAATAATCAAGTGACACCTTGTTTTGTTTCAAAAAATGAATGCGAAAAATGTTTTTCATTTCGATAAAAAAGGATAGAACAAGTTGTCATGTCAAGTTGATGGACAACTCCATTTGTGACAGTATTTTATGAGATTAGATGATACTTTTCGAATGTGAGAATAGAAGGTCATGGAGGTATTTTAGGGTTAATTTTTAAAAGAACCAACTAATTAGGTTTTCTTTGAAGTCTGGTTTAACAATAAGATTTTTATATTCTCTAGAACTGTGCGAAAAAATCAAAATATTTTTTCTGTTCATTGAACTTTCTACTTCAATAAAATTGAATAATACAAATACAGTGATTCACCCTTCTTAATTACACAAAAAAATTTACAACTTTATTTTGTTCTTAAAATATTTAGAATCTTTGGCCTTTTTGGAATCTCAGAGGTAACGGGTATCAATGAACCAAAGTTTGTCCCAAAATAAAATGTTTGAATTCCAAACAATCCAAAAAACAAATCATCATCGATATTATCAGCAGATCAGATCGCACGTATTCAAACAAAGTCAAAAAAACTGAACACAACCAAGCGCAAAAACATGCATTTCACGCATTCTCTCATTTTCCACATTTTCCACATCTCTTTCTATTCATTTTTGTCTCCTTTTTTTGGGGTGGTTGTTGATTGATTGATGAGATAGTTTATCAGGCGCGAAAGCACGGCGCCGCCGACCAATTCGACCCGACTCCCCCCATCGTTTTCGCCCCTTCTCTGATTAGTCTTTGGACAAAATGGACAAAATTGTTTGTTTTCGACGGGTTCTGGCCTTTTTCTGATGACACCTTTATCTGTTCGCTTTTTTTGTGTCTTTGGGTAAAAAGTGCAATAACAAACAGACGAAAGATATGGATGGAATGAAGTTATGATTGATTCGAATCGGTTTTGCTAGTGTTTTTTTGTCGCCAGACCTCCGATGTCGGTGAAAAATGGATTGTGGAATGTTTTGTTGTTTTCTGTTTTTGCGATCAAAAACCATTTCATTTCATTTCTGCCTTGTTTTAAACCGTCTAAGACTACCCAAGTCAAGTTAAAAAAGTATAGAAAACAAGAGAAGAATTGATAAAATCGGATAAAAATAGAAGACGGGCGTCATTTATGGCGCCTTGTCGACGCCGCTCATCCATCTTTTTGCGCGCGTTTTGACGCAGAAACACAACTATTTTGACTTGAAAATAACCGTTTTCTCTCTATAATCTACATCAAATACTTCTGAATCAGAAGACAAGGGACATATTATTGTGTAGTTTGATTGGAATTTGGACTGTTTTCGAAAATGAGAAATTGAAATCCTGTTTGTTACATTCATTGATAACAAGTCATAAGGAAGTTGAGATACAATCGAGGTCGTTTTCGGCGCCAATAATTACGTTGGAATCTATTTGAAAACTAGAAGCAGGTTTGAGCTGAAAATAATTTCTGAATTTTTGAGGGAAAATTGAAAAATCAAATATTTTTGATTTATTTTGATTGGCACAAATCGAAAATCCGAAAGGTTCATTAAAGATCTACTCTATTGCTTTAGATTGATTGAAAGTTCAACAGATTTACACATTGACCAGGATCGTGGTACAAAAACATGAGAATGCCAGGGAATTACAGAATCACTTGAAAGAACCACATTCCTATTGGGACCAAACTGAGCTTAAAGCTCATGATGATTTGAACGACTTATTCTGTTCATATTGTAGTCTAAAAATTACTTCATAATTACCGGCCACGTTTTCAATTATTTGCGTGACCTTGTTCCAATAATGTCCGAATTCATTTCTTCAATAAAAAATTCGTCATTTCTAAACCTTGATTTCATCCAAATGACACAACATTTTAGGCTAATGATAAAATGCAATAGGGTGAGAGGAAGAGATTTAGAGAAAAACATAAAAGAATTCACGTTTTGTTGATTATTCGCGTGAACTCTTGTCGCCTCGCTTCATTTTTCAAAAAACACATTGAAAAATAATACATGTGTGTATAGCGCTTGGCCATTTGTTTGATCAATGTCGGCGATACGTTTGAACGACCTCTCAGAAAATGTTCGAAAAAATGGAGTTTTTGTTCTCATTTGAGCACGTTTGCCCACTGAAAACGTATGTTTTCTCTAGAATCTCTCTCCTCTCACCCAATTGCGTTTCGGAACGTTGTGATGATGCTGAAGTATCTCACTCACATCATCAACAAAATATTCAAAATCAGAACTTTCAAGTTGAATACACTTTTTTGTTGGAACTATCCAGTTTTTTCTACTTTCTATTTTCGTACCAATTGTACCTGTGTACTTTTCTAGTTTTTCTATCCTCAAAAATTTTTGTATAAGCGAAAATGAGGGTTTAGACAATTTTTCTTTTAAAACCAAAACACTTGATCTCCTTTTCAATGTCTCAAAATAATTGCATGAAACAAAAAGCGTTTTTCTGTTATGGTTTGGTGATTTATGTGTCTACCATAAATGAACAACATACATAAAAATAATTAAATCAACAAAAAAACGCATTTCAGTTCCAGTTTGTGGTGCGGTAAACCTTTGAAAATTTCTTTGTGTTGAAATTGAATTCGACACGATTTGTGATCATCCGAATTTTTTACTCACTGTTTTATTACTGTGACAGTCGTAAAACTGGAGGATGTTTCGAATTCCTTCCGTTTTAAGTGAATCGTAAAAAGTTTGAAATCGAAATCAAAACACAAAGGATGGAATAATTATTTTAAGTTCATCGTGAACTTTCGCCAGGGATTGCTTTCTCAAAAAAACAAAATTAAATGAAAAGTTTATCACAAAAAGTGGTTATGATTTTTTGAGAGCTCCAGCAGCAGTGATAATTCCTGAACACAGCAAATTTTTTTCTACGTGACCTCAAATAAAAAAATCATTGCAGAATGTGTTTTTCACGCGGCACACACATCTGGGCGGAGCCTAATAAAATCCTGTTTTTACTCGTTTTTTGAGGATTTGAACCCGAATTTCAGGGAAAAGTTGATTTTTCACTATCAGAATTGAGCAAAGAAGGGTTGAGGGAGGTCCGGAAGACAGAAAATTGCTTATAAATCTTCTAATTCCGCTCAAAATGACGTTTCTCCATATTTTTCTCGATTTTCCCAGGAAAGACAATAAACTTTTGATTCAAAAAACTATTAGTACTTCAAAAATTATCAACTACTTCTAAAAATGTAGTTTGAGCATGTTTCCTTCGGTTTCGGCTTCAAAAACACATTTTTTGTGAAAAAACACAAAAAAAGACATTTTTTTTGCGAAAATACTGTAGCGACACGTGAAATTGTGCAATGAGAAAATGCGTAGTGAAAAATTTGCTGTGCTGAAGTTCCACTGAAAATTGAACTAAGAATGGAAGAAGCGGCTTTTGCATCAGCAGCAGCTTTTTCAGCAGCAGTAGTTCCCATAACTCCAGAGAAAACAGAAAGAATGATGAGGAGAATGAAGAATTTCATTTTTTTTTATGATTTTCTTTCTAATCACCCGTACACTTTTATATGCTAGATTTTTCACACGTTGTCGAATTCCATTCAAATTTTTAAACATCAAAAAACAAGAGATTGGAATGTTTATTCAGAAAAATGTTCAATCTTTTTCAGATTTTCCTTCAGCAATTTCCTCTGTTCTTTCATTTTTCTTTTTCGTTTCTTTTTCAGATTTAAGGTTATTGTTCTGATCATCTTGTTTCTCCTCTTTCTTTTCTTCCTTCTTTTCTTTCTTACTTTCTTTTGGAACTTCTCCCTGCTCTTTTTTCTCCTGATCTTCTTTGAACTTCTTCATCAAATTTTCCTCCCAATCATACGGATATTCCTTGGCTCCTGTAATTTCCAGAGCTTGACGAAGCAAATAGTACATTCTTTGGTAATCTGGTTCAGCGAAAAACTGTCCGGTATCAATTGTGCGAAGAATATCAATGTAAGCAAGAGGACATCTGCAAACAAGTAATGGAACTAGAAAATCGGAGTAAAATTCTCACCCTCCGAAGAAACATTTTTTTGACACTTCACTTTTCCGTACCAGCCTTTTCTCATTTCCAACTTGTCCAATATCAGTTGTATTTCTCCAGGGCAATGATCCTTTAGTCAATTCAACTAACATATACAACCATGTTTCACAATCATCTTGGCGACAAAGTTCGCGACCTGCGTGACAAGAAACGGGTGCATATTTGACTGTTCCACGAAAACCGGCAACATTTCGAGGTTTCTTGATTCTTCCGTCATCGTGTACAAATTTTCTAGCCATTCCGAAATCGAGCACATAAACTTTTCGCAACTCATTCAATTCTGCTCGACCAATTGTATAGTTTCCTGGTTTGACATCTCGATGAAGATATCCAATACTGTGCATATCTTCTAATGCTTCCAATGATTGTCTTCCAACTGAAATAGCTGTTCCCATCGAAAAACGTTTATTCGGACTTGCAGCTCTCAAATCAGCGAGTGACATTCCAACAAATGTCATAACAACATAATTGAAATTTTCGTATTGGCCTTTGTCAGCGATATCACAAAAATGTCGTCCACTATTTTTCTTGAGCTCTGTGAGCACATGAACTTCCATTTTGAGCAATTGAATCTTTTCATCTTTTCCTTCAACTTTCAACGCATACAATTCTCCTTTCGCATTACTGCATTTGTAAACAGCACCAAATGCGCCTTCGCCGAGTTTTTTGTCAATTTTCCATTGTTTCACTTTTTTACCGACGTCAAGCTGGATCAATTCTCCCATTTTACCTGTACTCAAAAAAAGATTGTCAGATGTATTGGCAGAATTTTCAACTCACGTTTTTGCTCCTACTAATAATAACGAAATAATGAGCGACTGGGTGATCGAGCTTCTTTTATTCATATTTTTATCTTTTTTTAGATCTAGGTTTTCACGTGATATTTTTAAAATTCGAGAAATCTCAAGAATGTGTTTTGTTTTTTTAATTAAACTAACTTGCTAGTTTGGTGTTTTGAATTGATAATTCGTTGAGAATCTCAAAACATAATTTTTGGTTAAAAATCGATAAGCATTTTATTCAGCTCATATGTGAGATCAGAATGAAAATCATTGTCAATTTAAATTTCAGAAAATGGGAATCATGATTATCTTTCGCAGGTCGTTTATCCATACTGTCATCACAAAAGGATTGTTTTAAATTCACAGTAGCAAACTTTGAATTTTTCATAAATACGAACTCACAGAAAACACAAACATGCATTCAGAAATTTTTATTGAATCAGAAAAATATTTATGATTTTTTTAAAGCTCCAGCAGCAGTGATAATTCCTGAAGTTCCACTGAAAATTGAACTAAGAATGGAAGAAGCGGCTTTTGCATCAGCAGCAGCTTTTTCAGCAGCAGTAGTTCCCATAACTCCAGAAAAAACAGAAAGAATGATGAGGAGAATGAAGAATTTCATTTTTTTTATGATTTTCTCTCTAATCACCCGTATACTTTTATATGCTAGATTTTTCACACGTTGTCGAATTCCATTCAAATTTTTAAACATCAAAAAACAAGAGATTGGAATGTTTATTCAGAAAAATGTTCAATCTTTTTTCAGATTTTCCTTCAGCAATTTCCTCTGTTCTTTCATTTTTCTTTTTCGTTTCTTTTTCAGATTTGAGGTTATTGTTCTGATCATCTTGTTTCTCCTCTTTCTTTTCTTCCTTCTTTTCTTTCTTACTTTCTTTTGGAACTTCTCCCTGCTCTTTTTTCTCCTGATCTTCTTTGAACTTCTTCATCAAATAATCTTCCCAATCATACGGATATTCATCGGCTCCCGTCTTTTCCAGAGCTTGACGAAGCAAATAGTATATTCTTTGGTAATTAGGCTCAGCGAAAAATTCTCCAGTATCAATTGTGCAAAGAATATCCATGTAATCACGGGGGCATCTGGAAAATATTGTTTAACTGGATAATCGAAAACATAAATTGTACTTACCCTCCAAAGAAGCGCTTTTTTGCCACTGGATCCGTACGAACCGACTTTTTCTCATTTCCAACTTGTCCAATATCAGTTGTATTTCTCCAAGGCAATGATCCTTTAGTCAATTCAACTAACATATACAACCATGTTTCACAATCATCTTGGCGACAAAGTTCGCGACCTGCGTGACAAGAAACGGGTGCATATTTGACTGTTCCACGAAAACCGGCAACCTTTCGAGGTTTCTTGATTCTTCCGTCATCGTGTACAAATTTTCTTGCCATTCCGAAATCGAGCACATAAACTTTTCGCAACTCATTTAATTCTGCTCGACCAATTGTATAGTTTCCTGGTTTGACATCTCGATGGAGATATCCAATACTGTGCATATCTTCTAATGCTTCCAATGATTGTCTTCCAACTGAAATAGCTGTGCCCATTGAAAAACGTTTATTCGGACTTGCAGCTCTCAAATCAGCGAGTGACATTCCAACAAATGTCATAACAACGTAATTGAAATTTTCGTATTGACCTTTATCGGCGATATCACAAAAATGTCGTCCACTATTTTTCTTGAGCTCTGTGAGCACATGAACTTCCATTTTGAGCAATTGAATCTTTTCATCTTTTCCTTCAACTTTCAACGCATACAATTCTCCTTTCGCATTACTGCATTTGTAAACAGCACCAAATGCGCCTTCGCCGAGTTTTTTGTCAATTTTCCATTGTTTCACTTTTTTACCGACGTCAAGCTGGATCAATTCTCCCATTTTACCTGAACTCAAAAAAAGATTGTCAGATGTTTTGGCAGAATTTTAGACCGAACCAAAAAACAGGTTCCCACATTGTTCACAATCGAAACAGAGTTGGAATGTGGAGGCCTGTTCTGCGTTTCAGCCGAAATTTCAACTCACGTTTTTGTTCTTACTAATAATAACGAAATAATGGGCGACTGAGTGGTCGAGCCTCTTTTATTCACAATTTTATCTTCCCAGGGATCTGGGTTTTCACGTGTGATTTTTGAAATTAATTTGGTGCGCAAAATTTTTCAATGTAATCTTCGACCAATTTACAAACAACAAAAGAGAAATATTTGACCAACTAATGCAAGTAATTGAATATAATTCGATCGAGAATCTCAAGAATGTGTTTTGTGTTTTTAGTTAAACTAACTAGATAAGTATGTGTGTTTGGAACACAAACACATAAGTTGTTTGTAATCTGGCGCCAACCCAAATACCATGAAAATATCTGACTGGTTGGAAAACGTCATCTTTTTGTAGAAAAGTAAAGGGGTTTTCAAGTTCAAAATTTTTTGAGCAACACTTATGTTAGCAGAAAATTGTGCTGAAAAATCGATAAAGGATTTCATTTAACTCAAATCAAACAATTATGCACTAAAAAATTTTATTGAATCAGAAAAAAATTTATGATTTTTTGAGAGCTCCAGCAGCTGTTATGATTCCTGAAGTTCCACTGAAAATTGAACTGAGAATGGAAGAAGCGGCTTTTGCATCAGCAGCAGCTTTTTCAGCAGCAGTAGTTCCCATAACTCCAGAGAAAACAGAAAGAATGATGAGGAGAATGAAGAATTTCATTTTTTTTAAATGATTTTCTCTCTAATCACCCGTACACTTTTATATGCTAGATTTTTCACACGTTGTCGAATTCCATTCAAATTTTCTTGGAATATCAAAGCACAAGTTATGTTTATATACAAAAATTGAAAAATCAAAAAATATTTGATTATAATTGTGATTCAACGAAAAAAAACCAATAACCATCTTGATGGCTAAAGTTTTTGCATTTTCATATTCTCAGCAAATCTATAAAAATTTTATCGCTTTCACATCGATAAAACTTATAGCGTTTATAAATGAACGCATCCACGTGTTTCTTTTTGCTTTTTGTTTTCAACAAAAAACAAAAGAAAGAATGTCTCGAAACTCTGGCCTCATTCTTTTCCTAACAATTCTTACACTTACAATTGCTCTAACTTCTGCTGATATAAGTCGAAGAAATTTGGGAGCTAAAGTTACCATTCCTCACAATGACGTGGCATCGAAAAGTGGAAACACTGTGACTCATGTTTTCGCTGCAATTGTGGTTCAAATAATTGCAATTTTCGCGCTTATGTGAAAATGTTTGAGTTTGCCTTTTCATTTGAAATTAATGAAATAATTATTATGAAATTTAAATTGGACTTATGCTTGTTTGAACCAAGAAGAACATATTTTGTGAATCCCTGATGACATTTGCAAGCAATAATTTACACTAATGTTTGTTGTTTTTGCCATAGAAAAAGTGCACTACAGTATGATAGTGCTTATTTAACAAGGTGTAAGGATGATGTGCAGACAGAGATATATATTTATGGATTTTATGGAAATTTCATAAATTTCAGTGATCGTTTTTCAACGGAAATTTTAATTTCGAGAGATTTATAAAGAAACATTTTGTTCGAAATATTCAATTGAAAAAATTTGGAAAGCTGGGAATATCCACAAACTATTGTCTAAGAATTGTCTAGAATCCGATCAAGCGTCCTCAAAAGCAGAAAGTTAGGTTGAAATTTCACCAGATCATTAATTGTTCCAGATGTGTTTCCCGGTGATCAGATCAAATTATAATTCAGTCAATCACTTTTCAAAAAAAAGGTGAACTAGGCGCACGTTCGACAAACTTTTTTCTATATTTCGAAATTATTGCAAAGTATGTTTGATGAAATTGCAAAAAAATTGTATTTTCCCACTCAAACAATCTCCAAAGTGCATATCCCCTTCAAATGAAAATTGAGAAGTTGCTTGATATTTTATTGAACAAATGATGTAATTTTGTTTATAATTAGAGGCTCTAAAATATCGTGAAGTACATATATAATTTATTGTTTGAATAAGAAAAGTACAAAAATGCAAAAATGTGCAGAAAATATACAAGTTCTGATCATTTAGCGTCTGTGAAAGGTCTGATAAAATATCGGGCTCATTAATTGATTTCGAGACATTCTCTTAAATCGAAGAGTTTTCAAAATCTTACTCAATTGGAATCACTCACTGAAGCATGAATTTCAACGAAAAATGTGTAATTTCTGTCACAAATTGATTTTTTGACTGAAAATCGATATTCCGAAAAATTTTACCATTGCTCTCTAATTTTATATATATGATTTCCTTTTGATGAAGTTTGATTTGAGTGTTCTCAAGTTCTCAAAGAACACATATAATTAATTATAATATTAAAGTAAGATTAATTTCCAAATCCCCAACTCCAAAATAATTGTTTTCTATTCGAATTTGTGATGTTCTGAAAAAACAAAATAAAGAAAAATAAAAGCTGTCACATCCACAGTACTCTCTTTTTTTCTATTTCTCTCAAAACGTTTGCACTTTTCAGTCTTTCTCTCTTCCAAAAACAACAACCATCTCTATTTCGTTTTTTGCACTTTCCGGCTACCGTACTCTTTTTTTCTTCTGCCCAACCAACAAGTCAACAAGAAACCTCAAAACATTGATGATGGCGAGTTTGTGTGTGTATGTATGTGTATTGTGAAATGACCAGTCTCTTCGTTTTCTCTCTCTCCCTTGTTTTTAGTGCAAAAATACATTATTGAACAACACCAAGTGCTCCTATCCTAAGGCCTAAAAGTGCGCAACACAGAGACACACAAAAAAAGCGAAGAAGAAGAAGGAAAAGGGCAAGTAGAAGTTGTGGCAAATCGCCAACGGTCATGAATGGCGTCGTTTGAGCAGCGAGAAAGTAAATAAGCAAAGAAAGAAGAAGAAGCTCGACATAAATAGTAGTGCACACGGATTTTTCGATGGCAAAAGAGACACGATAAAAAATAGGACATGGGTACTTGGAAAAGCAAAATAACAAGATATATCTGGATACTGTAGATTCAGTATACTGTACTTTTAATTTTCAAAGATCTTACAGAATTATGTTTGATTGAAATTTAAGAAAAATTGAAGACGTCCCAGGGAAACCAGACCCAGGTATATAGCGTCTTAAAATTGTGAGTCAGATTCAGCTTAGACACTTTGGAATGCTTGGAATTGAATGTATTGACTGAAACCTGGCAAAAACTGATTTGAAAACCCTTGATAATATAATTACTACGAATAAGAACAAAATACTTTAAGTCAGTTAAATTCTAAAAGTTGATCAATATCTCCGTGTCGACAATGTGAAATAATCTACTGTATCTCCCAGCGTTCTTTGTCAGATTATTGTTTATCTACAAAATTTTAAAGCAGTTCTGTGAAGAACTTGTACTCTAATTGTTTTTTATCTGCAAAATAACAGTTGCTGATTAAAATTAAGCTTGTTAAACTACAGTAGATTGAGTTCCCCATGTTCTAAAACTCGTAGTTCACCGTGAAATCTGGTATTTTCAAAAGATAGCGGTTTGTTGATAACTTGAAAACTGTTCAGTGAATTCTAATATTGGCGCTTAGCTGGAAAACAATTCTGATACTATTGGAAAAAATCTGACACGTTTTCTTTACACGGCGAACAATGTGAATACCTCTCAAGTTGGAACATTTGTAAATATAGATAACTTGATTGCTGGTCATCAGTCAGTAATTTTTGTAGAAGTTTATAACCTGCTATACAGATAGAGTTTCGGAATTCCTCATTCGAGTCTATTTTTTGGAAATCCTTGAAAATGTTACTTTTCGAAATTTGAATCCAATATTTTCTAAATATTTGTTAATCCGAACGTTTTGGAGTGGTAGAGGATAAAACCAAACCAATAAATTCGACCTCTACGCCTAATTTCATTTTTGCATCGAGACAAAACGTTTGGGTTTTAGGCTATATCGGTTTTGGTACTTATAATAGCTTTATCAATACGTTTTTAACAAATGGTGTTTAATATTGTTAGATACTCACAAAATGTTATTTTTTATAAAGAATATAGCGAAATCATAATGAATTCGCATAAACATGGTACCATTTTCTCTAGTTTATTATGTAATTGAAAACATACATCCGAATGTTCAATAAACATTAAGAAATTTTCCGCCGTTAATTGAAAAAAAAAAAACATTCATTATGAGAGCATTATTCATCAAAAAAATATACAGAAACAGATAGAAAAATATCTGAAATCAAATTGAAATGGAAAAAATAGAGAAAAACATGAGATTGAAAGGCAAAATTGAGAAAAAAGTTCAAAATATATTCGAAAAAAAGACTGTTTAAAGCAATATCCTCAAAATAATATAACTCTTGAAAAAAAATATATGAATTCCAAAAAAAAACGGGTAACGACACGCAATTGAAAATCCTGGGAACATTGTGGAAATTTAAAAGACGGAATCAAGGAAACAGTAATTAAATAAATAGTTGATTATTTGATTTTTGGGGTTGGTTATGTATGAAATTGTACATTTTGAAAAAAAAAACAGAAAAAACACATGGGGAAAAGAAAAAGCTATTCGGCTGCTATAAGCTCTTGAAGTACTGTATCATTTACTAAATCGTTTATTGAATTACCATGAGATATTCTACGAATTTCGGCCTTTTCCGCATCACTTTTACTATCAATTTGGAATGCTTCGATATATAAAGAGGCTACTGCCGATTGAATTCCTTGAAGCATTACAAGTTGTGTACGAGATTTCTGTTGCTGAAAAATAAAGAAATTGGATAAGGTTGGGGTGTGGAGGCTTTTGGCTGAAAAAATTCTGATTTTCATTTCAAATATTCAAAATGAATCAAAAAAACTTAATTTGTTTGAAGCCATGTAAAAAAAAATTCGTATTTTCAAGAACCGTTTTCAGGTCACAGTTTTTCAAAAGTACGGTAGCCTGAATTCTTCCAATACCTTCATATTTTTTTTACTAAACATAAAAAATAGATTAAACTACTAACTTGTGTACCTGATACTTTGGATAATGTCGGAACGGCGAATCCGGTCCGACCTCATCCGGCAAATCTTCATCTCGAATCAATCGACGCAATGGACCATTGTCCAAATGACTTGGCGCTGTGATTGGTACGGTTTTGAGGACTGGAAATTCAAAATATTTATTAAATTTTTCTTTTCCTTTCAGAAAATAAACTCACTTTCTTGTGTCTTCTTTCTGACAAGTTCTTCTTCCTCTTTTGTAACTTGAATTGGTCGAACCTTGTTTGGATGTGGTACATCGATATCATCATCGTCTTCTAGCAAAGATCGGAGATGTGAAGTTGTGGTTGGGGTGTTTTGTGATACAGTAGTTGTAGATGGTGAACTTGTAGTTGAACATGGAATTGATTGAGTGACAGCTGGTAAAAGTGTATCACTTTTTCGACTTCTCTTTCGACGCTTCTCAATTAGATCTTGCGGTTTCGCGTGTTGCAACGTGGCAGCGCTTGAAAATGCACGTGGTCTTGAATCAAGTTTTGATGAATTTGAAGTGGAATTCATTGTTGCCGATGGTGAAGATAATGCAGTTTGAGATTGTGATTGCGCCTGCGCTTGTTGTTGATAAATAGCTGAATTAATAAGTCCCAAGGATTCAATTGTAGCGTGTGGTGGTAGAGCAGTATTAAATAATGGAAGAGTTGGAATCAATGGGAACCCGTTGAATAATTGGGGATATCCTGAGAGTGTAAACATTGAAGTGAGTGCTGCCATATCATTGACAGGCGGAAAAATACACGAATTTGAAGATGTTGCTGACAAATCACCGACTGAAGATGGCGTTTTGCTCTGAAAATTAACAAATTCCAATTATTCAACAAAAAAGCTCAGCTGTCAGTAAAGCACTAAAAATCTCCGAAGTTCGGAGTACTCAAGGACATCTTATGAAATTTTTTTTCGAAAAATTTAAGTTAGTGCAAGAAAGTGCACTATTTTATTTGAAAGTTTTCCAAAGATCGGAATGAGGTGAATGTTTTTGTTAAACACTAAATTAAATTTCAGACTTTTTTAAAATGAAATATTGGACATATGACCTCTATTTAGGATTTGAGAATTAGAGCACATTTCCGGAAAACATTCAAAATTTTTAAGAAAAAATATATGACTCACCGTAGTCACAGATCCTGAAGTGATACTCAAATCTCTTGGAATCGAAGCAATCAAAGTTTGTAAGTCATTATTGGTGATTGGTGGCGAACCGGTGTGCTCCATTTGTCCTTTTTGACTCTCTTCACGTCTTTATTTTTCAATTGCGCCCTTAAAAAACTAACTCATAATAACAATGAAAACATAACAAAAAGTGCACAAAATCCAGAGAGAGAGAGAACGAGAGAGCGAAAGAGAAACAGAGAACTGGTGAGAGACGCAGAGAGGGAAAAAGCAAAAAAAAGCATGGCGATGGATGAAAAAAATATATGGGCGGTCTTGGTTTTTGTGTCGAGGAGTGAACAAAAAAGTGCACTTTTTAAATGAAACTTAAACTTTTTTCCGAAACAAAAAAGTGTCATTTCAAAAAAACGTGTAGTAATAAATAGTAGTAATGTTGTAACTAAGTACAGTACTAGATATTTGCACTTTTGTTTTTTTCGGCGTGACAAGACGCACTTTTTTATATAGCGGTCCTCTAAATGAATCACTGTCCAAGTACGTTTTCGTTTCTACACGTTGATACCTTGGTAAAGCACCTTCATTAACTTGAAAAAAAGGAAAATGATTTGTTGTTATGAGGGAATGCGTTTTTTTTTTGGAATTCGAGAGGACAAGGGGCGTGGCGCGAAAATTTTGTTGATTGCCCAAATTTTCTGAAAGGGCATAGGGAGAGAAAAAATCTAAAATAAAATGAACTTTTGGGAATACGGTAGGCTATTGTTGGAATGGCACGGTTTAGGAAAATATTATAATGGAAAACAGCGAAAATTTCGAGATTGCAAATTTTGATAGAAAATTTAGAAATCTATAAGTTATCATAGATTTGTGAAAAAAAAGGTTCTGAAACTTTCTATGATTTGAGATGAGAATCCAGAAGATCAATTTTCAAAGGGCGAAATTAGAGCTCTGAAATTTGAGTCAAGAACTAACAAGTGTTGGAAATCAGATATTGAAATTTGAGTTCAGAAAATCATTAAGCTCACAATCAGTATTAGAGTATCAAGCCGTCAAAAAAAAGTGTAATCCCGAAAAAACATATATCAAAAACTCACAACACTTGAGAAAATTAAACAATTCAAAAATCTTGCAATCCTTTGACCCTCTCAAAAAATCACCGAATTATCTAGAATAAAGAATCAAAAACCACATGATTGATAAAAAGTGCACTTTAAAAAATGAATTTTCCTTTCTGCAACAAAAGATCACTATTCTCATTCATCAAAGAATTCAAATAAGAATAAGAGAATACATGACGAAGTGTGAATAAGCAACATACACAAAAAAACGAAAAAAGAGAAGAAACGGGAAAATGGGCGGAGTCAAAAAATGGGGGGCAAAACGAGAGGCGCAGATTGTAAAGTGTAACCAAAGTGCATACGGAAAAAGTGCAAGTTGTGTGTGTATGTGTATGTGATGTGTAACTGCATTCGAAAATCTATAAATCACAATAATAAAAAAATTCTACTCATAAACAAAAGTGTAGGCAAATAACACTAATAACTCTCAAAAATTTCACGTATTTTCCTCAAAATTTCTTTTTTTTCTAGTTGGGAGGCTCACATCACTTAAAAGTTCACTGTCTTTGGGGAAAACTCAACTTTCCTTAGAATGGTAGATATATCGCAAATATCAACAAGAAAATTTGGCTCTGAACGGGGAAAGGGCTTGCTTTGTTCGAAGTTTGAAATCCATTGTTACTTTCAGAAGTATCATAGTTAAGATTCATAATTCTAAAAACCCCTTTTTCCCTTTCAGAGCCTAACATTTTTGTTAATCCCTATAATTTTTGAAACTTTCGTGTTTCTCATAAAAAGCGGCTGAATAAGTGCAGTCGAACTTTGATCATATTGGTCGTTATGATGTTGAAACTATTGCACTTTTCCGATTTCCGCCTAGTTCTAGAGAGATAATTAAATTTTCTCTCTCTCTCTCGCCCTCTCAAAAATTGCTCTAATTCATCTGGAAATTAGATAAATATTATGTGGAATATTTTTTGTGGAAACATTCATAAGTCATATATACCTGGAAGAAAAAGATAGAAAGAAAAAGTTGTTTTCGTCCCTGTTTTTTTCAGAAGAACAGATAGAGTTAGAGACACAGAGATAGAGAAAACATGTGTGAGGGTGGTGGCATTTCCGGGTTTTTTTTCAACACGCCGTGACGGCAAAACAATAATAACACATATGAGTAAAAATAAAAATAAAATAGAAATATGAAATAATGCTACGGTTGAAATTGGCTCCACCTTTTTTTTTGAAATGGCCAAAAAATTCGGCAAATCACGGCATGACTTGGGAATTCATGTATCATTATCATGTTTTTTTCGAGCCATTCAAAAATTTGTAAACTTTTGAAGTTTCAAGTGTGAATTCCGAAGTAACTTTATTCTCGATCCTTGTGTTTCTAATGCAATTTGCTCTTGTGAAAATTCCATCGAAACTTTCAAATTTATCATCGAGCAAGCAACTGTTGATAAGTTCATGTTTTCTGGTTTTTGGTTTAGAATTTAAGAGTTCATCGCTAAAAATCCAACTGCAAAGAAAACTTATTTTCATCGGAATTGAGATTTTATATTATGAACAATGAACCAGGATTATGAACAATTTAGTAATTTAACTGGATTCAAATTTAAAGGTCATTTCTAAATTTTATATATTTTATTAATATAAGAAATCATTTTGAAAATAGGAGAATTAGGAGAATAGTCAAAACTTGGATTTAAATGAATCTAGGTTGTTGGGAACTCTCAAGAACCCAGTAACTCCTATTATTTTGAAGCTTGTTAAAATTTACTACCCGAAAAATTTAACGTATTTCTAAAAACCTGACAGAATTTTGTGGGTGCTACCAATAAAAGCGACAACACAAAGTGAGAGATTTCGAGAATAATATTTTTGATCTACTAGAAATAGTAATAGAGAAGTCCTAGCAACATTTAGTAAATTACGCACTGTGAACTTTTTTGATTTTGTTGTCTCCATCTAGTTCTTTCTCTTTTCTTTCGGTCAACATTTTCAAAACTAGAAAATTTAAACTAGAGTTTGTTTGTTATACTCTAGTTCTCAATTTCCTACGTATGTACTTCTCAATCCCATCAATCTTACCCCCACCTAAACCTCATAATCCTTTTTTTCTCCCATCTCTAAAAATACTTTTGCTCTATTCTTAGCTCTTTGAGAAAACACCAAACCCCATACTGTAAACAGTTCTATTATCGTGTAGTAACAAACAAAACATGACCTTTTCAAATAAAAGTACAGTTCTTCATTTTCTTGCATCTTTTCATCATTTCCTATTGCTAACATTGGCAAAAGCAAAAAATGAAACATGTTTAAAAAGTGCAAATGGACTAGTGTCAGACGGTCAGAAACAAACGAAAAATGTTGGGGAGAAAACGAAGAAGAAAAAGAAATTTGACATACAGAAGGGGTGGAAAAGTGCAAATGTACCCTTTTGATGTTGGAAAAGAAGAAGAAATGACACGCAATTGAGATGAAGGAAAAAAAGGAGATGAAGAAGGAGAAAAAGAAGTGTACTTTCTGCATGATTTCTTATGGTGAAGAGATTTGGCGTGGATTAGAAATGCGAGACAAAGATTTATGGCTTCTCGTGCAGTTAAATTATCATTTTTTGCTCGCCTACTCTTTTCTTTTTTTTTTGGCATAAAAGCAAAAAAAAACATTTGAAGAAAATTTGAAAAACAGAAAACGATAACATATTTGAATTACTCACCAAATCTTATAAGGGGAAATGGATAATTGTGTCTTGTGAAAAGATTTATATAAGAGGAGCAGAAAGAAAAATTGATGACTAAATTGATGTCAGCCGGCCAATTGCAGAATTGTACTACTGTGTTTCTATAAGCTTTGGTATTTATGGAAAATTTTGATTGTGAATTTCAAAATTGAAATTTCAAATGAATAATCATTATTTTAACTATAAATATATTTAGCTCTAATTAAAAATCACAAAAAAAAAACAATTTTTTATCTATGTTAGCCCTAAACATTTCAATTTCTTACAAAACCCAGTTCATCAATTCCTCATAGAGAAATTCAAAGTCTTTTTTGCTGTAAAAATAACTTCCTCCACTCGTGATGTATTATAGTTCGATAAGAATCCCAGATTAAATGTGGTCACATTATTGCCACGTCATAATTCGTTTATTCAAAAAATATGCAGAGCATAAAAAGGGTGAAGATCAAATTAGGCTGTGTTTTTTCTGGGGCGTTATCTCGATAGGAATATGGAATCAAGTCTGCTCCATAGCACACATAACTTGAATGCTTGTACTTCTTGCAGAATTAATACTCTAAATTGTTCTATTGTTTTAGATACTTTTGATGAACTGATGAGCTCATTCATACATTATTGTGGATTGAAAATTCTAAAGCTTTTGCATATTTGATTCACTTTATCATGAAGAAAAATCACGACCTCAAGTAAATTCTTGAAATTCTTTAACTTCAAGATTTTAATCTAACTAGAAATGTTTACTTTCTCACAACAACTTCAAAATAGTGAAACATACAAGTAAGCTGAGAAATTTAAATCCAAGGCAAGCCGTATTCTGTGACATTTTCCAATTTTTTGCTATGGAAAAATGCCTTCTGGAAAATGCAGAGCATAAAGATCAACTCAAGCTTGGTCAGATGATCATTCTTGACTTCCTCTTACTTTAATAGAGATACTAATCAAGAAACTTTCACTTCCTTGTTAGCCTTTTTCGATTCACTACTTAACTTGTTTCTCTATAGAGTATATGAAAACATGTGAATATTTTCAAATTCTGGCGACATACAGTACTCCTTCAACAAAGTATAATATATTCAAATAGTGTCCCACCTTTGCACTTTTTTGTCACCCACTATTCTTTTTTCGGGCGCCAAAGCCTTTGGTGATCATTCACCAAAAAGACAAAGTAATTACATTGTTGGCGCGCACGCCTCGGCCTGTACTTTTCGTTCCCTTTTTTTCTCTTTCTCGGGATGACGAATCATACGATCAGAGCGAGCGGGCGTGTGTGTTCATATTTGCACTTATACAAAACAAATTATGTTGCA